CTGGTCGATGTTTCTCTCTCATCGACGTTTCTAGCTCTCTATCCCTCTCCCTTCCTCTCTATAAGAAATCAACAAAATATACTTACAAAATAATAAAGTGCTTTCGAGACCTAGTTCGCTGGGCGAATCAAGGGTAGCCGGGCCCGTGGTGCGGGCAGGTAGGGCTGGAGGAGGAAGCAGTGTTCCCACCGAGAGGCGGTCTGTGGTGTCGGGGCCGGGCGGCAGGATGCCTGCCCCGGGCTTCTGTCCGTGGCTCCCACGCGGACGCCCTGGCTCTCAGGCTCGCTGCCGAGCCCTCCCCGGCGCCGCCCTCCCGGAGGCCGTGCGGTCCGAAGAGCCGGGGAGTGTGTCCCCCACGCGGGGGGAGGTGCACGTGGGTGCGTTTGGATGACGCGAGGCCCGGAAGCTTCCTTTTGGGAAGTGGTGGGAGCGTTTCTCTCGCTTCCTTTCTTGTTATTGTGAAGTCCTCACCCGGGAATATTTCCTGTGGATTTTTAGAGGGGAAGGGGCGGAGAGAGACAGAGAGAAATGTTCATGTGGGTTGATCCCATGCCCTTGACCGGGAACTGAAACCGGGGCCCTTCATGCTGAAGCCGGTGCTCTGTCCGCTGAGCCACACCGGCCAGGGCTGGAATCATTTCTTTAGTGTAAATTCGTCAATACAGATCTCTGTTTTGTTTTTTTAAACATATTTTATTGATTTTTTACAGAGAGGAAGGGAGAGGGATAGAGAGCTAGAAACATCGATGAGAGAGATGCATCGACCAGCTGCATCCTGCACACACACACACACACACACACACACACACACCCGCTGGGAATGTGCCCGCAACCAAGGCGCATGCTCTTGACCAGAATCGAACCCGGGACCCTTCAGTCCCCAGGCCGACACTCTATCCACTGGGCCACACTGGCCAGGGCTAAAAATAGAGATTCCGGGCGCTCAGCCTGATGGCGAGCATTCAGAGCCCGGTCCACCCACGCCGGAGCGCCTGCCCGGTAAAGGCTGGTGAAGCCTGGCCACGGGGGGCGGGGAGGCACCTGGAGCAGCTGGCCTGCCCGTGAGCTTCCCGGGCACCGGCTGCCTGGACCTGGCGTTGGGGAGGGAGGGAGCAGCTGGAAACCTGGGTGAGGGTGAACTCTCTGCTCCCCAATTAACGATGCTGACTTGCCTGTTGCCAAGGAGATGCCGTCTGGGGACGGTTCCAGATCCCCTGAGGCCAGGGAGGTCTCTCACGGGCTCCGTCCTCACCAGCACCAGGTGGGCAGTGTCAGCTGTTCGCCTGCCTGACAGGACCTGGGTTCTGTTTTTTTAAATATATTTGTATTGACTTCAGAGAGGAAGGGAGGAGGAGAGATAGAAACATCTGTAATGAGAATCATGGATTGGCTGCCTCCTGTACGCCCCCCCACTGGGGATCAAGCCCGTAACCCAGGCCTGTGGCCTGACCAGGAATCCAACCGTGACCCCCTGGTTCATGGGTGGACGCTCAACCCCTAAGCCACGCCAGCCGGGCTGGACCTTGCTTTTTAAAAAATATATATATATTCTATTGATTTTTTTACAGAGAGGGATAGAGCGTTAGAAACATCATGAGAGAGAATCATCGATCAGCTGCCTCCTGCACACCCCTACTGGGGATGTGCCCGCAACCAAGGTACATGCCCTTGACCGGAATCGAACCTGGGACCCTTCAGTCCGCAGGCCGACGCTCTATCCACTGAGCCACACCGGCTTCGGCCGGACCTTGCTTTTGATTGGAGTGCGTCGGTGGGCTTGCTGGTGCGCCGGTTGCATGGTGTGCCGGTGGTTTTGGACCCAGCCTCACAACGCTCAGCATTCTGGAGAAAGGGGCTGGTCATTTGGGAAGGCATTGGGGGTCAGAATCTGCAGCTGAAGGAAGTGGAGACTCCTCCCTCGACTCAAGACCCCTTGCTTTTATTATTATAACACAATTTGTCCCGAGGCAAGGTGGAGATAATATGCTTCAGAGGGTAGGGCATCAAAGGGTATTGTCAGATTGGGGGACAGCCTACAGCTGTTCAGCTGTTTGGCCAGCAGGAGGCAATAACGTGCTCTGAGCTTGGGCGAAGTGGCGTTTTCCCACAGGTGAGTCACATTTGTGGCTCATCCTTGTGGAGCTGCCCACGCCTCAGCAGCCTTGTGGTGAAAGTCCTGTAGTGATGACACGCTGGAATCGGTTCCCGGCAGAGGTGTGTGAGGCCGTGCGTGAGGCCGGGTGGAGGAACGTGGATCAGCCGTGGTGCCTGTGTTCCAGGGTCCGAGTCCCACCTGTGCTGCTCACTGGCTCCTGGCTCCCGTCTCCCAGGTGCCCTCGGGCCTCAGCATCCTCGTTTGAAATGTGGGGATGATGCTGTCACCAAGGAAACGGTGGTCAGAGGGCCCCGGGCAGGACCAGGCAGGGTAGCTGGCCGTTGGGCGGGAGCTGTCCCTGTTGCTCCTGCACATGCACCCAGTTCCTGTCGCTTTCTCGGCCCTCTCCTTCCTCTACACTTGTGCTCACGGTGTGGATCCGGGCCCCGGGCACTGGCCACAGTCCCGCTCCCCTCCTCACACGCTGAAAACCTGATGGCCACGGGTCCCCGGCTCTTAGGCATCGTCGTGCCCACGTATCCGCGGCCGACCTCGGCCACTCGCCGTCTGGACCCCGTCCCGGAGCCGAGGCCGGCAGAGAGCTGGCTCAGCGGCCCTGGAGTCCGGGCCCCGCGGTCCAGTGGTGGCTGATGGGACGGAGGGGCGGCTGGCGCTGAGGGGACAGATGCCGGCAGAGCGGGCTCTCGGCGTGGTGGCCAGGGCTCTGCGTCCCACGCTGGTTGTCCAGGGCGTCACAGGCCCGGCTGCCTTCCCCTCTCTCTGAAATCAGCAAAAACAGACTTTAAAGGAAGGAAGAAGCCTCTCTCCCACGTCTCTTCCCCCCGTGCTCGTCCCCGTGCGGCGTTCACGTGGCTTGGGCCTGTTTCCTGGGGAAAGGCCTGCGTCTGCCCCATTGTCTTCTGGGGCTGACCTCACTCCCAGCTGAAGGTCACCCCAGCCTCCACTGCGGCTCCTGCACCCCGGCCCGGCGTGGGGGCCCCTCCTCCCCCCGCTTCCTTCGGGGTCGAGGGAGCGCCTCCTGCTGCCAGGTCCCTGTTTGTGTGTGATGACCCCCCCACCAGCCGCTTCCTGCCCTGCGTCTGAGCTCCTCGCTCAGTCCCGGGGGCAGAGCCGAGTGAGGAGGCGTCTAGGGGCCCTGCAGGCGTCCTGCCGGCGTCTCCCCCGGGAACAGGGCACCTGGGCGGGCACTGGGGCGCTTTCCGTGCTGCTGGTGCGTCCGCCTCCATTGTCGGCTCCCAGACCTCCCCCCAACACCAGGGCGGGGAGTCTTTAGGAGCCTCGTTCGTATCCTGCTTCTGGTCCCTTGTTCACCTCTCGTTCGTCACCTGCTTCTGGTCCCTTGTTCACCTCTGCCGAGTGCAGGGCGGTGGCACTGGGGGCTGGACGTGGCGATCCCGGAGGCTCCTGACGACACGGCCTCCGTCACACTCACAGCCTGTGCGCCCTCCGCCCGCCGTCCTCTCTGAGGGGAAGCTCCACCGCTGCCGTCGGATTTGGCCGCCGGTGCCGTCATTGGCGGGTGGTTCCCCAGGTCGGGCATTTGGCTTCTACCCTGTTGCTTCTCCGCTGTACGTGGCGCCCCCCTCCCGAAACAGAAGCAAGGCCACCCACTTCGGCCTGTTTAGGGCTCAGGGGCTGAGCATCCACCTAGGAACCAGGAGGTCAGGGTTCGGTTCTGGTCAGGGCACAGGCCCGGGTTGTGGGCTCCATCCCCAGTGCAAGAGGCAGCCCATCTCGTTGTTGTTATTCTTGTCACCAATTGAGTGATTCTTGTCATTGAAGTTTCTAATCTCTCTCTCCCTCTCCCTTCTTCTCTGAAATCAATAAATTTATCTATCTATGTACTATATATATAAAAGCCTAATATGCAAGTTGTCCCTGCGGGAGTTCAACCAGGAGACCAGAGTTTGATCACTTGTTATGACATGTGCTGACCACCAGGGGGTGGTGCAGGATGAAGAAAGGCCCCAATCGGACCTGATCACTGGGCAGCCCTAGGGACCCTACCTGTGCACGGATTTCATGCACTGGGCCTCTAGTGTGTGTATATGTGTACATATAAAAAGTCGCACTAGAACCAGGACTTCCGATGCAGCCGTGTGGGTTCGGGAGGGACTCCGGGGCTGGAGCCCAGCGCCCGTGTCGGAGGCGGGGCTCCGTTACAGGCGAGCGGCACTGCAATACGTTATGGTCAAAACGCAGTGAGAAATCGGTTCTGCTGGCGAGCCTGCCGCGCCGGGCTCTGCTCCCTGGGCGTCGTCTCCATCAGGAGCCCTGTGGTCCTGCCCCGGTCCACGGACTCTGCGTCCTCCCTCCCGGCACAGCTCTGTCGTGTCACCGGCTCATGGCGTCCGCACACCTCCGTCAGGGCCCGCTGAGTGCCGCCGCCGCTCTGTCAGCGCTGCTGGGGTGAAATGCTAAGCCTTCTGTGTCAGCAGCCGCCCTCGCAAAGCAGGGCTGTTCCTCCCGCTCGGAGGGAGACTCTGAGGCTTGGCAGGGGCGAGAGGATGCCTTCCCAGGCAACGAGCAAGGATACGTTTGGCCTCCCTGCCCCCTGCTGGCCGGGAGAGGGGGCGCCGTACAAGGTGGCGTCCTGGTGGGTGACGGGGCAGCGGGCCTCACCGCACCCCAGCCGTGCCCTGCCCACGGCGTTCCCGGGGGGGACGGAGGGTCGGCCGTGGAGGTGGGACCGGGGCACTGGGTCTCGGCGGAAGGCCGATGCGGCGGGCGGTGTGTGCAGGGGCAGCTCACCGCTGCGCTGCGGGCGGCCTGGTCCTCACAGCGCCCAGGATTTGTCCTGCGAAGCCGCCGCGGCGCCTCGGAGTGGCCCCCGCAGCTGTGACCGGGGCCTGACCCCGGGCTGAGTCTGTCCCCTGCGTTGCAGGCGCTGGATGTGGACCGGACGGTGCTGTACAAGATGAAGAAGTCCGTGAAGGCCATCAACATCTCCGGGCTGGGTGAGTGTGTGTGTGTGAGTGTGTGAGTGTGTGTGTGTGTGTCCCCCGAGGTCCAGGCCGCGGGCCCAGCACCGGCAGGCTCCGCTCTGTCACTGCTAGTGAACAGCCAAGTAATCTCTTTCCTTTTTCTTTTTTAAATACATCTTTAGTGTGGAAAGTATTACATGTGTCCCCATTGACCTCCAGCCCGCATACCCCACCCTGGCCCGCACCACGCCATGGGTTATGCGTGTGTGCATGCAAGGCCTTGGCTGGCTAAGTCTCCTTTTTCTGGGCGTGCAGCCAGAGTGAGCTGAGGTGTTTCTGAGGGAGTCAGTTCACGGTAGGTGTCGGCGGTGTGTGCCGCAGACTGTCCCGCGCTGTGAGGTTCACATCGGAGGGACTCGGAGCAGCCGGGCTGTTTCGACAGCCCGTGAGCCAGAATGGTGTGTACTGTCTGACCGGGACCCACACGGCACTCACGTGTGCCCACACCTGCCTGTCAGCGGACCGGTGCCCGCGGCCCGCCCTCCGAGTTTGGGCTCCGTGGGTGCCGGATGGAGGCTGAGTGTGTGCTGATCAGCTGTGTGCTTGGCTGGCGCGGAATACCCTGTTTCCCCGAAAATAAGACAGTGTCTTATATTAATTTTTTCTCCCAAAGTTGCGCTAGGTCTTATTTTCAGAGGATGTCTTATTTTCGGGGAAACACGGTAGCTGGGGCACACATTTGCACACATATGCACACACCAACACACGAAAACACTCGCATGCATATGCATACGTGTGCACACATGCACAGGTAACACCTAGCTTTATGGACTGGACCGAAAACGCATCAGCAAGCCCCCCACGCATGCAAAGCGACCGCTTTCTTACTGGGCAGTAGGCCTGTTACTTCCAAAGCAGTCACGACAGCGTTTAGTTGAGAAACGGTTTCTACCGCAATTTTCCCCAGTCACAGTGGACTGCGGTCTGAGCGCGATGAAAAAGCCGGTTCGTGTTTGTGCCGGACCCTGGGTGCCGCTGGACGGCGGAGCTGTTTCCTCGCGTGTCTGACGGGGAGGGGAGACGTTCGCGTGCTCTGAAGGTCCCTCCGTTGCAGACGTGGGAGAGGGACCTCGCATCGGGGAACTGAAAGCTCGTGTGGGAGGCCCCGGAGGCGGGTGCCGTGTGGGTGCGGGAGAGTCACTTCCGGGGGCGGCACTTCTGAGGAAGTGAGCTGTCCCCGCTCCCCGCGGGCCAGCCGGCCCGGCAGGTCCCACGGAGAGCGGGGGCGGCGCTGAGGAAGTGGGGGGAGCCGGGGCTCAGATGTGGTCTGAGCTTCGGGCTGTCGCTTCTGCGGTGAAGGCGACCATCGGAATCCCGGTGGGTGGCGGGGGGGGGGCCCGTCAGCCAGGACGCCCGTTCGTCACAGGGAAGCCAAGCCGGAGGCAGCGCCAAGGCTGGAGCCTGAGCCGGGTCAGCAGGGCCGGCCGGGTCCTCCTGGTTCCTGGGGGTTAGGCGCTCTGCCTGGACCTTTCTCACCGCGTGCAGCCTGCCGCGGCCTAAGGGTCTGCACCCAGACCTGGTGTGAGTGATGCAGGCATGCCTTCCCGGGGGCACCCAGCTCTGTCCCGTGGGAGAGGTGTCCGTGACCACAGGCGACTGAAGCAGCACAGGCTACAGGCCGAGGTCTCAGGTGCACGGGAGATGCCGGCGGCGGCGGCAGGTGCCTCCCAGCCTGTTTCCTCGCCCGCAGCTGTCACCGAGATGCGGCTGTGCGTGTGCACGTGTGTGCTGTGTCCCGTGTCCCGTGCACGTGTGCGCTGTGTCCCGTGCACGTGTGCGCCTGCCCTCTGACCGCACACCGGGCGGAGGGTGGTGCATTGTGTCTTCGTCTTGCTGAGCTGCGCTGGCAGTGCCGTCTGCTGCGGAGGGAATAGGCTGTGCGAGTCACTCACACGGCCTCCCGCTGTCCCTCCGTCATTGATGTGGGGAGGGATCAAAGAACAGGGCCAGACTCAAGTGTTCATGGACAGCCTCACCTTTACCTCCCTGGCCCCGTTGCCGGGCGCAGGCAGCCTGGAGGCGGTCCGTGGCTCCCTGTAGGTCAGTGGTTTCAGAGGTCCAAGCGGGAGGCCCAGGAGGCCATGAGGAGATCAGTGAGTTAGAAGGAGGCTGGGCGGCAGGAAGAGCACGGGGTGTGTGTGTGGGGGGAGTGCAGGTGCCACAGGCCGTGTGGCAGGACCGGGTGGCAGGGTCCCCCTCACTACCACCTGAGCCTGAGGTCGGGGGTCACGAGCTGCCCATTCACCGTTCACCTTCCACATGTTCCTGGGGTTTGCACCCCCGTTCTGCTGCTCCTCTGGGAATTCCTACCTGACGTTGGAGCCTCAGCTCAGATGCCCCCTCTGGCACCCAGCACGCCTGGCTCTGCAGCGATGCCTGGCCGGCTTACCTCACCCTGGACGGTGACACGTGCGTCTGAGTCCCAGCAGGGCAGCCACCCTGTGTGGGGGGGAGTGATGAGAGAGGGGGCGGGCGTGTGGGTGGTTGCCTTGTTGCGGGTCCTTTCCGCCCCACCCCGCCCCTGCAGCGCTGGGCGGTGGCCTGCCTGTGCCGTGGCCTGTTGAGTTCTGGTCGGCCCAGTGACGTTTGCTGCACTACACGCACTGGGCATGTCCTCGGTGTCCGTGTTGGCACGTGACAATCAGATAAACAGAGGAGCACACACAGAGCCCAGCCGGCACAGCCGGGGCTGCCTGGGTCCCTGTGCGGGCGCACGGCATCCCCCCACGCGGGCGCAGGCGCGGGGCCCTGTGCGTGAGGTGCGGGCCGGAAGGCCGCCGGCTTCCATGGGGAAGAGCTGGCGTTACCCGTGGTCCCGGGGACTCCTGCCCGCCCTCCCGCCCCTCCCCCGCCGGGACTCCCGGTCTGGATCCCTCGTGAACCGGGTTACGGGAGCGGGAGAGGGAGCTGGTTTTAGAACAGCCTTCACGGGTCCATAAATAAAGCTGAGGCCCAGTCTGGGCTCTCTCCAGAAACTTATTCCCAAGCTGCTTATTTAGGCTCCTGTTTTAAATTTGGTTTTGGCCAAAGAGAAAGACAGGCGCTCCGCCACATTCTGTTCTCCGGGAGGAAAGTCTGCGGCTGGGGGGGGGGGGGGTGGGGGCGGGGTGGACGGGGACGGGGGGGGGGGTGGACGGGGGCGGGGACAGGGGGATGGGATGGGGGGGCGGGGAGGGGGGCCAGAGCCATGGGCTGCAGTCTTTATTAAGAACCTTCACGTTTATTTGCAAGAAGAGAAATTTGTGTTTCAAATCTCAACTAGAGTGCGAGCTGGTTTGGCTCAGTGGCTAGAGCATTGGCCTGAAGGGTCCCGGGTCCGATTCCGGTCAAGGGCACATACTTAGGTTGCAGGCTTGATTCCGGCCCTGGTCAGGGTGCGAATGGGAGGCAAACAATTGAGGTGTCTCTCACATCGATGTTTCTCTCTCTGTCTCTTCCCTCCCTCCAATCTCTAAAAAAAAAGACAAAAGAAAAAGAAATCAATGAAAAAATAGCCTCAGGTGAGGAGTTAGAAGAAAAGAAGAAGAAAAAAACCCTCAGGGAGATCAACTAAAGGTCCCCTGACCGAGGCTGGACAGCGCGGGCGTCAGGAATGATGATGCAGCGGATGGAAGCGCTTTAATATAAATCCGTGCGGTCATCAGGATGCTGAGGGCTGATGATGAGATCACGTTACAAGAGATGATGAGATTGTCATGAGATCATGTTACATGAGATGAGATGAATTTATCATGGCGCATGAGATGATCAGATCATCGTGATAAATATGTAATGGTGATACAGGAGCTGGTGATGATCATGCGATGATGAGATCCTGTTATATGAGTTGGTGATCATGAGATGACACATGAGCTGACACATGGTGAGATCGTGTTACATGTGATGAGATGATGGTGCGTTCGTGTTCCATGAGCTGGTGATGATCATGAGATGATGTGATCATGTTACATGAGCTGGTGATCATGAGATGACATGTGAGCTGGTGAGATCATGTTACATGAGATAAGATGATGGTGCAATTGTGTTCCATGAGCTGGTGATGATCATGAGATGATGTGATCGTGTTACATGAGCTGGTGATCATGAGATGACACACGAGCTGGTGAGATCATGTTACATGAGATGAGATGGTGGTGCAATCATGTTTCATGAGATGACATGTGAGCTGGTGAGATCATGTTACATGAGATGAGATGATGGTGCAATCGTGTTCCATGAGCTGGTGATGATCATGAGGTCATCATGGCACCTGAACCAATGACCGGGATGATGACGCCACCGCGCCGGAAAGCCCCGTGGCCACCATTGGCGTTGCCGGGGTTACTGCGTTACTGCGGAGTTTCTAGGGGAGACTTCTTCCTGATGTAACCGCAGCGGTTGGGAAGCCCAGGAGGGATCGAGGACGTTGTCCGTCCGTCCTCGGTGCCGGAAGGGGAAGCCTGGCTGACGCTCCAGTGCCAGGCTGGCGACGCCCGGGGAGAGAAGGCGGCTCCTCCCCAGGGGCGGGACTGGGCGGCAGCCTGCGCTGTGGGCGGAGGGTGATGGCGCCCTGCCCGCCTCTTCCCAACGGTGTGACCTGGGGGACCCCCTGAGCACCACTTCGTTCAAGGGTAAAGGGCCTCAGGGACCAGGGTACATGGAACCTGAGGTGACAGGCCGCCTGCCAGGGCGATTCCTGCCCTGAGGGTTCACATAGAGCAGCCTGGATGTCTGGGCACCATTTTTGTTTGTTTGTTATTATATATTTTTATGGCTCTCAGTGAGGAAGGGAGAGGGAGAGATAGAAACATCCATGGTGAGAGAGAATCACGGATTGGCTGCCTCCTGCACGCCCCACCCTGGAGATGGAGCCTGCAACACGGGCCGGTGTCCTGACCGGGAATCGGACCGTGATCTCCTGGTTCATAGGGCGATGTTTACCCCCTGAGCCAGGCCGGCCGAGCCAGGCACCAGTTTGAAGGGCTCCACGTGGCCCCCAGGGACTGTGGCCGCTGCATGTGTCCCTCCCCCGGTGCAGTGACCACCCTGGGACGGCCCCGGCCTGGCCGCCAGTTTTGAAATAGTTCTTTTTTTAAAAAAATATATTTTATTGATTTTTTACAGAGAGAAGGAAAGAGGGATAGAGAGCTAAAAATGTCGATGAGAGAGAAACATCGACCAACTGCCTCTTGCACACCCCCCAGCAGGGATGTGCCCACAACCAATGTACATGCCCTTGACCGGAATCGAACCTGGGACCTTTCAGTCTGCAGACCGACGCTCTATCCACTGAGCCACACCGGTTTCGGCTTGAAATAGTTCTAACAGCTTGTGGTTGGGAAGGAATGAGAAGTGGAGTGAAGTGGGAGGTGGAACTGCCGTCTCTGAAATGCAGCTTTTATTGTTCTTTCCCTTCCTTGGATTTTAAGAGAGGAAGGGGGGGAGGGAGAGGTAGGAACATGGATGAGAGGGAAGTGTCACTGATCAGCTCATACTGATACCTCCTGAATGCCCCCAACTGGGGATCGAACCCATGACCAGGAGGTTGATGCTCAACCACTGAGCTCAGGTGTTTGTTCTGCCGAGGGCTCGGTTTCACCCGCGCTGGAGCGCCGGGGGGGGGGGGGGGGGGCATCCCGGTAACCACCCCCTTCCGCCGCAGCGCACGTGGAGAACGAGGAGCAGTACACGCAGGCGCTGGAGAAGTTCGGCGGCAACTGCGTGTGCAGAGACGACCCGGACCTGGGCAGCGCCTTCCTCAAGTTCTCCGTGTTCACCAAGGAGCTGACGGCGCTTTTCAAGAACCTGGTGAGTGCCCGGCCGCGGGCTCGGGGCGCGGGGGGCGGGCCCAGAACATGGGGCTCTGCCGGGCCTGCTGGCCGGACCGGGACGGGTGCAGAGCTCACAGCTCCCGGTGGGTGATCGCTCTGCACACACAGGCCCCGTGGGGCACACCTGAGATCTGTAACGGGAAACAAGGCTTCAAAACAGCCCGGCGTGGTCACTGCGCACAGCTGGGGGGCAGAATGCATCCCTCTGACTGGTTTTTAACCAGTGTCAACTGTAGAGGAGCCTGTTCTGGTGATCACAGTCGGTGTTCAAACCTGTGGCGTGTAAGAACGTGCTTCAGAGCGTCTTACCCAGCAGCGTGACCAGCATCAAAGTGCGGCCATCACCACGAATGTTTAGGCCTTTTTCCTCCCCAACGCGGAGCCGAGGAGGGCTCGCTGTCAGCCCGGGTGGGGGCTGTGCGCCCGGCTGCGGGGCGGCGTGTTCGGCTCTCGCCACCGACTCCCCTCGGAGTCGCCAACGGCCCAGGAAGAGCCCCGTCGATGCTGAGGTGGGGGCCTGGGGTGAAAGGCAGCCCCCTCCCCTGCCCGCAGCTGCGCCCGCTCCCGCCCGGCTGAGGATGGGAGTGAGAGGCCACAGGGAACAGCTCCGGGAGCAGAGACCCTCAGGAAACGGTGTTTCATCCTCAGAGACGCTGTGTCCAGGAGGAAGGGCAGGAAGGTTGTCAGGCAGTTAGACAGTGTAAGGATATGTACCGTGGCCCTGGCTGGGGTGGACCAGTGGATAGAGCCTCGGCCTGCGTTCTGAAGGGTCCTGGGTTCGATTCCAAGTCAGGGTGGGGGGGCGGGCAAGAGGCATGCGATCCATGATTCTCTCGCCGTCGATGTTTCTCTCTCTCTCTCTCCCCCTCTCCCTTCCTCTCTGAAATCCATTTAAAAAATGTTTTACAAAAAGGAAATGTACAGTGAAAAGCCCACGAGGCTGGGTCGGAGTAGAAGAAATTCCTCAGAAAATAGACCGAAAAGACAAAAAAAGTAGGAAATGGAGCGTCCTTGTGTGGCCTCTCGGAACGAGAGCCCAGAGGGCAGAGGGGGGACACGGACTCCCCAGCACCGAGACGATTCTCCCGCGAGGACTCCCAGCGTCCACCCCGCATCTCCGTGGGAAACACACAGACCAGACGCTCCCCTGAGGACCGGGACCAGGAGCCACACGGCCTGGGCTTCTTGGCGGAAACACTGGGAACGGGAAGGTCTGGCACGAGGCCCCGAGTCCCTGGGGGACAGTGTCGTACCCCGAGTCCGCTCGGGGCCGGGAAAGAACGTTCCGGAAGCAGCCTAGCACCTCGGGAGAGGGAGAAGGCGGCAGAGGCTGAGGGAGGTGGTGTTCTCGGGGAGGAGAGTCCCCCCTTTTAAAAGCCTGTGGGTCTTCTGTGCATCGTGCAGTGGAGGAGGCGGGGGGGGGGGGGGGGGGGGCGGGGCTGCGTGCAGAGCCGTTTCTGCGCTTTCCTCCGACCCCAGGGCCGGGAGCATCCTGGGAGGCGGCTGGGAAATGCCTTTTTTTTTTTTTTTTTTTTTTTGTCAATTTTTACCCGAGGTTATTTTTTCCATTGATTTTTTTAGTTAATTTTTTTAGAAAGAGTGGAAGGGAGGGAGGGGGAGAGAGAGAGAAACATCGATGAGCGAGAGACACATGGATTGGTTGCCTCCCACACATGCCTTGACCAGGTCCATGCCCTGGATGGGAATCGAACCTGAGACCCCTCCTGCTTGGGCCAGCACTCTCACCGGTCGGGGCGAGGGGTGTCCTAATGGACGCCTGGCTGCCCCGAAGGACACTCCCGAAAGGCCCCCAGGGTCTGAGACGGCGGTGAGATGTGTGTCGGGCTGCGGAGGGGGGTCTGCGGGGCCGAGGCCAGGGTGGGCGGCCGGGAGGCCGGGGCTGAGGAATGTCACGTCGCTCGTTTCAAAAGAGGAAGCGGGACCCTGCACCCACCACAGGCTGTGGGGGGCGAGGGGCTGCCCGCGGTTCTGTCCACGGGGGTGCTCCGGTCAGGGCGTCCCTGCCTGCGGGACTGACAGGTCGGCGGGAGCACCGTCCGGCTCAGTGCTCCTGTCACCAAGGCTCCTCTCCTGCTCAGCACGGTGCTCCTCCCGGAGGGTCGCGCCACCCCCCCCCCCCCCCCCCCGTGTTCCCACAAGCTTCCCTTCAGCTTCTTTAATAAAAGTGAATATTTTTTAACCTTTTTTTAAAAAAATGTTTTTTAGAGCAAGAGAAGGGAGAGGGAGGGGGAGAGAGATGGAAATATCCGTGGGAGAGAAACATCAATGGGCTGCCTCCTGCACGCCCCCTGCTGGGGACCAAGCCACAACCCAGGCATGTGTCCTAACCAGGAATCAAACCAATCTCTCTCTCAATATCTCTCTCTCTCTCTCTCTCTCTCTCTCTCTCTCTCTCTCTCTCTCTCCTCTCTCGTTGCTGGTCCCTAAAAGTAGGCCTGGCTCAGGCCGACTTCCAGCGCGTCCTGGGAGACCCTTTGGCAGCACAGGCTCACTCTGGGCCAGGTCGAGGAGAAGGCAGAGCCCGTCCCCGGGGTCGAGCTGGCCGGCAGCAGTGCTGACCGGTGACCAGAGCTCAGGGGCCAGCAGGACAGTGCCGGGCTGAGCAGCGGTCGGGAGATTGGAAAAGAGTGTGAAAGATTTGAAAAGAGCGTGGCTCGGGGTTGAGCGTTGACCTGTGAACCAGGAGATCACAGTTCGCTTCCCAGTCAGGGTACATGTCCAGGGGGTGGGCTCCATCCCAGTGTGGGGCGTGTGGACGGCGGGCTCAGCGTTGGGACAGGTTCAAGCCTCGGACCGATGAGGGCACAGTCCTCTCGTGGCCACAGGCAAGTCCCAGCTGGAGGGAGAGCCTCCCGGCACAGCGACAGCCAACAGCTGTGGCTGTCAGCCTGAACCTGTGGTCCAAACACGGGGCCCCACGTGCCTGAGGGACGTGGGCTGACAGAGCTCAGGCGCACGCAGGTGAGTAGATGGGAACGTTGGTAACATCTTCCCTCCCTTTGCCTCGAGGCATCGGCTGCAGAATAAAGACATGGCTGTGGGCGCTGTCACTGTCTCTCCATCAGAGAAGCAGCGTCGCACCCAGACCCAGCTTGTCTGTCTTTTCTTAATCCTTACCACCCCCCCCCTCAGGTTCACCCTTGGCCGTGCTGGCGTGGCATAGGGCGTGCAGGAAGCAGCCTATCTGAGATTCTCTCTCGTCATTGATGTTTCTCTCCTTTTTTCTCTGAAATTGATGAAAAAAAAATATATATATGTGTATATATATATATATATATATTTTTTTTTTTTTTTCAAGAAAGAGTATAAAAGTGACAAAGCTAGAGGCAAGGAATGTCAACACCAAAGTCTTCCTGGGAAGATGGCATCGGCTGGCTCAGTCCCCGCCCGCCCCCGCCCCCCCCCCCCCGCCCCCATCTCCTGGTCCATCTCTGGTTGCTCATCAGCTGTGGCATCAGCGCAGCCAGGTGGTTCTCCATCTCCGGTGACCCCGTCTGCCCCCCCCGCCCCCCACTGAGTCACCCGCGTCTCCTCGGGATTACAGGCCCTGACTGCTGTGCCTCATCTTGTCAGATGCAGGGACGGGCGCAGGCGAACCCGGGACCGAGCCCGCAGGGGCGGGGGCAGGGCGGAGAGGCAGGGCTGTTCCTGTAAAGACGGCTGTTTGCCGTTGGCATTGGGTCCGCAGTGAATGGCCCGGTTGGGATGAGTAATTTGTACTCGCAGCGTCCATGCGTGCTGTTTACAGAGCCGCTGGCTGCACGTGCTCGTTCAGGGGAAGCCGGTGCCTGCTTGGCACGGAGGAAACATCCCTGGCCTTGCTCAGGGATGACCGAACTCTCCCCCAGACCATAAAGCTTTCGGCACGCGTAGCCGGCCCGGGGTGCAGGCCTCCGGCTGTGGTTCGTCTCTCCGGCCAGAATGGCTGCGGGCCGGCGCCTGCCCGGCCCCACGCACACCGTCCCGGAGGTGCAGAGCCAGCTTCCGCCTCGGGGACGGACCGTCGGGGCTCCTGGCCTCCAGCCCGGCCTGAGGCAGCGGTCCCGGGGCCTCGCCCCGACTCTGCACACGCATGCCGGGGAGCCTGTGATGTAGGGGCAGACGGGCCAATGTCCAGTAGGTTGAGGGGGTCTCTGTTTATTTTGTAATAATTTTATTTTTAAAGTGGATTCCCTTTGCTCTCCTTTTAAAAAATATATATTTTTTTAAATGTGTTTTTATTGATTTCAGAGAGGAAGGGAGAGAGAGAGAGAGACATCCATGAGGAGAGAGCATCCTGGATTTGCTGCCTCCTGCAAGCCCCAGAAATCCAACCAGAAAACTGGGCATGTGTCCTTGACACCAGGAATCGAACCCTGACCTCCTGGTGCCCAGGTCCATGCTTAACCACTGACCAACACCGGCCAGGCTATTCTTATTTATTTTAAAGAGAGAGAATGGGAGAGGAAGTGAGACAGAAACATCGATCAGTTGCTGTCTGCACACCGACTGGGGGATTGAACTCCCAACCCCTGCCTGTGCTCTGACCGGGAATTGAATCTGTGACCTTCAGTGTAAGGGTCGAAGCTCAGCCACCAACGTAGCCACCCTGTTCAGGGCTGTAACAATTTCTCCTAAAAAGCCGGCTTTGTCGAGGTGTATTTTGCTGTCGTAAAATTTCCCCATCTCCGGGGTGCAGGTCAGTGAAGTCTGCTGCCTTTCCCCGCTGGGGCGGCCGCATCCTAAATTAGTTTGGGGACATTTCCTTCCCCCAGGAAGGTCCCCCACATCCTCTGCGGTTAACTATTTCTTGCTCCCCGCCCCCCCCCAGCTGGAGGTAACTGCTAATCTACTGTTTGTCTCGTAACCATTTAGCTAATCACCTTCTGTTTAGAGAAGTAACAGCCTCCCATTTTACATGACTGAGTGGCTCCAGAAAGAAGGTTGGAACGAGGCCAGAGCCCCCTTCGCCGATGGCAGCCCCATCTCCCTCTGCTCAGGGGGCTCGTGTCCCTGCGCTTCTCCACCCTGTTCCTCTTCTTCAAATGTTTTTTGCTTTTTAGAGAGAGGGGAAAGGAGGATAGAGGGGTAGAAACATCGATGAGAGAGAAGTGTGCCTCGCCAGCACGGCCAAGGGTGAGCCTGAGGGGCGGTGAAGACAGACGAGAAGGAAGCTGGGTCTGGGTGGGGCGCTGTCCTCTCTGACGGAGTCTCTGACGGAGAGCGAGCGACAGTGCCACGGACCACAGGCCGTGTCGTTATTTTACGGCCGACGCCACGGGGCAAAATGAGGGTGGGTCAGAGGTTTATAACGTTCTCCTGGGCTTCGATCCTCCTCAACGACGCGCACCTGAACTGTCAAGCCCACGTCCCTCAGGCAGTGGGGCCCCGTGTTCGGACCACAGGTTCAGGCGCACAACCACAGCTGCTGGCCGTCGCTGTGCCGGGAGGCCCTGCCCTCCAGCTGGGACTTGCACGTGACTTTGCCACGAGAGGACTGTGCCCTCTCATCGGTCCGAGGCTTGAACCTGTCCCAACGCTGAGCCCGCCCTCCACAGAGAAACATCGATCGGCTGCCTTCTGCCCCCCCCCCCAGCCCCCCGCAGGGGGTCCAGCCCGCACCCGGGCCTGTGCCCTGACGGGGAGTCACACGGGCGGCCCCTAGGTTCCTGGGTCAACACTCAACCACTGAGCCATGCCGGTCAGACCACCCTGTTCCCCTTCCTGCCGGGACGCCCTCCACCCGCTCCTGCAAGACAGAACCCCCTCCGCAGTCTGTTCACGCCCATCAGCAAGGGTTCCCTGGTTCCAGACTCAAGTCATTCCTCGTCTGGAACGTCCCGGGTCCTATTTCCGGCTCTGGGAGTGTTGGGGGCGCTGTGTTTTCCCCACTATGCGTTCACCGCCCCCATTGCACCGTGGGTTCCGGAAGCCGGGTCCATCTAATCCGTCTTTGTCTACACACACACACACACACCTCCCCCCCTGGGGCTGCAGCTTCATCTCCCGCCAGCCAGGGCCGCCTGCCTCCCACCATCTGGCACAGCGGAGACGGTGATGACTGTCTGTCCCCACGGGCGCGGCGGTCACCGGATCTGCCACAGCTTTCCCCTCTTCCCGCTGGATCCCGACACTGAGCCCAGCTCCTCGCACCCCGGCCTGCCCTTCGCCGCGGAAACCGGGGTGCCTCCCGGCCCGTTCCTTTCGGCCCCACTCGGCTCCTCGGGGTTGGGACGTTCTGCTCCCAGGCTGGTCCCGGCGGTCGGAGCCGGTGCCGCTGTGACAGATGCTGGTGTCGGAGCAGGACGCGCGTTACCCCAGCCCAGGCCTTTCCGGGGGTCATGGCCGGGTCAGGACATGCGGTCTGTGGAGGCGCCGTCCACCCCTGGCCGTGAGCTTTCCGGCAGAGTGCGCTCTGCATCCTGGCTCCGGCGCTGACCGTGTGTAGAACCAGGCCCGTCTCACAGCCCGTCCTGTTCCTGGCGACCAGGTGAACACACAGGTGTTCTTCGCCGTCTGTGAACGTGTGAGGCCCCGCAGGTCTCTCTCCTCTTCCCTTCACAGCCTGTAACCGGGTGCGGGACCCCCCCAGCGACACATGCCCCCCAGGGGCCCCACCCCAACTCCCGCCCCCATCCCAGGGGCGCCCTCGACTTATGTGCTCCTCCGGGCTGGACCTCTGCAAGCTCTGCCCCCGTCTGTGCGGCAGCCCTCCCGCCGAAGCTGCCCCTCACCTCACAGGAGTCTGCGGGGAGGGGCGGCTCCCAGGAAGGAGCCCTGGTTCTGTTTCTCCGCGTGGCCACTCCCACCCCGTCGGGGGCCGTGCTGGGGAGGTGGGGTGGCGCTCACGCTGAGGCCGGAAAGGCTTGTCTTCCCGGCAGGGCTACCTTTCCCCACCGATCGCTGAGTCGCAGGAAGTGGCCGAGTGGAGGCGGGAAGGCGGCCGCGTCGCCAGCGTCTGGGGGGCCGACGCGGTGGTCCTCGCCGCTGGGCCGCGGGGCCTGAGCCGCCCTCCGTCTTGTCTTTCAGATCCAGAACATGAACAACATCATCTCCTTCCCGCTGGACAGCCTGCTGAAGGGGGACCTGAAGGGCGTGAAGGGGGTACGAGGCTCCGGGGGGCGGGGGGACCTGAGGTGCTCGGGCGTGGGGCCTGCAGGGAGGGAGATTGAGCAGCCGGGTGAGGGGTGATGGAGGCTCACATCTGGGCCTCCAGCTGCCGTGTCCCCGGCTGACCCGGGGGACAGGCTCCCCACAGGGACGGAGACTCCGGATGGGGAGTCTGACCGCGGCTCCCGCTGCCTTTTCCGCCCCTCGCTTAGCGGGGGCCACGCACAGACACGTGACTCGCTTCACGGGCGGGAGAGGCGGGGCCGGGATTGGGGGGTTGGGGCGTGGTCCCCGCTGCAGAGCACCGGGCACATCGGGAAGCCCGGCAGCCTGTGCCAGGAGAGCCGTGGGCAGGGGGGACGGGCCCCCAGCCGGTCAGGCACCAGCAGCTGCCCTTGTCCCCTCGGGGCCGGAGCATGGGGCCGAGGGCAGAGGGAGGACCCAGAAAGCTGGGCAGGAGGCTTCAGTGTCACTGGGCCAGGCGTCGGCGGAGTCGGGGTGGGGCTGGGGGCAGCCAGGGCTGGTGCAGGGCCTTCGGGGCCGGCTGGGAGCTGAGTCCGCCAGGAGGCCGGCACAGAGCCAGAACGTAAGCCCACCCGTGGAAGGCCGTCCTCTCCCGAAAGACCCTGCTGACAGCGTGGCCCGGGGCTGCTGGGGGCCCCGAGCTCGGCCCCTCTAGCCAGACCTCCGGGTGCGCCCCAGTCCCCGGCCGGGTGGGGGGGGGGCGGGAGGATGGCTTGTCGATCGTGGGCCCTGCAGCCTGTTGAATTGGCGCCTCTCCGCCTGCAGGATCTGAAGAAGCCTTTCGATAAAGCCTGGAAGGACTACGAAACCAAAATGTGAGTGTTTCCCCTTGACACGCACCTCAGCAGGGGGCATCTCAGAGTTCCACTTAGACCCAGCCTTTCCAGCTGAAAGGGGTTGTCTGACCAACCCCGGGCCAGGACACCTGCCGGGTTGCCAGGGGCCGTCACACCTGGTGCCGAGCGCCGCCCTGCTGGCCCCTTTACGCCAGGTTTCCTGGTGCCTTTGGTTTCCTGCCAAAGGGTTACGGGTGGGACTTCCGGGGACGTTCGGGGAAGGAAGTCGAGGTGCCTTCCCGAGGCGCCTCTTCCCTTCCCTTCCCTTCCCCGTGTCATCCCTGTCGGCCCCGTCTCCTGGGGATTTGTGGGTCCCTTGGCGTGGGCCGCGTTTCTCTGCCTCACCGGGTTTCAGCAGAGGAGAGAAGAGGTGGTGGGTCATCCCCCCTTCCCACCCCGTCAGCCTCACCTGGCTGCCTGCCTCTCTGCCTCCTCTGCCCCGGCCGTGGGGGCCGTGGGGGCCGTGGGTGCTGAGGGGCGGCGGGTGCAGTAAATGCTCAGCCCAAGGCCAAGGTGGGCGTGCCTGAGGCCGCAGGCAGCTCCTCTGCGGTATGTTGGGGGCGGCCGGGCCGGGCCGCGGGCGGTGACGCTGCCCGGTGACCTTGCCCGGTGACCCTGCCGTGCCGCCTAGAACCAAGATCGAAAAGGAGAAGAAGGAGCACGCCCGGCTGCACGGCATGATCCGCACGGAGATCAGCGGCGCCGAGATCGCCGAGGAGATGGAGAAGGAGCGGCGCCTCTTCCAGCTGCAGATGTGCGAGGTGAGGCCGACGCAGCCCGGACACCGCCGCCCTGGGGGCCCTCGCCTCGCTCCTGCAGCCGGTCACGTGCGGCCGAGCAGTCACCTGTATGTCAGGGCGCTCGGGTGGCAGCAGAGGGCCAGGGCACTGGGCGTGGCCTCGGGGCTGGCGCCTCTGCCACCAGCTCCCGCCCGCCCCACGGAGGAGAAACGGACGCGTGGGCTGCCCCCGCCCCCTCGCTGAGCCGGAGCCGCCTCGGCCGCTGATGCCCCTGACTGTGCTTTGCTGTGTTCACAGTACCTGCTGAAGGTCAATGAGATTAAGATCAAGAAGGGAGTGGACTTGCTTCAGAACCTGATCAAGTACTTTCATGCCCAGTGCAAGTAAGTTCTCCCCCTGGCTGGTTTGGCTCAGTGGATAGAGTGTCAGCCTGGGAACGGAAGGGTCCTGGGTTCCATTCCAGGCAAGGGCACATTAAAAAAAAAAAAAAGACTGTTAGACCCGATGCAAGTAAGTTCTCTGTCCTTGTCACGGGTCACGGCAGGTCTGTCTGTCTGTCTGTCTCTCTGGCACATTCCGGTCGATCGATAGCAGCGGGTCAGCCTTTTCCATCTCGTGGCACCAGGAGGTGGAGAGTCTGCGGCACGCCCAAAACCCCCGTGGTGTTTGCCCATCTGGCAGAAATAGGCGCTTCCGGTCCCTGCACGCCAGGCGGCTGCGTGCTGGCCGTTGTCCCGTTCACGTGACCGTGTCAGAGCACAGACTCCGTGTCCCTGGCTGAGGGAGACACCGGAGCGCACGGCCTGCCATCCCTGCTCCCCAGAACCCTGCCCTGCTTCTCCGCGCCTTCCCCAGCACCGCCTCCCCCGGCCTCGCCCAGACGGAGCTGCTCCTCGGAAGTCCGTCTGCTCGGGGCCTGATGTGATGACGGCTCTTCCTGCATCGCCATGGCAACGCCTTTCCTGTTGTGCGACGCCTCCCCCTGACCTGTACACTCTTTTTAAAAAAATGTTGTGTTGGTTTTGGAGAGCGAAGAAGGGAGGGCGGGGGAGAGAGAGAAATATTGACGTGAGAAACATCCATCAGCTGTCTCCCACACCCCAACTGGGGATGGAGCCCGCCACCTGGGCATGTGCCCTGACCGGGAATCGAACCGGTGACCTTGTGCACGGGACGATGTTCCCGCCTCCTGAGCCACCCTGGGCAGGGCTGACGGTGCGCTGGTAAGGAAACAGCCGCGGCGTTGACTTTCTCTGTCTGGAGGCGCCACGCGTTCACCTGTGACTGGTTGCCACGGTGACCCCGGTGGAATGGAGCCGAGGCCGCTCCGCGGAGGGGCGGGCGGCAGCGAGCTTGGGGAGCCGCCGCCGAGGTGGCCTGCCCCCTCCTGCCGTGGAGAACCCCCAGCGGGCTCTTCCACGGACGCAGAGCCCGGCGCGGCGATGGACGCAGATGGCTTTCTCGGTCCGTGGCCTCGTGACCTTCCAAGAGGCAGCTTAGGAAGTGGGTCGCTTCCTCTGGTACTTTATTTTTAAGAAGCAGCTATTCTTGGATTTCCTTTTTTTTTTTTTCTCCTTTATTTTGCCCAAACTGATCAGTTGGGTAGCAACTGGCCCCCTGTGGAACGTGAACTAGTTGGCCTTTTATGGGCATGAGCTCAGCAACCTTTAAAAAGGATGCTTCGTCCGGAGCTTCCTTTCTGGATGAGCGTGTGTGTGTGTGTGTGTGTGTGTGTGTGTGTGTGTCACTGTGCTCTTCAAGCTACTCCACGGCCTTGGGCTGTTTTAATGCGTCGCTTGGGAGATAAAATGCGGAGCGGATGGTTCAGCAGACGGACAGGAGGCGGTGGCCACGCGGAGTTTACCACCTGGGGTTCCTTCGAGCCCCCAGACACGGCCCCTCCGGTCTCCGCTCGTCCCCGGGAGCTCGGCGGTGTGTGGGGAGCGGGTCCCGGGGCTGCAGGGTGAGGAGGCCCCGGACGCCGGGTGCCGGGAGCCGCGGGGGCTCCCCCGGGCCCTCCTTGGCTGGGCGGGGTTTTGCCTTTTGCCGTAGACGGTTGGGAAGAGTCAGCCGTCGTGCCCTTGGTCTTTTATTTCGTTTGGGGAGAGAATCGGTCCGTCTCTCGGCCCCGTCCCTGGAGCCGCCGTCCAGTGGGTCTAGAAACGGGCGCCTTTAACACAGCAACAGGGACACCAACAGGGAGGGTCCTGTCCCGAAAGGCGGGAAGAGTGTTGAGTGACGTGTTCTCTGGCCCATCCGTGCGGAGACCGCTGGGCCTGCTCTGCTTGGTGAAGCCGGCACCGCGATGGAGGAGAGGCCCGCTGGCCCGGTGCAGGATGCTGGCCGGTGCCTGGAGCTGCTGGTGCTGTGACGGGGACCAGAGGCCCCCGTCTTCTCCGTTCCCCTCGAGGGTTCGCGCGCACACTGACCGGGGTGCGTGGTAGAGCATCAGCCACGGCCGCGGAGCCGTCTGCTCCCGCTGATCTCCTAACTCCCGCTCCCGGCCGGAGCCTCTGCCGCCCTCCTCAGCCGCGTCCGTTCCCCATGGTCACAAACGGAAAGCGTGGGGCTCGTTCGCGGGTCCAGAAAAGTCACACCTGTGTCGCCTGACTGCAGCCCCTCCCGCCCCCTCCTCCTCGTGCTGAGCGTCTTCTGGTTCTGGACACACGTCCCCCTTCCCCCCGGAGTGACAGCGGGCTCAGCCCCTCTCCTCGAAGTGTCCTCTCGGGCGGACAGGATTGTTCTGCAGGGACCACGGTCTGACTCCTCTTTCCTCCAGTTTTTTCCAGGACGGACTGAAGGCCGTGGAAAACCTCAAGCCCTCCATCGAGACGCTGTCCACCGACCTGCACACGGTGCGCCCCACCTCCCCCCACGCCCCAGGCCGCACGGCATTGGTGCAGCGGCCGCTCCTGCACCTGTTGCTTGTCTGGCCTGAGTTTGCTGCTGGGACCAGCCGCCGGCCGCCCAGCAGTGGCCCCGGGCACGGAGCCCCGCGCTCGGCCGGGGACGGCTTCGGGAGGGAGGGGGCAGGGGTCCCGGGGCGTGGGGTGCCCTGTGCACGCCAGCCTCTCGCTGTATCTCTGTCATGCCTCTCCCCCTCTCTGTTTTGTTTCTGAAGATCAAGCAGGCCCAGGATGAGGAGCGGAGGCAGCTGGTACAGCTGCGGGACATCCTGAAGTCGGCGCTGCAGGTGGAGCAGAAGGAGGTGAGGGCTCTAACTGCAGAGACGGCTGTTTGGTTCTGGGCCCGAGGAGGGCGACTCCCGTGTCTCCCAGGGGCTCTCAGACCCTGCTGGGCTGTCCCAGCAGCAGACACGGCCAGCGGGTTCCCGGAGTGCGGGGCCCGCCGCCCGCCCGTGGGACCCGCCCCGGGGGAATGGGTGTGCTTCCTGGGGCCCGGCCCGGTGGCTGCAGGCAGTGCTTCTGTTCGGCCCGGTGTGGGACTGCAGGGCGCTCTCAGCCTCCCCCAGAGGCACGCCCCTCAGGGGTCCCTGACTCCCCTGCCCCCGGCCCCCAGCTCCCACCGTAATGTGCAACGTGGCGTAGGGGTGCCTCCTGGTGGTGGAGGGCGTGTCTGAGTGTCCCTGTGGACTTCAGATAATCGCTTGTTAGGCTCCTTCGGGCCTCGGCCACCCCCTCGGGCCTCGCCGAGCCCCTTGGTCCCCGGACGGACCGCCAGCTGGCGCCGCTGCCTCCGTCCGCGCCGGACTCGCCTCGGTGGTTGGGCGCTGCTGTGCTCTAACCGAATATTGTTGTTTCTCTCCCCAATGCGTTTGCCTTTGGTGACCGAAGTCTAGGAGAGTAAGTAGTTCAGCATTTTAATAAATGGGAGAGTCTTGCATGCTTTCTTTTCAAACTTCAACAAACAACCAAAAACCCCCGGTTTCTTCCACGTAGAGTGAGGAGGAAAGCATTCTCCCTGTCATCCCTTCTCTCTCGGAGCAGGGGCTCGGGAGGGGCTGAGGGACTTGAGTGCACAAACTCCGGTGAAGTGGAAATCCCCCCGTGTCCTGTGTCCCGTGTACCGTGTCCCGTGTTCCCACGCGCTGTCCTTCCTGTGGAAGTGAAACGGCGCCCTCCACCCGTGCCCTCCCCCTCGGGAGGCAGCGAGGGGGGAGGATTCTCTCTCATCACAGAGACGTTTCTAAAGTCAATGTTTTATTTATTTATGTTTTAAACCAAGCATGGCTCACGGGCTGAGCGTCAACCTATGCATCAAGGAGGTCCCAGTTCGATTCCCGGCCAGGGCACAGGCCCAGGCTGCGGGCTCAGTGCCCAGTAGGGAGCCGTGCAGGAGGCAGCCGACGGTGCTTCCCTCTCATCATGGATGCTCCCTCTCCCTCTCGCTGCCTCTCTGACGTCCATGGAAGTATAGACATAAGTAACTAGAATGTAAAAGGTCGCTTCCTCCACTCCCTGTCCATTTCCCCGTTGGCCCCTCCCTGGCTGAGCCCGTGCTCCTCAGCTCAGACCACGCGATTGTCCTGTGAGTTCTTTCTTCGGCTGGGCCGTGCCTGGTACCCGGGCCAGTCCCGGGCTTGGGGGGAGATGGGACCAGGCCCCGTGAGGACATGTGGTGTCCGGGAAGGAGCATCAGCCTGGGAGGCGGGTGCAGGGCCTGTTGGCACCCGGCCCCCACAGGCTCGCCAGGCCCTGCTCCTCCAGCAGATCCCCTGTTCCTGGTGTTTCTCCCATCGTGAAGGGAGTTGTTGGGGGTCCGAGGGGCAGGTGGAGGCAGCCTCTGCCCTCCTGGTTAACCTGTGAGCTCGAGTCCACGTTTCGTCCCCGTTTGCCCTCACACCTGCCAGAAGCTTGGCCCTCGGCTCACCTGAGACGGGGCGGGGCCGGGCGGGGCCGAGGCCCGGGGGAGGGGTCAGGGAGTGAAGGTCGCTCAGCGCCTGCCCGGTACCGGGTGTGCAGGCACGTGACCTGGCTCAGCCCTTCCCACTTGACCTTCCGCCAGGTGGTGGCTGCCTGTCTTCCTGGAGGAAGCCGGGCCTCAGGACGGGCCTCGGAGGGGCAGGGCCTGCTGTTGGGTTGTTGGGGGCTGGTTTTGCTCGGAGGGGCCCGTGCGCTGCTCAGGACCTCTTGGCCATGATCGGGGACGGCGGGTCATTGCCGAGTCACGCCGGTAGCTTCCCAGCGGTTCACCGTGGCCGGTCTGGGCGGCTGGTCTTAGCCACGCCCTTCAGCCCGGTGGGTGGCCTTCACCAGCTCCTGGACAGGAATTATTTGTGTGTGTGTGTGTCTGTGTGTCTGTGTGTCTGTGTGTCTGTGTGTGGGGGGGTGTCTGTGTGTGTGTGTGTGTGTGTGTGTCTGTGTGTGTGTGGGGGGGGGTGTCTGTCTCTGTGTGTGTGTGTGTGTGTGTGTGTGTGTGTGTCTGTGAGTGTGTCTGTGTGAATGTATGTGGTGACCGGGGGGGATGTCTAAGCAGAGCCTCAGGGCAGGGTGCCCTGTGTGAGCACACGGCCTCCGGCCCCTTTAGGACTCGCAGCTGCGCCAGAGCACGGCCTACAGCCTGCACCAGCCGCAGGGCAACAAGGAGCACGGCACCGAGCGCAGCGGCAGCCTCTACAAGAAGAGCGACGGGTACGGGCCGGGCGGGCGGGTACCGGGTCTGCCAGCTCCTGAGGCCGGAGGGCCTGACGTTTACCCCTTCTCCGGAAGGATCCGGAAGGTGTGGCAGAAGAGGAAGTGCTCCGTGAAGAACGGGTTTCTGACCATCTCCCACGGGACGGTGAGTGCCTCCGGGCTCGGTCTGCGGGGGGCGAGCTCGGTGCCCTGAGCGCGCCCGGCGGGCGTCCTGCGTGCGGCCGCGGGGTCTCCACGCCAGGAAGCCGGTCTGCGGAGAAGCGAGCGCACCTGGACCCATTGCAGCCGGGCGGGGGGAGCCTCGAACCCGCAGCCAGGAGGGGGTGGCAGGTGCGCCTCATGCCCAGCTGGGACCCAGGAACACACAGAACCAGCCTGGCCCTGCCCCCCACCCATCTCTGGAGAGGAAGCGAGCGTCCCCCAGGACTCGGGGACCCCAGAGGCCAGTGATGCCAGTCCCCTCACTCTAGACAGCTGAGCCTCCGAGCCCGCCTAAGACTCCGCCCCGGCCTGAGACTCCGAGTGTTCGCCCAAGGAAAACCCGGGGGAGCAGGCTGGCTGGTCCGGTGCCCGCCGCCCGCCCGCCGCCTGTGCCGGGAGGAACCGGAACGGACGGCCCGCGTTAGCCAGGCTCCATCTTGGTCCCGGGGAGTCCACGGGCGTGGCCTCGAGAGGCTGGGCGTCCCTGGGGGAGGGCTGCCCTGTGAGGGCCGGGGTGGTCCCCCGGGAGGCCTGCCTGCTGGGGGGGGTCTGAGTGAGCGGGGAAAGCCCTGCCGCTGTTTGGAGGGTGAGCCGTCGGGGTTCGTTCCCCCCCCAGCTCTGCGTTTGCGTCAGTTTGTTTACTCCCTGACAGGCGAACCGGCCCCCGGCCAAGCTCAACCTGCTCACCTGCCAGGTGAAGACCAACCCCGAGGAGAGGAAGTGCTTCGACCTCATCTCACGTGAGTCCGTTTCTCAGACGCTGCGCCCGGGGGCGGCGGGGGGCCTTCGAACCCAACACCCGGGCCGGGCTGTCCCCTGCGCCTGCGGAAGGGCTGGTTAGGGAGAGAGAGGCCTGCGTTCCAGGTGGAGGTGACTGTTCCCGGGGTGCCTGGCCCGCCCCCCAACTCCGCACGCCTCAAGGCCTCGTCCCAGCCCCCTCCCCCCTCCCCCCTCCCCCCTCCCTCCTCCCTCCTCTCTCCTCTCCTGCTAGCAAACGAGGAGAAAACTGGGTCAGCCCTTCCTTATAAAAGAGGAAGCACCTGTGATGTCAAAAACGCTGCAGCCCGCTGCTGTGGACGCAGCATCAGCAGCGGATGCAGCATCAGCAGTGGACTGAAGGGTCCCACGTTCGATTTCCTGGTCAGGGCACAGGGCCAGGTTATGGGCTCAGTTACCAGTAGGGGGCGTGCAGGGAGCAGCCCGTCAATGAGTCTCCATTGATGCTTCTATCTAGCTCACCCTCTCCCTTCCTCTCTGAAATCAATAAAAAAGTTACATATATATATATATATACACACACACACACATACATGTGTACGTATATATGTACATATGTATAGTCTAAGAAGCACTGTTGTTAAAAAAAACAAAACCGCTGCCCACGTGGGGTTCAGGCCGCGAGTAGCTCTCATGTTTGATGGGTTTGTGCTCGGACCTCGGGCCCAGCCCCTGCTCAGTGAGCCTGCCGTGAGCGCCAGGCAGGTCCGCTCCTCTGGCTGTCAGAGCCTCCGCCGCCGGGAAGGCAGCGTGCGAGGGAGCGGGGGCGCCTGCCTCTGTGGGACCCGCGTGCGCCCTGGCGCGGTGCCCCGCTGCCCCTGAGGCTGGTGGTCGGCGGCGCCCGCTCCGCTGACGGCCCCTCTCGCCCGCAGATGACCGCACGTACCACTTCCAGGCGGAGGACGAGCAGGAGTGCCAGATGTGAGTGCCGCCCGCGGGCGCGGGCCGGGGGCGGGGCGGGGCCGGGCCGGCACGGCGCCCTCTCCCCCCAGCTGGATGTCTGTGCTGCAGAACAGCAAGGAGGAGGCGCTCAACAACGCCTTCCAGGGCGACGACCCCCCCGGCGAGAACATCGTGCAGGAGCTGACCAAGGAGATCATCGCCGAGGTGCAGCGGATGCCGGGCAACGACGTGTGCTGCGACTGCGGGGCGCCAGGTGACCTCCCGCCCGCCCCCGGCCCGGCCGCTGCTTCTCCCTCCGCAGCTTTTTTTTAATATATATATATATATTTTATTGATTCTTTACAGAGAGGACGAGAGCGGGATAGAGAGTTAGAAACATCGATGAGAGAGAATCATCGACCAGCTGCCTCCTGCACACCCCCCACTGGGGATATGCCTGCAACCAAGGTCCGTGCCCTTGACCGGAATCGAACCCGGGACCCTTCAGTCCGCAGGCCGACGCTCTATCCAATGAGCCACACCGATTTTCTGCTCCCTCCGTTGCTTTTTAATTGATATTTCTGGAGAGGAAGGGGGAAGGAATGAGGGATAGAAACATCAGTGAGTGTCCTGCCTGGTGTGGCTCCGTGGATAGGGCATCGGCCTGTGGACCGAAGGGTCCTGGGTTCAATTTTGGTCAAGGGCACGTACCTCAGTTGCAGGCTCCCCCCCTGGCCTGGGCCCTGGTTGGGGTGCGTGCAAGAGGCAACCCCTCCATGTGTTTCTCTCTGTCTTTCCCCCTCTCTTCCACTCTCCCTAAAAACCAACGGAAAGTGTCCTCGGGTGAGGGTTATAAAAAGAAAGGAAGAAACATCGGCGAGAGGAATTCCCTCCACCCACGGCCCCCTGCACACCCAGCCGCCCGGGGACCACGGTTGTGCTGTGCACCGCTGTGTGTTTCTAAGGACGACTAGCCGTTCTAGAGAGAACCGTACGGCTGGGCCCGTCTCTGAGCTCCGCATCCTTGGTCAGGCGTTTCTCGAGCACCTACTGTGTGCCACCCAGTGTGGGCCCCTCCGGGGTGCAGCCCCCCCGGAGGAGCACCGGTGTGACCCAGGCCGGGCCGCCGGCTGGCTCTGCCCCTGCAGCCCCAAGCGAGGCCCTCTGGGCGTGTGCAGGCCCCGCCCTGCTCCCTCCGGGCTCTGCGTGCCCGCACTCGAAGTGTGAGCTCTGATCGCCACCGGAGTGCTGTGCACAGGGCGTGGCATCCACTCGCACTGTGTCCTCTCTCTCTCATTAGCCCCCGTGAACGTAGACATGCGTGGCCGGAGTCAGCTCCCCCTGAGCTGGCGTGACCCGATCGGTGACGGGCGCAGCCTGTTCCTGCTCGCCCATCACCAACCGAATGCCAGGGCGGGGAGGTGGGGGTTGGGAAGAGGGGAGGACAGACAGGTGCCCGTGTGTGCGGAGTGGTTCTGGCGAAGGCGGGCCTGGCTGCATCACGAGAAGGTGTCGGTGCCTGAGCTCCATCCGCGGGGACTGCGAGGGCATGTCCCGGCCCCCGGCCCTCCGCTTCCCGGGCTCCAGCCCTGTGTTCCCTCCACAGACCCCACGTGGCTCTCCACCAACCTGGGCATCCTGACCTGCATTGAGTGCTCGGGCATCCACCGCGAGCTGGGTGTGCACCACTCCCGCATGCAGTCCCTCACGCTGGACGTCCTGGGCACGTCCGAGCTGCTGGTAACTCCCCGCCTGGGCCGGGCCGGGCTGGGGGGACGTGCACCGCGGAGAAAGCCCACTGCTCAGGCCTTCCAGCCCACTTCGGTTTCCCTGGTTTTCTTTGACATATTTGTATTGAGTTTTGGAGAGGAAGGGAGAGGGAGAGAATCATGGCTCAGCTGCCTTCTGCACACCCCCCACTGGGGAGGATGGAGCCCACAGCATAGGTATGTGCCCTGACCTCCTGGTTCATAGGTCGATGCTCAACCACTGAGCAACACTGGCCGGGCTGTTTTCTTTTTTCAAGATGTTAAATTTTTATTTGAATTGGAATTTTAAGATAATTTGGGGGGGAGGCCAGGCTCATGTTTGAATTTTTCCCGGGGGAGCGGGGTGCCAGGCAGTAAGTAGAAGTGGGTATTGATTGCATTGGTTTTAGTGTCAAGAGCAATCTGGACAGAAGATCAATTCCTGTGGTCAGTAGACCCTCGAGGGGCCAGCATCTCACTGACGCACCCTCAGGGCCCGCGGGTCTGAGCCTGCCATGTCTGTGACCGCCTGTAGCTCCTCCCGGGCTCCGAGGAAGTCCTTCCTAGTCTGGCAGGACAGCGTGGGGAGACCCAAGGTGGACTCCAGTCAGTGACACCCCCACGTCAGAGACACCCCCACATCAGACACACCCCAATGTCAGTGACTCCCCCACGTCAGACACCCCATGTCAGACACACCCCCATGTCAGACACACCCCAATGTCAGTGACTCCCCCATGTCAGTGACACCCCCTTGTCAGTGACTCCCCCACGTCAGACACACCCCAATGTCAGCGACTCCCCCACGTCAGACACCCCATGTCAGTGACACCCCCACGTCAGTGACTCCCCCACGTCAGACACCCCTCGTCAGACACATCCCCATGTCAGACACCCCCATGTCAGTGACACCCCCAGGGAGGGCGCTGCAGACGGACGCTCCGGTACGGGCATGCTGCCTCTTCACTCGGGTTACGGGTCCCTTTGGGGCTGAGGGCCGTCCATCGGTATGAGAGGCAAACCACTTCATGGCTCTCCTTCGTAGTGGCCTGAGCCGCCCTTAGCTGGCCGAGGCGTGTGTGTGTGTGTGTGTGTGTGTGTGTGTGTGTGTGGCGTGTACGGCTGAGCCCTGAGCAGGTTGTGTCGTTGCAGCTGGCCAAGAACGTGGGGAACGCGGGCTTCAACGAGATCATGGAGAGCTGCCTTCCCGCCGGGGACCCCGTCAAGCCCGGCCCGGGCAGCGACATGTGAGTGGGCGGGCCGGCCCGGGCCGGTGCCGGGGGGCAGGAGAGCACACGTGGGGGCACACGAATGCGTTTGCCGGCCGCGGGGCTGGAGGCCTCGGGCGGTTACGAGGCCGTTGCGCTCGCTCCCAGGACCGCCCGGAAGGACTACATCACGGCCAAGTACATCGAGAGGAGGTTCGCGCGCAAGAGGCACGCGGACAGCGCAGCCAGGCTGCACGGCCTGTGCGAGGCCGTCAAGGCCAGGGACATCTTCGGGCTCCTCCAGGCCCACGCCGATGGCGTGGACCTCACCGACAAGGTCCCGCTGGCCAACGGGCATGTGAGTGCTCGGCGGGGCCGGGCTGGGAGCCGGGAATGCCGCGGGCGGGGCATGCCGTGCGGAGGGCGCGGGCGGTTCCCGGGAGCGTGGGCACCGTGGGCACTCGGGGCCGGGCCTCAGCGGCAGCTCCAGGGCCACGTCAGGGAGGAGCGGCCGGTGCGCCCCTGCCCCGTTCCCCAGCCCTCCCCCCGCCCCACCCCTGAGCACTCTCCTGACAGGGTGGGGCTCACGTCCCCCTGGAACCTCCTCTCGCCCAGAACAGGGGCACTCGGGGCTGAGAGAGAGGAGTCGGTCCAGGCGGGTGCCCAGCTCAGCGGGGCCTCCCACCCCCACTGGAACAGCCCTGTGGCCCCCGAGGAGGCCGCGGCAGCCACGTGCCCTCGGGCGTGAATGGCGCTGGCCGGGTGTGTAAGAGCCGGGGTGCAGGGCCCGGCAGCCCCCGGTCCTGGAACTGAGACCCCGGCCCCAGGCCCCATGCTGTGAATGGAGGGACGAGGTCAGAGGAGGGCGGGGGCTCTGAGGGAACCCGGGTCTGCAGTCCTCCGGCGGAGGCGGGCCCCTGTGGGAGCAGCTCCCGTGGCCGCGAGGCCGCCGTGCGTGGGGCCGGGTTCCCCGGGTGGGCTTGAGGGCCATGGCCGCCTCCGCCTGCTCTGCAGGAGCCGGACGAAACCGCCTTGCACCTGGCCGTCAGGTCCGTGGACCGCACCTCCCTGCACATCGTGGACTTCCTGGTTCAGAACAGGTGGGCCCGCTCAGACAGGGTGGTCGGTGGGGGTTCGGGGTTCCCGGGGGAAGAGGCGGGTGTGGGGGCCGAGAGCGAGGCTGCGGGGCGGCCCCGTGGAGCCAGGGCGAGAGGAAGGGCGGGGGGGGGCGGGGGCGGAGTTTGCATCGGGCCCGGCTGGCGAGGGCCCAGAGGAGCCTGAGGACTGGCCGCTGGAAAGTGCCTTTTGCCTTTTCTGTGAGAGAATCTGTAACAAGACAGGCGAGCTCGCCGTTCCTCTGTGGGACAGGACGGGCGGTCGCCTGGCTTCTTGCAGCCTCGGCACTGATGGGGGGAGCGGCAGGCGGCAGGGACTGGGGGCCCAGGAAGGCAGTGCTCTCAGCACCTGCTCAGGTGCAGCCCGGAGCCTGGCTCCCTCTCGGCCATCCCTGGTGCCTAAGCCAGGGCCCCCACTCACAGCCTGCCGCCGGAGTGAGCACCCTCTGCCCTGCTCACCCTCCGTCCCCCTGGCTCACCATTGCCCCCCTCTCTCCCGGTGGCCGGCCAGCGGGAACCTGGACAGACAGACGGGCAAGGGCAGCACGGCCCTGCACTACTGCTGCCTGACCGACAACGCCGAGTGCCTGAAGCTGCTGCTGCGCGGCAAGGCCTCCATCGAGATCGGTGAGCGGCCACGTTCCCCCACGTTCCCCGGTGCCCCTGATGACACCGGCTCCCCTCGGGGCTGAGGCGAAGGCTGCCCTCCGAGTAGCAGGGCCCGGCGTGCCTGCAGGGCTGCTGAGCCCACGGTCAGGAGCAGCCTGGCTCCCGGACCATCCATCGGTGGCCGGCGTCAGAGGGAGGGTGTGTCCCTGAGGCTGCGGCGACCTTGGCCGTGGTTTGGGGCTTCTCGCCCTCCTGTTCATAGCCCCCATCTTGGGTCGGCCCGCCCTGCTGGCTCAGGGAGAGCAGTCCAGCCCGTGACGTCCAGCGGCCCAGGTTGCCGGCTCAATCCCCAGTAGGGGGCGTGCAGGAGGCAGCCGGCCCATCATTCTCTCTCATCCTCGAGGTGTCTGTCCCACCCCCTTCCTCTCTGAGATCAATGGAAACATGTTTTAAGAAAACGTATTCATGCCCGGTTGGCTGAGGGCTCCTGAGGAGAAAGCCCACTATTTCCCGTTCGTGGACAGACCGCGGGGGGGTGGTGAGGGGACCCCGGCCGCCGCCCCCACCCCACGGTGGTGGGGTGGGACTGCTCTGTGGACGTGGAGTTGGCGTGTGGATTTTGTTCGTGGGCCGCTTCCGTGGGCCGATGGTGGAGAGCGGCGCGCACCTGGTCCCATCTCACCGGCTGCGTGGGGCGGCAGGTCCACTCGATCGCAGACAGGTCAGCCCCGGCGGGCGCCCACGCACTGCAGGTCCCGTCGGTCATGTTCTGTGTAGTCTTGGCCGCTGCCCCGTCCCTTTCATTTTTATTATTATTTTTTATTCATTTACTTATCTTTATTTTTAATTGACTTCTTACAGAGAGGAAGGGAGAGGGAGAGAGAGGTAGGAACATCGATCAGCTGCCTCCTGCACACTCCCCACTGGGGATGTGCCTGCCACCAAGGTCCATGCCCTTGACCGGAATCGAACCCGGAACCCTTCGGTCCGCAGGCCGACGCTCTGTCCACTGAGCCACGCCGGTCTCAGCTGCCCGGTCCCTTTCCCTGTCTTCACCTCTGCTTGTCCTTGTAGCTAACGAGGCCGGGGAGACGCCGCTGGACATCGCCAAGCGCCTCAGGCACGAGCACTGCGAGGAGCTGGTGAGTCTGCACAGAGAGGCCAGGTCATTGCCCACGGCCACACAGCGCCTCGGAGGCTGTGGGGAGAGTTAGGCCCGGTGTCCAGACGCCCGGGGAGGCTGACGGGCGGGCGTCCCTCTGCGGCCGGAACCAGCCGCTGCCGTCCTGAGCACCGAGCGGCCCTAGGAGCGGCCCTAGGAGCGGCAGCGGGTTTTTTCTGCGGGGCTTCCCGCTCCCGTGGGCTGAGGCGGCTGGGTTAGCCCCGCCGGCCGCGGCCAGTGCGCTCCCCGACAGGCCAGGACGTACAGGCCACGGGTCCCTGCCCTGCGAGCAGTGCTCAGGGTCTGCGTCTCATGGCGACCTGCGGACCGGGAGGGGGTGTACCTGGGACCAGAGATGCACCTGAGCCGGGGGGCTGGGGGCCTCCCTCCCTCGGACGTGCGGCTGGCGGCCCGGGCCGGCGCCACATCACCCACCGTGCTTTGCTCCCCTCAGCTGACCCAAGCCCTGTCTGGAAGGTTCAACGCACACGTGCACGTGGAGTACGAGTGGCGGCTGCTGCCCGAGGACCTGGACGAGAGCGACGAGGACGTGGAGGAAAAGCTGCAGGTGCGGGCGGCGGGCGGCCGATGGCTTCCTCGGAGCCGCCATCCCGCTGCCGTCGGACGGCGAGCCGGAGGCAGGCGGGGGGAGGACGGTTCTCGTCGCTTCCGGTGACCGGGGGCGTGGCTCCCCCGCCGGCTCCCTGCGCCCGCACACGCCCGTTACTGGGCCGTGGACGGCAGCAGCGTCCCGGGAGCCGCTCGCCTTTCGGTGCGAGGGGAAGACGGGCGGCCGCAATCCCGGCGGGTGGGGAGGAGCCCGCGAGCTCGGATAACGGGCTGAGAGCCAGGTTTCCCGGCGGCCACGCTCCCCGAGGCGGGCTCTGCACCCACCGCTGAAACCCTTCGTGCTCACGGGGCTCAGGGCTTCCCCTTCCTGTGGCCAAGCCCACCCCTCAGCAGCCAGGGCCAGACTGCTGAGGGGTGGGCGTGGCCACAGGAAGCAAGTGTGTAGGGACCAGCTGAGGGCCAGGCTGCGGGCTCTCGCCTCCTTGTCCCTCACGACACTCCCAGGGGCCTGGGAAGGTGGCCGCCAAGCCCGCGCTGCCGCTGCTGAGAAGCGAGGAAGGCGGGTCAGGTTTCCTCGTGTTCCTCCAGGCCAGTGGTGGGCAAACACCAGTCCACAGAGCCAAGTGTCAGCCGTACAACGATTGGTATTTCTCTGGAGAGCCACATTTTTTTAAACAAACTTCTAACGCCACTTCTTCCACATAGACTCGCCCAGGCCGTGGTGTTTTGTGGAAGAGCCACACTCCAGGGGCCAAAGAGCCGCCTGTGGCTCTCGAGCCGCGGTGTGCCGACCTGGCTGTAGGACGTTCAGGTCCTGGGGATGCCCGGCTGCACACGTGGCGCGTCTGGAGCCCAGTAGCCCGTCCTTGTGGGTGGAGCGCCTCACGGATGTGCTTGCTGGCGCCTTCTTGTTATTTCTCACCCGAGGGCATTTTTCCCCTGTTGAATTTTTTTTTGGAGCCGAAGAGGGGGGGAGAGACACAGAGAGACACGGATGGGAGAGAGACACCTCGATTGGTTGCATCCTGCACATGCCCCGACCAGGGCTGGGGATCAGGCCTGCAACTGAGGGCTGATGCTCTAACTGCTGAGCCAAACCGGCGAGGGCCTCACTGACGCTTAGAATAAGAAATTCCTTCCGTGAGTGAGCGATAACACAGGTCTGGAACACCTGCCCGGGTGAGGGCCTCTCCAGCAGCAGGTGGCATCGCCCAGTACAGTGGGGATCGGAGCCCGGACACACGTCCACCACCCCTTTTCCAGCAGGGAGTGGCGGTGTGGTTCGTTCATGCCGCTGTGGGCGTGGTGGGAGTTTAAGGCCAGGCGGGAGCCGGCCGCCGCTGAGCTCTGCACGCCCGAGCTGGGCTGAGCCGTGGGGTCGGCCAGCCTGTCAGCGGTAGCTGGGACGCTGGGACCAGAGGTCCTCGTGTCCGCGTGTCTGTATGTCCCACACCCGCCCCTCCCCCCAGCCCAGCCCCAGTCGGCGGGAGGACCGGCCGGTCAGTTTCTACCAGCTGGGCTCCGGCGCCGCGCCATCAGCCAGAGACGCCGCCGGCCCAGCCAAGGACAGGCCGCGGGCCTTCGCGCCCAGCATCGTGCAGAACGAGACGTACGGAGCCGTCCTGGGCGGCAGCCCGGCCCCCGGCCCCGCCAGCGCCCCCCCACTGCCCCCGCGGAACGTGGCCAAAGGTACTGAGCCGGGAGCGGGCCGTGCGGCCGCTGTGGCTGGGTTTGGGTGGGAGGGGGAGCCGCTGGGCTTTCTCTCTGCTTTCCGAACGTCTCAGAACGTGGGTGCGGGGTTCTGTGGCTGCTTCGTCCTCCTCTGAGATTGCACTTCGCCTGCTGGCCCCCGAGGGCCTCCCCGTCATCCCTCTGGGCCCCCCGGCCCCCTGGAGGCCGCATCCGTCCACACGGGGAAGGGGTCGGCGTGGTGCCCGCCGGCCACCGGGCGCCCGCTGCGTCCTCGGCGCGTGGCCTGGCGCGGCGCGGCGGCCTCGGCGGGAGCAGGCTCCCAGACCGGCCCTGCCGCTCCGGACGGTCCCGCTGGCCGTGGCGGGGAGCGGGTCAGTAACGCCGTGTTCCGTTTCTGTGTGACACGTGTGTGTGTGCACATGTGGTTGCAGCCCAGGCCCCCGCCACCAACGCCCCGTGGAAGACGGACTCGGTGAGCGTGGACGGAGCCGGCCGGCAGCGGTCCTCGTCAGATCCGCCCGCCGTCCACCCGCCGCTGCCCCCCCTCCGCGTGACGTCCACCAGTACGTCCTCCCCCTCCTCCTCCTCTGCCTCCTGCCGGGCGGAGGGCGCTGGGGCCGGGCCACATGCAGACTCCGCCGTGCCCGGGGCTGCGGCGGGACATGGCTCTTCTGTCCCCCAGCCCCGCAGCCGCCTCCTCCCCGCTGTGATCCCCCCCGGGGCGGCCCACCCCTGGCTCCCCCCCGCGGCTCCTGTGTCCCCTCCCCCACGTCAGCGGGCTCCTCGCCTGTGACGCGTAGGGACCGAGCCCCGTCCCGCCCCTCGCAGCGGGGCTGCCGGGCAGCCGGCAGGGCTCGCTCTTCACCCCCTGGGCAGTGGTCGGCCGGGTCCAGAGGCAGAAGGAGGAAGGAGCCTGGGTGGCCTGGCCCGCCCCCCGGGGACAGGGCATGGCCAGAGCCCAGCCTGGGCCTCAGCCTCCGTGGCTGCCGCCCCCCAGGTCGCACGCACACTGCCGTCCGGGACCCTGGCTGGTCCTCGGGAACCCCCTCCGGGAACACAGGCGCTTAGCCAAGGCGTGGGGGCTCCCCGCTGTGCCAGCTGCGTGGGCCCTGCAGGGAACGGGGGCTTTTCCTTGTGAAATAGCGGCCCCGCGCCACCAAAGCCTCTGCAAGCGAGGCCTGGACTGACCCTCTCTCTCCCCGCAGACCCCCTGGCTCCGACGCCGCCCGCTTCCGCCGCCAAGATGCCCGGGGCCCTGGACGCCCTGAGCCAGCAGAGCAAGCTGACCCCGCCCGGCAAGACCAGAGCCCCAGCCCTGCCGCAGAGGAGGCCTGCCCCGGGGTGCGCTCCCCCGTCCCCTCGGCCCGCCCGCCCGGCGGCCTCCTCCTTCCACCCCAGGGGCCTCTGAGTGGCTGCAGGCTGCACCTGCAGGGATTCCTATGCAGGACCTCGGGCCTGGCACTGTGGCCGCTCAGTCTTCCTTTTAATTGTTTACTAAGTTACTTTTATTGATTTCAGAGAGGAAGGGAGGGAGAGAGAATCATCAATGATGAGAGAGAATCAAGGATCAGCTGCCTCCTGCACGCCCCCCACTGGGGTGGGGGGGATCGAGCCTGCAGCGCAGACATGTGTCCTGACCGGGAATCGAACTGTGGCCTCCTGGTTCCTAGGTCAGCGCTCAACCCCTGAGCCAGGCCGGCAGTAGTTAAAACACAATTTACTGGATCAGCTCACCCAGTGCAGCTGGAGCACAGACGTGCCCCATGAAAGGGGACAGGGGAGTGCGTGCCTTCCGGCCTCAGGTGCCAGCAGATCTGTTCTCCCTTCTTTGCAGGACTGACAAGCCTGCCCCCCTGGTCCCCAAAGGCCAGCCGCGCGGCCCCGGTAAGCTCTCCTCTGGCTGGGCTTCCCTCCCACTCGGTTAGTGGGGGCCCGGGGCAGGGTCCGGGGGGCAGTCCTGTGTGAGGGCCCAGCTGCCACCCGGCCCCATCCGCTGCCCCCGTCCCTCCTGGAGCCTCCGATGCTCCCGGGCTGCTCTGCCCTGGGTCCTGAGCCCCCAGCCGGGACCACCTGTCTCACGGACACCCGCACGCCCCACGGAGGGGGCGTGGAAGGCACAGGCTGCTGGCCCGGGGACGTCTCCCTCAGGAGATGGGACCGGCTCAGGGCGCTGCCGCCCGGGCCTGACGTGGGCTCTCGCAGTCTGTCTCGTGCTGGGACTCGGGGCGCCCCGTGAGCTGACGCATTCTGGCCCCACAGCGGCGGACCTCTCCGGAACGGAAGCTCTGGGTCCTCTGTCCAGCACCCCGGCCCTGCAGCCCCCCGCGCCCATGCCCAGGAAGTCACAGGCGGTAAGGCCAGAGGGTGCGGGTTATTCCCCGAGGGCTGGAGGGGGCAGGTCCTGCCCTGGCTGGGGAGGGGGGGAGGGGGGGTACCCGGTCTTTGGATCTGGGCAGGACTCAACCCCAAGCTCGCCAGCAGGGGCGCTGGGGGGAGGGGGGGCTCAGCCCTCTCCTGACGCTCCCGCACATCAGCCCCGGGTGCCACGTTCCCGGCTGGCTCTCCAAGGGCCCCGGCCCCAGAGGACCACGGAGCCGCCCCATCTTTTTAAACATGTTTTTATTGATTTCGGAGAGAGGGAGGGATAGAAACATCAGTGGTGAGAGAGAATCATCCCGGCACGTGTCCTGGCTGGGAACGGAGCTGTGACCTCCCGGTTCGTGGGCCGGTGCTCTGCCACGGAGCCACACCGGCCGGGCTGAGCCCCCCGTCCTGACAGACCTGTGGCTCCCAGGTCGCTGCTCGCTGACCTCTGACCCTCCCCTCGCTCCCAGGCCAGGCTGAAGCCCAAGCGGGTGAAGGCCCTCTACAACTGCGTGGCCGACAACCCCGACGAGCTGACCTTCTGCGAGGGGGACGTGATCATCGTGGACGGGGAGGAGGACCAGGCGTGGTGGGTGAGTCCGGCCTGGGCCTGGGCAGCGGGATCCCTGCCCACTGGCCCCAGCCTGCGGTGAGCCCTCCGTGCCGCGTCCTCAGGACGGAGTCCAGACAGGAAGTGCGCCATGACCTCGCCCCGCCCCCAGGAAACACGGTGGCGGCTGGTTTTCTTCCCGGCTTTCATTGACCTGTGTAATTCCCGTCCTTGGTCAGACTGGGGGTGTCCCTTCTGTAATTCGCCCGGGGCGAGACGGAATGGGTTTATCGGCCTCTGTGAAGGCAGACCACGCACAAACGGCCCGTCACATCTGCCACTGCCGTGTGGCTGCAGCTCACACACCCGACACCGTTTCATCCGTTAAAGGGGAGAATGGCGAGTCCGTTTGTCCAGCCCAAGACCGCCAGGGCGAGGCGGGAGGTCTGCAGACAGAGCCCCTCCCGGGAGAGCCTCACGGGAGGCAGGCCCGCTCTGCGATGAGGCAGAGAAAGGGGAAAACGGCTCAGGTGTCTCGCCTGGCGGTCCTTCCTCAGAGAGATCCTTCCGGACAGGCTTTCTCCAAACGGTGCCACGCCCTAGGTCCCTGGCGTCTGGTGTCTGCAGCTTTTCTAAGCCCCGAACGTCTGTTCTTTTCAGATCGGCCACCTTGACGGAGACCCCGGCCGCAAAGGAGCCTTCCCCGTGTCCTTCGTGCACTTTATCGTGGACTGACTCGCTGCCGCACACCCCCCTCAGCAGCAGTGTTCCCGTCCGTTCCTGGCTCCCGCACTCCTGCCAGATGCCGGTTTCACGAACTGTAGGCCCCCTGGCTCCACTGCCACTCCCCGTTCCGTTTTTAAAACTCAGAGGCAATTTCTGTCTACAAATGGATCGTTTGTATGATTTGTGATTTTCATGAGACATGGCTCCGCTTCTATCAGGAAAAGCCGGATTGCCTAACAGGTGAGCTAAAAAGCTATTGTAACTCCACAGTCGAGATCCTGGATCAACAGGAGGAGCGGAACCCGACCGAACTGAGGACCCGAAGTCCTTCCTGCTCTCCTTGGCTGTATGAGCGCCGGCTGTCCTTGTTTAGGAGGCTCCCTGCTGTCAGTTCCCCTTGACAGACTTAAAGAAAACGCCTCCTCAAGATTTCCTTTGAAAGCCACTCTGTGTTTGGTTACGGCGATGTGGAAGTGGACACACTGGCAGTGCACTTCCCGGCCCCGGCGGGAGGGCACGGCCCTCCGTGTGTTCTGCATGTGTGTGGGGCCCGGGTGAGCAGTCAGCCTCCCTGACGGAACTGCCAGCGGCCTATCCTGGCGCGTGAGAGTTCAATCAGTTCCCGGGTGAGCGAGCTGCGTTTCCTGAGTTCAGCTAGAAACGAACGGAGACAAAGCTCTTCCCGCGGTTTGGATGCTCTCGGTGTTTCGGAAACTGCCTCCTGCTCCCTCTGTCGCACAGGTAGCCCGCAGGGCGGGCCCCGTGGTCGCCCCCTTCCCTTCCCACCCGAGAATGCGCCCTCAGTCTAGTGTCCCGTCTTTGTATCGTGCCAATAGGGCTGATGGCCCCACGGTCTTACATTCCATCTGTCCCTTCGTCTGTAGCCAAGAGCACATCAGAAGCCCGTGGGCCGGGAGTGAAGCACGCCCAGACACCCCAGCGTCACTCTAAGCACCGGGGCTGGGGGTTAGGGTGATAGGATTAAATCAATTCATTCGCTGGATGAGCTTGACTGTCATGCCTCTACCAAGTCATTGAGCGTGCTCAATGGGGTGGGGTGGGAAATGTTGGCCCTCGGGGGAGAAACGGGCGGAAATGCCCACCGGCTTCCTGCCACCAGCCAAGGCCTGAGCCTCGGAGCGCAGCAGCCTGTTCTGGGGTCCCTCTCGTACACGTAGGACGCTTGCTTTTGTTTGTCATTGCGTCATGGCTTTTGTTGCTGTTATAAAGGAAGACAGAACTGGAATGTTTTATGATGATGTTTTATGATGTACAGCAATTGCTCTTTGCCTGTCAAAGTTCCGGGTATCATGTGTTAGATGTATAATTATTCTTATTTTTTAGAGCACTACATCATTTTCACTGATTGTTAACTTCTGTTGTTTGAACCCTCCGTCCGTCAAGTTTCTCACAAATTTAAGGAAGCAGACAGATGTGTTTTGCACTGTGCACTTCCTGTAACACAGCCCCTCCACCTCTGCCTCTCACAACCCGCCTTTGACTCCTCGGTGCCAGCTGAGAGAATTCATTCTGATACCACTCCCAAACCAACGTGTCAGGCTCACTGGTGCCGACATCTAGGACCTGTTTTCCAGTCCACAGTGCGGTGGTGCTATTGTGCATATGACTCATGAATAGGACTCTTGTCAAGAGGAGAAATCACACACTTCCCTGCTGATAGCCTTTCCTACTTATTTGCTCTCTGCAAATAAATAAATAAAGCAAGTGAGAGGAAGGAAAGCGTTGTAGATGCCTATTTACACTCCGGGTCTGTGTCGTGAACCTCGCTTGGGATCCTGGCACTGTGTGCCGCTGGCCAGGCGTGAGGACGGGACGGCGGGGCCGCGCTGCCGGGGCGGGCTCCGGAGCGCCGGGGACGCTCGGAGATAATGATATTCAAGCCACCCCTCCATTCCTTTGCTAGTTGCAGCGCAACTGTACATACTGTACAACCTAAATCCTTATTTTCATTGTCGCCATGCAGTGGTTTATACCTAGGGCATGTTAATAAGTCTCTTCCTGGTGACTAGTCATCGGACTAGAAAAAATAAAATGCTTTTAAATGGACGTGGTGTCAGTTTTGTTTTTAAACCTTCAGACGCCGTGTACGGAGGACCGCTCTTCCCTGACCAGCCTGCCGTACGTGAGCGTGTCTGTGCGCCGTCTAACCGTGCGGTTCTGTCCGCTCGGGGGCGAATGCTGAGGCTGACTGCAGGATTAAAGTTTTTCCTTCTGTGTCGTGTGGTGCGTCCCCAGGCCAGAGCGCTGAGCCAGACCCACGGCCCTGGGAGGCCACGGAGCCCCGGCCTCAGGCCTCCTCCGAAGTCCTCAGCCCTCACTGCTCCCCGAGGCACCGCTGGGCCCTTAAAGGGCGAGGCTCGTTTGTGTTTAAAAGCGACAAGTGACTTCACTAACGCACGGTTAATAAGACACATTTTAATAGAAAAACAATTGGCTGATGCGTTACGCGTTGCATTTTCTTCCCAGAAAACCTAGAGCCAGGGGTCACGGCGCGCTGGCGTGCTTGGTCCGCGCTGCAGACGGAAAACCAGTTTAGGGAGCACCGGCCCTTCCTCCCCGCGGTGCCGACCTCCGCTGGCGGCAGCCTCACGCTTTCTCGGCCGTCAGCACGGAGTCGAAGGCGGTGGACAGGACCTTGCAGATGGCTTGTGCTTGTTCCTACATCGAGCAAAAAGGTACAGGAAGAACGTTCACAAACCCGCCCCTGAACTTCATCCGACAGCACAGCTGTGAACCTGTCCCTTACACGTCTAGCCCCACGCGTGACCCTGCCGGCCTGGCCCACGGCCCGCCTGCATGCTCCCTTCCGTGTTCCTGAGACCGGTGGGCGTGGTGACGAATTCCAGCCAGGAAGGACACACCAGGATAAGTGGGACCCCTGCCCCCAGAGGACCCCCTCCCCATCTGGGGGTTCCCCCTGACCCTGTGACCCTGGCGCACAGGGCCCCCGCAGGAGGCCCGGACAGCGGGCGGTGGCCACGTGTGCGCATCATGCCAGGGTCGGACGCGGAGCATCTCCTTGGCCTCTGCTTCCCTGTGTCTGCGAGTGAGAAGCAGGGGGACGCTCACCAGGCTGCTGCACTGGTACACCCACAGGCTGACCTCCTCGCTGCTGGCGTCGGCCGTCTTCAGCGCCAGCAGGCTCCTGCCCGCCCCCAGGCCGTCGTCGTAGCACACCATGCGGACGATCAGGTAGAGCGCGTGCCTGTGCAGCACGTCCTGCAGGGGACGGGAGGCGTGATGGGTGCGGGTCTCCACCCGGGAACACGGTTCCCTGCACACATTCTCTGTGAGGCTCGGGAACACGAGATCGGGGTTTTCGCCCAAAGGGGATCCCAGCTGCTTGGCTGTGGGGCAGTGTACCCCAGGGCTACCCTGGCTCCAGGAAGACGGGAGTCAGACGACCCAAGTTCACGACAGTCCTCCACGCCCAGCCCCCAGGCTGACGGCCCTCCGGACTGGAGGGGATGGGCTAAAGCTGACAGCCCCCACCCCCACCCCAGGAGCGCCCGAGGGAAGCTCCCCTCCACCCCCCCTCAGAACCGGCCACTTTTAAGACAGAGGCCAGGCACGTGTCACCCCTGGCTCTGCAGGCAGGAGCCGGCCACCAGCAATGGCCCTTCACTCCGCAGCCCCACACACCGCTCCCGTCACTCACATACTGGTCCGACGTGGACACCTTGATGCCGTACTTGGAGACGCCCATGATAAGCTCCTCCTCCAGGGGCACGAAGGGCAGCTTGCCATCTTGCTGGAGGTGAGAAGCGGGTGGGCGCACAGTGAACACGTGAAGCCACTTTAGGACCGGCTCACAGACCCCTCGCTCTTCAAAGTATGTGGCACACGCAGCCGCACAGCAAGCATGTCTCCGAAGAGGCAGGAAACCCCCTGCCTGCCCCTCCCCCCCTTTAAAGCCAACACATCAGCAAATTCAGACCCATGCACTCCAGGTGCCCTCTCTCCCCCCGTGGGGATTAAACCTCGGCGGATCCAGGGAGGTTTGCAGATTGCTCACTGAGACAGGAGGCCCATCGGCCCCAGGGAAAGTAAACAGCACTGTTTGTGGGAAGGAGTGGCGTCTGTTCCCAGGCAACCACGGTCCAGGACACCTGTGCCTCCTGCGCCGCCCACCGCGTGGTGACATCGTCACTGATGTGGCCAGGCTTGGGGACAAGAAATGTCTTTCTCCACAGCCATGGGCTCCTCTAGAATCTTATTAACTGGAGCTTTCTGTTTTTTACCTGGGCGACATCGATGTAGTTTATCAGGTCCAGTGGCCCTGCAAGGCTCTCTCCTTCAGGGGGCTTCAGTTTCTCAATGGCACCGACATATCGTATTCGGAATTCCGCACAGGCGTCCGAGTTGGTGTTGCTTTGTCCTAAAGGTGGCCAGGAATTCAGGGTCAGACTCGGGTATCCTCAATCCCTTCCCAAGTAAGGAACGAACTGTAACCAAAATACATTTCCTGACATAGAGAATTTCTTTATAGAATGGGAAAGAACTTAAAATCTCACTAACCTTTTCCTCAGTTACAATATTGCTAAATATGAAAATCTATGATAAATAGGAGTAAATTAATATCCTTCATTTCAAACAAGGAAAGTGTCAACTAGACAATGATTAGGTCTCTTTCTGACCCATAATAACACAACTATTTTCTGGTTCCTTCTCCCTCTTCGCCATGTTAATGTTCATTTTTTAAAATAAATGCAACATTTATTTTCTCTGCGGCTTCAACCACTCAGCTTCTCTCCTCTGATTCAGGAAACCTGATCTATCTCTACCATTGAACCAAAAAACATTTTTTAATGCAGAAGGAAAAAAATGTGCTAGCTATAAAACTTAGTCAATACAAAACCACCAAAATGTCTGTGCTGCCTGCCACAGAGAGAAAATAAATACCGCGTGATGAGAGTAGGTGAGGTCCATGTCAGAAGATGCCAATTCTAAAATGTTCAAGGCATCTGGGAGGTAACAGACCTTGTGCTTCTATGTTTCTTCTCTCCCCGCCCCCAGCGTTTACAGCTGGACTCGTCTGTGGCCCCGAAAGGAAGCGTGGGAGGAGTGCAGACAGGTGAACGTGTGACTTTCCCCTCAGGCACTAGCTGTTGGTAGTCAGAAGCCATCTTTTAATCTCTAAAGAGCTGCTCATTTCGGTGTCTGCATGTGTGTCTTCGAGTGTCTGAGAGACGCTACACTCAATCACAGGTGCTCCGGGAGGTAAGAGCTGGTGTCTTATTAACGGCTCCTGAATCCTCCTCGGCAGCCACAAGGCCTCTGTGCTGCACCCCATCGACAACAGGACGCGTGCTCTGCCAACCGCTCCTTAAAAAGCGGCTGTGGAGCTTCCCAGCCTGCTTTGCTCTAGGACCCGTGAAGAGCAGTTTGGCACCTGCCCAGCCAACGGCTTTCACTAACCACCTCACAACCCAACCCTCCCTGCATCAGGTCCTGGGCCATTTCTAAACTATCACAAACGGCAGAGGAGCCAAAACCGGTTTGGCTCAGTGGATAGAGCGTCGGCCTGCGGACTAAAAGGTCCCAGGTTCGATTCCCATCAAGGGCATGAACCTTGGTTGCGGGCACATCCCCAATAGGAGGTGTGCAAGAGGCAGCTGATCGATGAGTCTCTCTCACTGATGTTTCTAACTCTCTGTCCCTCTCTCTTCCTCTCTGTAAAAAAACCAATAAAAAAAAAATTTATATATATAAAACGGCAAAAAAACGGCAAGAGGAGAGAAAACCCAAACATACAAGAACGTGTGCCACCAGGTCACACGGGGTGCGCCCGGAAGGCACGCGACCCAGCCCGCCCCGTACCTGAGCTTTTTGTGGAGTCGGTGTCGAGGCTGGCCACAGTGCTGGACCGAGAGAGGCCCCCGAGGCTGGAGTCCACAGACTGGGAAATCAGAAGCAAACACGTATTTATTTAATCATCACCAGATCTTAATCATCATCGCCACCTCTCAAGTTCTCTACCGAACATTCAAACTACGTGTTCCATTCGGATGAACACATAACCCCAACGGCTCCCCCGGGTAACACCGTCCTGAGCACACGTGCTGTCCCCACGACACCCGAAATCAGAGCCCTTCTCTGCCTCCTCACGCGGCACCTGATACGCATCTCGTAGGTGAAAATCGACACTTGGCTTCCACCTTATCTCCGCTGAACCAGAGGAGAACCCTGAGCAGAAAGCAGGCGGGGAGAGCTCCCCGTTTAATAAGTGAGCAGCGGCCAGGAGAGGTGAGGTGATTTACCCGGGGTTACACCTGCCTCGTCAATACCCCAGACCTCCCATCTGAGCAGGGTTCCTGTTACCTCCCCCCCCAGCGCTTCCGCAAAACCCCAACGGGCACCAGTCCACACCCAGGCCGGCAGGCGGAACACCCAGGTGAATTGCAAAGAAAATCCAACAACACTGCCCAGCAAAGGACAAAGCAGCATGCGCGTTAGTGCGGAACTACGCTGTGCGCGCACACCACAACGCTACGATTCAAGGCGTGCAGCCCTGAGTTGCATGCAATTTCTATCACATAAAAAAAAATTTTAAAGCGATGTTTGTTTCAACAAGACCATTTACGGGTCCTGTCCCACCGCGGTTAGTGGGTTTAAGAATTTCAGGAAATCTACCGAGACAAAATGAAATCAGGCACAGAATGTGTCTCTACTGCAAAAAAAAATAAATAAATAAAATAGATGAATGAATGTTAAAACACACCTAGTGTGAAGGCTACATCAGCGGGTCTGCCACGATTAGTATCCTTCATGCAACATCGGGAGAAACTGAAGGGGCGCGCCGCCCAGCGCCAGCCCCTACCTTGCTCTTAGTACTGATCTCGCTACTTTGCGAGCTGCTACTGCTGTGCCGCTTTTTGCCTTTCCGAAACATGTTCACTACCGCTGGGTCCAGAGGGGCTCCCCTAGGAAGACAAACGTCCGGTTATACCACGGAAAGCAACTGCCAGTCACTTGGTGCACAACAGGCATCAAAGCCATCAGTGCCTCTCACTTAAAAAATGTTGGAGCACAGAATTAGGATACTATTCTTATTTCCGCTATTTTTTTTTTTTTTCAAATTCTAAAAATCTAACCCCAGCCCTGACCGGTTTGGCTCAGTGGATAGAGCACCGGCCTGTGGACTCAAGGGTCCCTCCCGGGTTCGATTCCGGTCAAGGGCATGTACCTAGGTTGCGGGCACATCCCCAGTAGGAGGCAGCTGATCGATATTTCTCGATGTTTCTAGCTCTCTATCCCTCTCCCTTCCTCTCTGTTAAAAAAAAAAAAAAAATCAATAAAATATTTTTTTAAAATAATAAAAATCTAACCCCAGAAGGGCAGAAACCTGGTCATACCTAGAGGTATCATCCCTACAGGCAGTTTTCAGAAGCAACAGACAGATGCCAATTAATTCTCGAAATACTTGAGCGCCCCGCTTCTCGTGAGTCAACTCCAGACACCACGGCTCTCAGCGTGTCCGGTGCGCGTCCTGAGAGCGGCAGGGCTGGGCACAGAGGACATGGTGCGGGTGCGCGTCCGGGTGCAGGGTGCGGCCCCTTTAAACGCGGCGCCGGGACCACCACGGTGGGCGGGGCCACGCCCGGGCTGACTGACAGGCCGGGCTCCGCGCTCCCCGGCCCCCAGCCCGCCGGGCGCGGGGGGCGCAGGGCGACAGACGGCGAGCGAGGCAGCCCCCCCGGCCCCGCGCGGCAGAGAAGCCCAGCAGCGCCGGCTCGGAAAGCGGGGCGCTGCCTCAGCGCCCACAAAGCAGAGGCGGACGCGGAGGGCAGCCCCGCGGCGCTCCCGCTCCCGGCGTCCCTCCCACGCGCGACACCGTGGCCTCAGGAGCCGCAGTCCCCGCCCCGACAAGAGGGGTCACCCAGGGCACCGCAGCCTCCCGCGGGCCCCGGCTCCGCCGCCCGTCACGCGCCGCCTCGGGGCTCGGATTCCCGACCAGGGAGGGCGGGTCCCCGTAGACACCGCGGCCCCACCCATCCGCCCCGCCGCCGCCCGCCCTCGGGGACCCGCGTTCCCGGCCGGGCTCAGCCAGCGCGGCCAGGGCCGGACCCTCACCTCACAGCCGCTGGCCCATCCCTGGGGTCGTGCGCGGTCCGACACCCGCCGCCTCGCGGCCCGCGCGGGGGCAGCCACTCCCGCTCCTGACTCCAGCGCCAGCTTTTCTGGTCCTCTGGCCCCGCCCACCGGGCCCGCCTCCCAGACCTCGCGCATGCGCGCTCCTGGCCTCGCCCATGCGCGCTCCTGGCCCCGCCCCAGGTGTTTGGCCTCCGAGGGGGAAAGACCCTCGCGAGGCGGGATCTCGGCCGGAAGTGGAGGGGAGGAGCCTAGCGCCGCGGGCGCCGGAAGTTGTGCTCTCCGCGGTAGGGGCTGTCCGCAGCTCGGTTCCCCGTGGCTATGGCTCCACGATAGAAAGGCTCCCGCGCCGGTGGCTCCCCTCAGCGTCGCCTCCGGACTTCCGCGATGTCCGCCATCCCTGCGGAGGAGAGTGACCAGCTGCTGATCCGGCCCCTGTAAGCGGCCCGCGAGAGGCGGGGAGGGCTCAGGGGTGGCCGGCCGGCCGCCGCCGGGTCCGCGGCTGCTGAAGGGGCCTGCGGGGGGGAATGGGTGGTGCTTTTCTCCGATCTTAGGGAAGGGGGTTGGAGTTGGGGGTGGGGAGCCCTGGGGGCGCTTTCATACCCGCCGGGGAGTGGCAGCCCCCGGGAGCTGGAGCTGGTGCTGCGGCCGCGGGCGGGCCGAGCTGAGGCCCGGATGAGGCGGCCGCGCTGCGGGAAAGGACGCAGTCGGCTGTTGGGACGACCTCCGGGACTTGGCATTGGCCGATATGCGAAAGTGGGGGCTTTGGTGTGAGTTCCCTGCGGAGCCCAGCCCCTGGGAGGATGGGGAGGGTAGGAAGCGGGGGAGGAGGGAAAGCAGGGGTGCCCTGCGGGGCTGGCCTTTCCGGGGAGAAGCGCGGGGCAGACCCGGAGCGCCGCTCAGAAAGGGAGAACAGGGTGCGGGGAGCCAAAGCAGTTTGTTTGCTGTTACGGTAGGTGTTAGCACAACATGGATGGATGCACTTTTTAAAAGGTTGGAAGTATCTATCTACCCATCATGTACCCAACACGGACTTGCTGAGCTCCTGCTGGCTCATCTGTCCGCTCCTCACGAGCTCACACTGCGCGCTGGGGCTACAGATACGACCGGGGCAAGGTACCCGAATCCACCCTCTTGGAGGGAATTGCAGCGCCATGAAAAACCACCAGGGAGCTCTCGTTGGGAACGCCGGGAGCCCGGGACTTTGCAGGCAGCCCTGAAATCTGAACCCTGTTGTTTCCTCGGTGGGAATACTGTGGCAGCTGTCGCTGTGCGAGTCACTCTCTCTCAGTGCATGGTTACTGTTGTTATAACCACCGCTGAGTGAGTGCCATGGAGCATGGAGAAGGGGAGAGAGTGCTGTCTCAGAGGTGCACGAGCTGAGCCTTAAAAGGATGAGTAGGAATCACGGACAGGTCAAGGATGGGGTAAGGATGTTCCAGCCGCAGGAAGTGGCACATGTGAAACAGGGGTCCCAGTTTGGGGCCCCTTTCCTCCTGGCGGTGGATAGATTAGCAGATGAGAGGGGGGAGGCGAGCAGGGCCCATCCTGGGCAGGACGGCACTGACGGCGGAGTTTGGCTCTCACCTCAGTTACAGGGGTGCGATCCAGTGGAACTGGGGTGTGGGGAGGCTGGAAGACAGCTCCTGCAGCAGCGTGTAGCAGATCCATAAAGGATGGGGTGCGTGGTGGGAATGTAGTGCTGACAGTAAGCAGGAAGAGCTTGGGATGAGTGAAATGGGACGAGCAGCAGTGCGTTGGAAAGAAACGGGTTTGAGAGAGAAGGAAGTACAACCTGTGGGACTGTAGAATGATGAGATGGGGGAGGGAGAGGAAGGGAACTAACGGGTGTTAGGATGACGCAGATTCCTAGTTGGATGGCTGCAAATGGCCAAGGAGTATGGAGAGGGGGCAGAGGCGGGGTCTGGAGTAAGTTTCCAGGTTTTGTTTTGTTTTAATATGTTTTACTGATTTTTTATAAAGAGGAAGGGAGAGGGAGAGAGAGTTAGAAACATCGATGAGAAGGAAACATCGATCAGCTGCCTCTTGCACATCCCCCACTGGGGATGTGCCTGCAACCAAGGTACATGCCCTTGACCAGAATCGAACCTGGGACCCTTCAGTCCGCAGGCCGACGATCTATCCACTGAGCCACACCGGTTAGGGCTCGGGGTTTTGTTTTATAGCAGCATCAGCTCTACTGAAATAGCAAGGTAAAAAGAAAGGCCTGAGGCTCACAGGTGTAACCTCCCTAGAAATGCATATTGTGATTTAAGTGAGAGGATTTTGCAGTGTTGATAGGCTTACACTTCAGTGCTGATTCTAAAAGTATTATTAAGTGGCCTGTGTTACCGCTAGCTGCATTCTCCGTGCATCGTCATACCCTCACACCAGGGTGAACGTTAGCCTCTGGGCTTCTCGAGTCTGTCCCTCCGCCTCTCCCAATTTTACCAGCAGCACACCCTGCGCTCCCAGAGGCCACCGCTCCTCTTTCCCCGCTCCACACCTTTCCGCTGTCCTTCCCTGACTGTGGGACTCTCACCCCCTGTGAGAGGCCGTCAGGTGGGCTCAGTGTGAGCTGTAAGAGTTGGAATCCGTGGGCCTGGTTTTGATTGTTTTCATGTCTCCCCTTGAATGTTCGCAGGGGAGCTGGGCAAGAAGTGGGACGATCATGCATCATCCTGGAGTTCAAAGGCAGGAAGATAATGGTAATTACTGCCCGTGGGCTGGGGAATACCGCTCTGTCCGCGTTGGCTGTCAGGGCTTTTCTAGTCCAGCAGTGAGCTGTTCAGCTCCCAGAAATGTTTCTTAGTTGGTATGTGTAGTCTGTGCTATGAAATGGTAATGCGGAAAAACTCACACATTTCTACTCAGTAATTTGACAAAAAACCTGTAAACTGAGAAGAGAAATTCTATGACGTAAAACCGGCCGCCAGATCTCCTGAACTATTGCTCACAAAGGCGCTCCTCCACTCTCAGGTCTTACGTCCTAACCCAAATGCTAGTATGTAGAGTCCATTTTGATTATGTGTGTGATGGATCAGTTATAGCATTGTCTATTCAGTGGGTGAATTTTAATAAAACATTTATTGAATAAAATAATCTGTCTCTCTTTCAGTTGGACTGTGGGATCCACCCTGGCCTAGAAGGAATGGACGCTCTTCCTTATATCGATTTAATTGACCCCGCTGAGATTGACCTCCTCCTCATTAGTCAGTAAGTTTTTCCTTTATTGATGACACTGTTTTCCAAAGTCATTCTTTACCAGGTGCTAAGGTTCTGAAGTTTAAAAGTCTTTTCCACCGGAAGCATATTGCTGATGTCTAAGTCTAACACAGCACTCTGATTGTCAACACAGCTTAGAGCAGCTCCCGAGAGGTTGTGTTCCTCCCTCTGGAGCAGTGAGGCAGAGAGCATGTGCCTAGGATCGCTGTACAGCTTGAGGCCAGGAAAGCCTTCCCCAGGCCTCCTGAGGGCCCGTCTTGTTGCTTTAATAGGAACCTCATTCACAAACAGCAGCGTGTCAGCGTTATGCCCCTACAGGGCTTGTCACGTCTGTGGCAGGGAGAGGTCTGGGTGTATTCTTCTCTAATTACCACTGATACAGTAATTGATGTTTGAAAATACATTTAGTATCTTTTTCTTACACTTGACTATCTACATTATTTCTTCCCTCCCTGTATATGTGATGGGTACTGTTTTAAGAGTCTCATGCTCTACCAACTGAGCTAGCCGGGCACCGTGATGGGCACTGTTTTAGAATTGACAGCATCTCTTTCATTCCTAAGTTTCCATTTGGATCACTGTGGAGCTCTGCCCTGGTTTCTGCAGAAGACCAGTTTCAAAGGAAGAACTTTCATGACGCACGCTACTAAAGCTATCTACAGGTGGCTTCTTTCAGACTACGTCAAAGTCAGGTAAGTTGCTCTATTAGACTCCAAATAACACATACTAGAGGCCCAATGCATGAAGATCCGTGCAAGCATGGGCCTTCCTTCCCCTGGCTGCTGGCATCACCTTCGCTTCAGCTGGAGCCGCCTTCCTGCCTTCCCACGCTGCCCAGAGGCCTGGAGCAGCTGTGGCAGCGTGGAAAGCCTTCGTTGTCGCCATGGCAATGATGCAAGCATCCCACCCCACTGCTGGGCGCCTGAGTATGCAAATAAACCCACATCTTTGTTGGGTTGATTTGCATACTCACTCCTGACAGGCTATTTTGCTTCAAGAAGGTACCTTCAATTTTCATCTTACACTTTTGTTAGTATAGATGGCTCAAGATATGGACCATTTTGGTATTTGAAACAAGACACTGTTTATTCACCAGGTTGTCGTTAACTTAGTTTTCAGTACCGCCTGTCAGATACCCACTGTGTACCAGCACCTTCTGGCCTTAAAGTCCTTACATAGTTCTAACATTCTTTTAAATCTTTGTAACTTAGGTGAGTTGTAAAGTATAACAACAATATTCTATAAATGTTAATTAACACGAAATACGTTATACAGTGATATATACTGAAATCTTATTTTAGATTATCTGATCAAAGCAAATTACTACCTTAAATGAAAAATTTTCCCTGGGGAAGTCTCTTCCAGTTGCAAGAGGAAAACTTCTTTTATCAGAAAATTTGTGGCATTTTTGTGATCCCTACAGCACAAATTATTAGCCTTCAAAAGTTTACTGTTTAATATTGTATTCCAAGCATTGTAAGATGCCATTTGTTACTCTACATAGGTAAATACAAAAGAATGGGAGAGTTAGTAGTAAATGTACTCCTTACACTTTAATGCTACTTACCACATGCAGGCACAGTCCTCAGTTCTTAACATGGTTAACACATTTAATCTTTACATGAACCTCATGGCGTAGGTTCGGTTATGAATCCCACTTTACAGGTGATGGGAAATGCATGGTGATAGGCACAGAGTGGTTAGTAGTTTACCTGTGATGGTCACAGGAAGAGACACAGCTGGATTGAGACCCAAGCAGACTGGCTCCAGAGCCTGTGTCCTTCACCACTGCGCTCTCCTGCTTTTTGGAAGTTCTTAGCATAATCTTCAGAAGAAAAGTTACGCTAACCTTTGTAGAGGAATCTTTTCATGTCACTGTGTCAGGGTCTCTGTCCTGGTCAGTGTGTGAGGGAGTTTCTCAGGTGCGTTGGGATAGAACAAAGGTGGAGAAGTACTACCTTAAAGAGTATTTTGCTTAGTTTACTGTGTGCTGTGCTTAAAATTATGTTTCCTAGTTGTACACACTAAAATTTTTATTAGACCTGCAGGGCAAAAAAGAAATACAGGAGACGGCAAAGATATTCTAGATAATATAACCCGTACAACATAATTTGAAGAAATCATTTCATGGGTTTGTCATCCATAGTTACTTTGAGATCAAGGACTTTTTAAAAATCTTGCCCTGAATTCTTTTTGTTGGATCTATAAAAATGTAGTAACATATCAGCGGACGACATGCTGTACACGGAGACCGACTTGGAAGAGAGCATGGACAAAATCGAAACCATCAACTTCCACGAAGTGAAGGAGGTCGCAGGAATCAAGTTTTGGTGTTACCACGCGGGCCACGTGCTCGGAGCGGCCATGTTCATGATCGAGATCGCGGGCGTGAAGGTACTCCTACCCTTTCGCTCCTCCACGAGAAGGCCGCCAGCTGGTGCTGAGGAACGTTCCCGAGGACTCGGTGTCCAGAACTGAAACCGGAGGGAACATTAAGTCCATGCTTTTCCGCTTGAGTGTCACATACCCCAGGACAGTGCTTCTGTGAGAAGCAGGAGGAAAGAGTGAAATGAGCATCTGAGCGTGATGCTCCCTCCACTTCCAGAGCAGCAGCTCCTCAGCGCCCTTGGAAAATGGCCTGGGAGGAGCTGTGAGAATCATGGATGGGCTGCCTCCTGCCTGCCCAGTACTGGGGATCAAGCACACAACCGGGGCTTGTGCCCTGACTGGGAATTGAACCGTGACCTGGTTCATTTGTTGATGTTCAACCCCTGAGCCACACTGGCCGGGCAGGCAGTGGTTCTTAACTCTGGATGCACATGAGTATCACTCAGGAGCTTTTGAAAAATACCCATTGAAACAGAATGGTGTAGTCTCAAACCACCCCCCCTTTTATTTATTTGTTTTATTTGTTTATTTATTTATTTTTAGTGGTTTTTTTCGTTTTCTAGGTGATCTTTATGTGCAGCCAGAGTTGAGAAGCGATGTTCTAGTGGAATAGTGTCCTGAATTTTCAGCAGCTGCTCATATAGTATTTAATATTTTTACATATTGAGTTGTCCTATGTTTCTAAATAGTTTTCTTTTTATTTTTTTCTGTTTGCTCAAAGGCACAGAAAATAACACAAATGCAGATCTAAATTCTCATTTGAAATTTGATGCACACCCTCCAATGATTTTTATCTCCCCTTTTTTATGGTTTTCCCATATTCCTCCATGGACTTCTTTCCTCATTCTGCCCTTCTTCTCTGAGATGTTCGGAGCACTTCTCAGGTTTGCTAAGATCCAGGTTCTCTTTGGGGGAGGATTCTTCCCCGTTACTTAGAGTCACTGACTGAAATGCTGCATGGTCTGTGACCAGCTCAGATAGACACAGGGTGGCATCACAGTTTCATCCGTTGTGGACTGTTCTGTTTATTTCCACTTCCAGGTTTTATGAGCTAAATGTATTTAGTAGTCAAATGAACCCTTCCAAAAGCCTAACCTTCCAGCTTTATCTTTTCACAGCTTTTGTATACAGGTGACTTCTCACGACAAGAAGACAGACACCTAATGGCAGCTGAAATTCCAAATATTAAGCCTGATATCCTTATCATTGTAAGTATTAGTGCATGGGATTGCAGTCAGGGTAATGTAAGCAGAATTTTTTTAGTGGGGAAAAATATTGCAATCTAATTTTTATAATATGTGGTTGGATATAACGTATCTTTTTTGCTATAATATTAGTTTTCTGACCTCTCTTTGTAGTGCAGCTCCACTTTCTTGCTGTTAAGTATATCAGCTCTGGTCTAAAGTCGGGTACTAGGATACCGCCTACATGTTTTTGTCTAGGTGAATTACCCTACATTTTTGCACTATTTCCTGATTCCATTTTATAAAGGATTTTTATCACCTCACCCGGTCTTAGGTCTAACATTCTTATCTGTTCTTTCAAATAGTGTTATAACAGTACATGCCCAAGTAAGTAGCATGTTAGTGGAGAAATGAATTGCGTTGCTTCCCATCTCACGATGCTTAGCTTTCTATCCTTTGGACTCGTCGGTCTTGGTCTCACCGTCTGCTGTGTCGCTTAGGAATCCACGTATGGGACCCACATCCATGAGAAGCGGGAGGAGCGAGAGGCGCGGTTCTGCAACACGGTCCACGACATTGTGAACAGAGGCGGCCGAGGCCTCATCCCTGTCTTCGCTCTCGGGAGGGCTCAGGAGCTGCTCCTGATTTTAGGTGCGCCTTTTCCTTTTCGCTCGGGGGATTCTTAGAACCTGGAGTGCCTGGCCTTGAATAGATTATTCTGCTTTGCTGGGCTTCCGTTTCTGCATTTAGAAGTAGGAATTGGGGCCAGGATTCGGGTTAGGGTTAGGGTTAGGGGTAGGTTGGGGTTAGGGTTAGTGTTTGGGTTGGGATTAGGGTCAGGGTCAGGGTCAAGGTTAGGGTCAGGGTCAGGGTCAAGGTAGAGGAACAGTGACCAGCCTGCTCCTGCGAGCATAAGTGGTGTGCCTTTCTGGTTGCCATCAGCCTCAGAAGGAAAGAACATGCTGCTCTTTGACCCACCAGTTCCACTTCTGGAAAGTAAATGAGATGTACAGAAAACCTGTCAGTAGGGTATAATCATTTCGATATTTTTATAGGAATGTGTCAGTAAATATCACATTACAGGAAAAAGGTCATGTTACACGTATTCACATAGTATGTTACGGGGACCGAGAAATGGAGATCAGTCTGGCTCAACGGTTGAGCATCGACCTATGAACCAGGAGGTCACGGTTCAATTTCTGTTCAGGGCACATGCCCAGGATGCATGCTCAATCCCCGTATGGGGTGTGCAGCGGACAGCCAATCAGTGATTCTCTCACTGATGTTTCTGTTCTGTTTCTCTTTCCCTCTCCCTTCCAATCAGTCAAAAAATAATTTTTAAGAGGTGGTTTTCTAAAAATAATAATAACAATAATAATAATAATAGGGTTCAAAACAGTATGTACTCTGACCCTAGTGAGGTACAAATTACACAGATGACTAGAAAGCTAACTCTGGAGAGTGAGTGTCTACTTTTCTTCGTTCCCAAATGCCTCCGTGAGCGGTAGGAGAAGCAGTGGTCGCTGCTGGGTGTGGGTTTATGATCCCCTCAAAGGCCGCCATGCTGCAGCTCCTCTGGGAGCCCAGTCTTCCTGAGCGTCCGTGCTGTGTGCCTGACTGTCGGCAGCGGCCTGCAGAGAGCTGAGGGCCGTCGCCGAGGGAGGGAGACAGCTGATGCTCCCTGGCCCCTTTAAAGCATGCTTCGTGCTTTCATTTATTCCTCGTCTGAATTTTTAAATTAATTGTCCGTGTCACTTAGTACGTGGACTGTCTACCCCATGTAACAAAGTGACATTTATCTCATAAACTCTCTCCAGATGAGTACTGGCAAAATCACCCGGAACTCCACGATATTCCAATATACTACGCGTCATCTTTGGCCAAGAAGTGTATGGCCGTGTACCAGACGTACGTGAACGCCATGAACGACAAAATCCGCAAGCAGATCAACATCAATAATCCCTTCGTCTTCAAACACATTAGTAACCTGAAGGTGAGAGCTCGTGGAGGGAGGGCAGGGCGGCTGGCGCACCGGGAGCAGCCAGGGGAGAGACCTGGCCTCCATCTGGCCTCGTCCTCACCCAGCCCCTCCTCTCCCCAGCAGCCATCACTTCTGGATGGAGTCAGGAACTTGGCAGCCGGCGTGCTTTCTGCCCCTGCTCCGAGTCCCCTGCCTTGTCACTTATCACTGTTGCTGAATAACTCGAGCCTTTTTGTCGCAGAAATAACAAGTCCTGATGAGAAAAATATCTTGTGTATTAGGTTTTTCTGTTCTTACTCAAACATAATCATCTTTTTTTATGATTAGCATTATAAATTCCATATAATGCTACATTTTCCTGTTTACTTTTCTAGAGCATTCTGTGAAATCTGATTTTCTCTCATTAAAATGTATATGTTGTTTCATCCAAACTAATGCTCTAATCCACAGCAATCAGACTGTAAGTGGTTTTCCAATTACAGATCAGCTCTGTTCATAAATCCTTATATTTTAGGTTAGTGTTTTAGTAATTAGAGCTGAGTTTTCCCTAGAAACAGTGTTAATTTTCTTGGTTAGATTTCTAGGCCAGCTCAAAATATCCCCGAGGCCTGAGAGGGAGCTGTGAGTCCTTGGGGAGTCGTTACGGCCCCCGAGCTGCCAGAGCAGGTTTTGAGGGTCAATGTGAGCTAAGTGTTTCCCTCACTTTGTTGTCTTTCATTCCTAGTCCAAACTGCTAGGAACTTGGAAACTGGGCTAACCGTTTATTAGTCTTGTCAAGACCCCTTCGCTCGTGTGGTCGCCTTTTTGTTGTTCGTTAGAAATAAGGAAAGCTCGGTCCCGGCCTGGTGCTGACCGCTCCCCCCTCCCGCCCCAGAGCATGGACCACTTTGACGACATCGGGCCCAGCGTGGTGATGGCGTCCCCGGGCATGATGCAGAGCGGGCTGTCCCGGGAGCTCTTCGAGAGCTGGTGCACGGACAAGAGGAACGGCGTCATCATCGCGGGCTACTGCGTGGAGGGCACCCTGGCCAAGGTCAGTCCGCCGGCGCTCCCCGTGCGGGCCTGGAGGGGGGCCCTGCGGAAGGAGAGGGAGCTCGTTAGCGGCTGGTCGTGAGGGTGAGCAGTGACGCAGGCGCTGAGGGGCATGGCCCGATCCCAGGCGGGTGGAGGCGCATTCAAGTTCAAGGAGCACCGTCAGGTGCAGCAGGGACAGTGGAAGGATCCCATTTGGGACAAACATGGACACCGTAGGTGACGGGGACGAGGCTCACTGGCGGTGTTCTCTGGACAGGCCGTCTTCCTGCCGCTCTGCTGTGAGCTCCCAGGCAGACAGTCATGTGCAGGACTCCAGAGGCAGGTTCTGAGCACCAAGCACCTGTTCTCCTATCGCCTCTGACGGTTAACGTCCGTTTTATTTCCTAAGTACATTGATTCCGCTCTGCTCGTTTTTATTACTTTATTCTGTGAGTCATTCAGACATTGTTAGCTGTGTATTTAAAATAGATGTTCAGCCGTAGCCAGTTTGGCTCAGTGGATAGAGCATCAGCCTGCAAACTGAAGGGTCTCGGGTTCGATTCCGATCAAGGGCATGTACCTTGGTTGTGGGCTTAATCCCCAGTAGGGGACATGCAAGAGACAGCTGATCAATTGATTGGTGATTCCCTCATCACTGATGTTTCTATATCTCCCTCTTCCTTCCTTTCTGAAATCAATAAAAATGTATTTTAAAAACCAGGTTTTTAGAATAGGAACGCACTGCCCGTTATGTGCACCCTCCTCACTGGAAGCTCTTTCTAGAGGAGAGTGGAGAGGGCCAGCTGGCCTTTTTCATCGGAGAGTGGTCACTTCTGCTTCTCGCACTCCAGCCACACGGTTTTAACTCACCGCCTAGCTTTCTGATTGAGTGCTTGATGAAGGAGATAGCACTCGATAATTACTAAGTCCGTGGCATTAGAATGGTTTTTGTGCTGACAGTCCTACATGTAGCGTGAGTTTACGGCTGCATGGAAAGTTGGAAATGTGCCGTCTCCAATTGGGTGGTTTATTTTGTTCTTTGTTTTTCACAGCACATCATGTCTGAACCCGAAGAGATCACCACCATGTCTGGACAGAAGCTGCCGTTGAAAATGTCTGTGGATTACATCTCTTTCTCCGCTCACACGGATTACCAGCAGACCAGTGAGTTCATCCGCGCTTTGAAGCCGCCTCACGTGGTGAGTCTGGGTTTCCTTTGGCGGTCACAGGGGCAAGCACCCCCGCTTGCAGCGGCTGGTTCTCAAATCAGACCCGCCTCTGTCCACGCAGCACATAGACAGAGCTCACTCACTTACCACCATCTCCCTAGCTCTCCTGGGAGGTAGGCAAGCTGTACACTTTATTTTTTTTTAATATATTTTTATTGATTTCAGAGAGGAAGGGAGAGAGAGAGAGATAGAATCATCCATGATGAAAGAGAATCACTGATTAACTGCCTCCTGCACGCCCCATACTGGGGATGGAGCCTACAACTCAGTCATGTGCCCTTGACCGGAATTGAATCTGGGACCCTTCAGTTCACAGGCCAACACCCTATCCACTGAGCCAACGTGTCTAGGGCAAGCGGTGCCCTTTAATTTCCCACTACATGGGCACCTGTTCAGACCTACCAGCCCCAAAGCCACTGTTGTATCTGACACTCTCTGCTGCCTCCCCAGGAACATAAGAGTGCGGGTTTGTGCGTAGTAACATCTCTCCACCGGACGTTTAACTGATCCGCATTCACAGAAAGTCCGTGGGTACCTGGACTGAGGATCCTTCCTGAGCCCTTCCACATGTCTCCCGTTAGATCTTAGTCCACGGAGAGCAGAACGAGATGGCCCGCCTGAAAGCAGCCCTGATTCGGGAATATGAAGACAACGACGAAGTCCACATAGAGGTCCATAACCCTCGCAACACAGAAGCGGTGACCTTGAACTTCCGGGGGGAAAAACTGGCCAAGGTCATGGGCTTTTTAGCGGACAAGAAGCCAGAGCAAGGCCAGCGCGTCTCTGGGATCCTTGTGAAGAGAAACTTCAACTACCACATACTTTCTCCTTGTGACCTCTCCAGTGAGTGCACTTAGGCGTCAAATGTGATTTGGTTTTGGCTTTGAGAGGAAAAGTCTATGAAAACTTCTCTTCCCCAGGGGCCACATTTTAAATAACAGCCGAGTAATAAAAGATCAGTAGGTGGAAGTTAACGATCCAGTTCGTTTTATGGGGAAAATGAAAGTCTCCCCCGAACTGCTGACACTTCAGTTCTTGGTGAAGCGGCTCTTCCTTCGTTGGAACAGGCTTGCCTCTCAGACAGCGGCTCCTGCTGACGTGCTGCTGTCCTCCCCGTCAGTGGAGCGTGATGTTCTCTCCTGAAGGAAGGTGGCCCACACAGGCACTGATCTCTGTGGCCTGTGGTTTTATGTGGCTTCCGGGCCTGGTGGCCTGAGCTGTGCACATGCTGAGCCAGCGTGGCTTTGCAGTCAGTGTGAGATTGTGTCCACGTGAACAGCTGCTCATAGACTGCTGTAAACTCAGCGCTAATGCAGGTGGGGACAGGCAGCTTGCAGGCCGTCGGCCGTCCTTCCTCCAGCCGCCAGGGCTCTTACCCAGCCTGGCCTGGTGCGGGCCGGAGGGCCGAGGCCACGCAGAAGCACAGCCCCCGCCCCGGGAGTGCTGCCCGAGGAGAGAAGGGTCTTTCTGAGCCAGTCCCCGTGTCGGTCAGCAAGGCCGAGGTGCCCGGGCAGCGTGTGGGAGACAGCGGGCCCTGGTGTTGGGAAAGGCTGTGCCCGTCAGGCGCCTGTGTGCCAGGAGGTGCCAACCCGAGAAGTGGCGGCCAGCTGGTGTGCTGGCTGCAGACGCGGAGGGGCCGGATGTGTTCAGGAGGGTGGGGTCTTAACCTTGCGGGGTCGGCGGGGGCTTAGGGGAACGAGGATGAGGACGAACTGAGGAGCGCCTTGTTGCTTGAAACGTGCTCTCGGTTGCTTTACTTCTTTCCTTCACTCCAGGATGTTTGCAAGCTGTGTTTGCCGGACTAGTGTTGTTCCTTTACGTGCATTTCTTCTCGTGTCCTTGCAGATTACACTGACCTGGCCATGAGCACCGTGAAGCAGACGCAGGCCATTCCCTATAACGGCCCCTTTAATCTGCTCTATCACCAGCTGCAGAAACTGACAGGTGTGTATACTGATTGACAGTCACTTTTTTTGTGTGTGTGGGGGTTTTTTTTTCAAAGTAATGATGTATCTAGGAAAGGATATGGTTTTATTTTGGTAACTGTCTCAGATTAGCACAAATTTTATTTGTACTTCGTCGTACCACTTTTTGGTGAAGCTTAAAAATTTACTCACTATTCATCCATTTTTTAAAATCCCATTATACTTTTATCGTCTTCAGTCCACTTAAAATTCTAAAAATATCGGCAGTCTTTGCTCCTTGGTTTAAAATCTACTTTAGCTTACTTACCCAAGTCTTCTCTGTTTCTGTCTTTGTTCGGTGACAGTTTTCCTTGTTCCACTGGCACCGTACACGGCAGGTCTGCTCAGGGCACAGGGCCACCGGGCAGAGGCCAGGGAGAGGGAAAACCTCTCTGTTTGCTGTGAGACCCTTGTCAGTAGGGACTGCGGGCAGCAGCAGAGACTAAGTTAAAGGAAAGAGGCGCTCACAGGCCAGAGCACTCCAATTACAAGTTGCCCTGTCTGTCAGCATGTCCCTCACCCTCGTGTGGCCACGTGCTGCCGTAAAGTGCAGCAGAGTAAACCCTTTTCACCGCAGACGTCGCCTAGGAAGCCAGAAGGCTCACGTTAAGGATAGACTTGGCCTGCGGGAGGAGTAACCCCGAGAAGACAGAGGGGAGAGGGACTGTTGGGGCTGATGAGCCTCTGGGAAATGTTAAGATGCTCATGGCTAATCTCGGCATAAAAACAGAAGTGTGACCGTCACCACGGTTTGCTGTTGATGAAATATTAATGTCCGAGGTAAATCCATTCTAGTTGTATGGGCTTTTATAATACATATTGAGATCTCTCAGTTACTCTGAGCAATTAATGTGGAACTCGCTAGCTATTTAAATCTGACCACACAAGTACACTATTAACTTTTTCCGTTATGTGTCAGCTTTAGTTCCGCTGTCCCTATAAACAAATGAATAATTCTACCTCTGGCAGATTATCAGGAAATTATGTACATCTTCTAATTCTTTCTTTCAGGTGATGTAGAAGAATTAGAAATTCAAGAAAAACCTGCTTTGAAAGTGTTCAAAAATATTACTGTAATACAGGAACCAGGAATGGTGGTGTTAGAAGTAAGATGAGACTGTTTACCCAAACACGGAGGAAAAGGGTTAAGCATTCACATGTGGAGACTTGGCGTGGGGTGGTGAACACAGTGCTGTGTGCAGCTCATGTGCTATAGAACTGTACATCTGAAACCTATCTAACCTCATTAACCGACGCCCTCCCTCCCTCCCGCAAATTCCAGTTTAAAAAAAGAGTTTACATGTAGAGAAATTAGCTTCCCAATCAGGAAAAGGTTATCGGAGAGTATAGCTTTCTTAACAAGATCAGCTTTACATACAGCATAGCGAGCATTGTCTGTGTGACAGAAACTGGCCACCAGTCCAGGCGTGGCGTACAGTGTGTGTGATGAGTGCAGCCAAGGACTGCGGCTGCGCAGGCGGCACGGGTCAGCTTGCAGGCTGGCGGCCGTCCTGCGCACAGCTGCGGTCCTTGTCCCGTAATACCATTGTGTTGGAGCTGATGTTACAGTGTCCCAGGCTGCCTTCAGGTGTATCAACAGGTCTTAGCATTCTCAAGATAAAACCTCACTCTGTCCCATTAAAACTTGTCACGCACACATCTTTAGAGAGTGGGACTTTGAACACTCAAGTACACACATTAACACGACCCACGTCCACCAAGGCAAGCAGTCACTAACTTAGGTAAATGTGTCCCCACTGGTAGAATTTTAAATATATTTTATTGGTTTTTACAGAGAGGAAGGGAGAGGGATAGAGAATTAAAAACATCGATGAGAGAGAAACACCTCTATCAGCTGCCTCCTGCACGCCTCCCCCAATGGGGATGTGCCCGCAACCAAGGCACACGCCCCTGACTGGAATCGAACCCGAGACCCTTCAGTCAGCAGGCCGACGCTCTATCTACTGAGCCAAACCGGTCAGGGCCCCACTGGTAGAATTTTAAATTCCTGCTGGTGGAATCGGGAACCCACACCAGATGAATGGTTGGTTTGATGGCTGGCATTCGGGACGGGGTGACAAAGGCGGCCTTGTCTGTTTTCCTGTCCCAGGCTGCAGGGAAACTGTTTGCAAGTTCCCCAGCTACAAGGCCAGCTGCTCCGTATTCACGTAAATTAAAGGTCTGTCCCTGGCGGGTGGCCCGGCTGTGCCCTCCTAACTCTGCCTTCCGCTCTGCAGTGGCTCGCTAACCCCGCCAACGACATGTATGCCGACACCGTGACCACCGTGGTCCTCGAGGTGCAGTCAAACCCCAGAGTCCGGAAAGGTACAGCATTCCCACTTTCTTCCTGTTACACTCACTGCCCAGTCAGCCCTTTCCTCCGGAGCGTTTTGAGCTAAACAGCAGAAAGGGGTGGGCTAAGTTGCTTGAACTCCCGGTTTTTCCTTCCTGAAACCTTGACAGCACTAAATACATGCAAACAGTGCACGTCACTGATATTTTCCCTGTGCTGTGGAAGTTGGTGGCACCTCGCTCTACGATGAAATCTCTTAGTGCCAGTCCCTCGGGGAACTCGGTAACGCGAAGTGTCCCGCTGTCCCCGTTAGCCAGCACACCTAACGGAAAACGCTCTGTGCGTGACTCCCGGAGCTGTGTAGAGAGGACCCTCCTGTCGTTCGCCAGGAGCACTTTCCGCCAGGGAAGCGGCAGTGAACGTACCCCGTGCACGTCTTCCCAGCCGGGCCGGCCCAGACGCAGCTGCTGGCACACGCCGTGGGGCTGGCACACACGCCGTGGGGCTGGCACCCGCCGTGGGGCGTCGTTGGCAGCGGCAGCCCTCCCCCCGCTGGGGAAGAGGCGCGTGCAGCAGCCTGGTCCTCCAGAAGCGCTTCTCTCCCTAAATATAAAGACTAAAACGAGCAGTCGGCAGTTCTCTGGTGTCGGGAGAAAAAGAAGTTGCGCTGACCTTCATGTGGAGGAGCCCAGGGCCGGTCAGGGCCGTCTCAGAAACGTCCTGGGTGTTGGCTGGGATGCATGCACACGGGATACAGACAGACTCTCCTTCTCCGCAGCTGCCGTCCAGAAGGCGTCCAAGAAGCTGGAGATGCACGTCTACAGCAAGAGGCTGGAGGTCATGCTGCAGTGAGTGGCCCCCTCAGGCCGGGGAAGGGGGTGCTCCGGGCCCGAAGCCAGCTGGGACCGGGCTGAGGCCTGCTGGGGAGCCATTCGGGGCGGGAACCAGCGGCTCTGCACGGCCGTGGAGGAGCCGGGCGCCCCTCGGTCGGGTGGACGGACCGTGACGCAGCTCATCCCTTAGAGCCAGACTCCACTCGCGGGCTGACCTCTCCGCCCCCTCCACCGGGTCCTCTTCCCAGCCTGTCCCCTCCCGTCCCCGTCCCCGTCCCCTCTACACACACACACACACACACACACACACACACACCTCTCCACTACCCCCACACACACACACACATCTATACCCCCCCACACACACATCTACACCCCATACACACATACCTACACACACACACACACACACCTCTCCACACCCCCACACACACACCCCTACAGACACACACACACACATCTACACCCTACACACATCTATACCCCCACACACACACACACCTCTCCACCACCACCCCACACACCCCTACACACACACACCCCTACACACACACACACACACACATCTATACCCCCCCACACACACACATACCTCTCCACCACCACCCCACACACCCCTACACACACACACACACACACACACACACACACACATCTACACCCCATACACACATACCTCCACACACACACACACACCTCTCCACCCCCCCCCCACACACACACACACACACCCCTCAGTGTTAGAAACAGGAACGCGAGGGCTGGGAGTAAGCACGTGCGTAAGCGCCGTGTCCATCACCTGTCACGCCGGCGCTAAGGCCGTGGCGTGTGGGATGGCTGCCCTGGCTGCTCTCAAACCACCTGATACCTGAAATGACCCCTTTCCCCCCTTGGAACGTGTACGGGCGGTTAAAATGTGCTCTGGTCACACTCGTGCAAAGGAACTTATCACCCCCTGGGCCCCCACCCCGTGCCAGCTCAACACCTGTGGGCGGTGCTGCCGGCCGGCCAGTCTCCGACCCTCGCTGACCCACGGACTCCTCACCCGGCCCACTGCCGGCCGGCCTGCTGTTTGCACATGCGTGTGACCCACGGGAACAGCGTGGCCGCTAATGATGGGCTGGCTCCCAGGGCCCAGTGCCTGACCAGGGGCAGCCAGGGGCTGGGGGCATGGCAGCCAGGAGGCCAGGTCTGATCCCGGCTCCACTGCGCACCGGCCGGGGCTGCAGGCCGGTCACCTGCACACACCCTGCAAACCCCGTGTGTACAGGGGCTTCTCGCCAGCACGCTTACCGGTGGAGATCATGTAAGTGCTGGCACAGTGCCTGCTGAGTGCCTTAATGAGTGGTAGCTGTGTTTTACCTGTTCTAGAATGTTAATGAAATATAGAAGGTAACTAATGAGTGTATCTCAGGATGATAGCACTGTGCCCAGCTCCATAAAACTGCTGCGCATGTCAGACTGCGTCTCACCGGTGCTGTGCTGTGTGCCCAGGGACATATTCGGAGAGGACTGCGTGAGTGTGAAGGACGGCTCCGTGCTCAGTGTCACCGTGGACGGGAGGACTGCGAACCTGAACTTGGAGACCCGGGTATGTGCTGCTCCTACGTCTCCAGATATTTAGGAAATAGAGTGAAGGCAAAATCGTCTGTGACTCCAGCCTAACAGAACTGTGATCCCACGCCATTTCCTTCCAGTTTCTTCCTATTTTTTTATCTTTATTTTTTACAAGTTGTGTTTATATTACTCTACACGGGTGAGGCAAAAGTAGGCATACAGTTGTCTGTATGTCCCGTATTCATAGTTACAAACCTGCTTTGCCAACCCCATAGGAGAAGTTGTACGTTCTTGCTTTTTCCTTTCTCGTTGTCTGTTTTCTGAGGGGCTGCCTGGCACCCTATCCCTGCGTGGCCTCCCGGGCCAGCTCAGGACTCCTAGTCCGGCACCAGCGGGCTCCGGGGCTTCCCAGGCACCGCCCTCTTGTTTGCCGTGGGATCCACCGGGACCTCTGGTCTCACCCAGCCGACTTTGCATAATTACTTCACAGGCCTGAGCGAAGTTCATTGCCTCTCAGGGCTGTTTTGTTTTGTTTAAATCTTTATTGTTGAAATTATTATATATGACCTTTCCCTTCTTATCCCCTGCTAACCTCCCCATCCCCGAGCCATGCAGGGCTGTTCCGGAGATTGGAACAGTTATACCACACAGATAACGTGTGTTTAAAATTTCTTTTGCATGGTCTTTGATTATTTAGGTGCTTTACTTTTCCTCAATAGAAAAGTAAACTAAGAACTTCCCCATCATGGTTCCCAGCCACCCCTGTCTGTGCCACCAGCAGTGATATTTCACACAGGCTGAGCGCAGTGTCCGCCTGCATCGTTACGTGGGAGGGGGTACGCACTAGCTGGTAAGAAGTCTACGTAAAGCTAAAGTCTAGAAGGTTACACACTGAAAGGTTAACAGAATTAAGGGGTTTCTCTTTCCTCGGTTTTACACAGGAGTGTTTGTGGTAAGATACGAAGTATTTAACAGCACAGTGTTTACAGTTGGAAGGGAACCAGATTATTACGAGCTCATGCCCGCCCACGGGGCAGGGCGGGGTGCCCTCTCCCGCCCCCTCCTCCCCCGCCCGGGATGAGTGTTGTAGGAGAGCAGTCACTTCCCTGCTGTACGGTAACGCCTGTGTCTCCTGCAGACTGCCGAGTGCGAGGAAGGAAGCGAGGATGACGAGTCTCTCCGGGAGATGGTGGAGCTGGCCGCGCAGAGACTGTACGAGGCCCTCACGCCGGTGCACTGACCGCTGCTGTGGACGCGCGGTCCATCACCACAGGGAAGCATGTTCCTGCCTGGGGCGGCCCCTCTACTCAGGACGGCCAGCGGCTCTCATTCCAGTCGTTAGCACACCACCGTTACCACCTATCTGTCCATTGTCTAGAATGCTGAATAAACGTGTAGGATTTATTGATTCCACTTCTAGGCACGGATGCAGCTCCCAATAAACTGTAAAACTCTGCTCACAGCGCCCTGCCAGGCGGCTCGGAGCCCTGCTGTTTGGATCAGGGTCCTCTGCACCACAACGTGCGGCTCCATTCCCGGTCAGGTTGCAGGTTCGATCCCCAGTCAGGGTGCATACAGGAGTCAATGGATCGAAATTCTCTCCCTTCCTCTCTAAAATCAATAAACACATACTCCAGCGAGGATTTTTCATTAAGTCTGTTCATAGCAACTGAACCAGTATGTTTTACTATACATTTTAAGGAAATGCACAATAACTGATTTTCTGAATTTGAGTTAATTTTTCTAGATTATCAAGTTTTAAGCCCCTTTTCTATCTCTTCCCTCCTGATCCTCTTGCCAAGTTCTTTAATTTCTACATTTGTAAAATTACAGCTTTTGGGGTTCGGTGATATTTCCTGTTTAATAGGTATGTATTCAATTTCAGAGACAGGAAGATACTTTTTATGTCTCCTGTGTAAGGTATTCAGGTGCACTGAATTGCTTCATTTGTAAACTGATAGTCCCGGTTCCTGAGGCACACAGCATGCGGACTGGCAAACGGCACAGGCCCATCAGGTGCTGCTGCTGAGGGCGGTCACCCTGCAGTGCTAACTCCGCATCTAATCAATGAGCAGGCGATGGTTCCTTTGCAGAGGGACACGCTGTGCTTGAGTCCCTCCTCCCCTCACAGCCCCAGTCCAGCTACAGACATCAGCTGTCCAGCCACTAACTTCCATCAACGCTGGTCAGGCCTCACCTCTTGTGACTTAGAAACGTATTTTACTGACCACCCATTCCCTGTGCTTTGGTGACAAACTCCACTGTGAATCTTGTCACGTGGAATGAGACATTTATTTCTGTAATGGAGCCAACTTCTTTGTCTTTGGCCCCAACTATAGGTCTAAGGGTCACATGATATTTTTTAAATTACAGTTAGCCCTAGCTGGTTCTGCTCAGTGGATGAAGCAGGGTTCTGGGTTCAGTTCCAGTCAGGGAGGCATGCCCAGGTTGCGGGCTGTCTCCAGTAGGGGATGTGCAGGAGCCAGCCGACCTATGATTCTCATCATTGATGTTTCTATCCCTCTCCCTCTCGAATTAAAAATCTATTTCGAAAAATTAATGTTCTATTGATTTTAAAGGGAGAGGAATACCGGTCAGTTGCCTCCTGTATGCACCCTGACCAGGGACCAAAACCCAAACCCGGCTGTCGCCTGACGGGATCAAACTGGCAGCCTCTTGGCGCCCTCAACCGAGCCACACTGGCCTGGCCAGGCTCCTCTAACGTTTAAGCTACAAAACACACGTAACGTCTCCCTGAACACCTACAGCAAGGCGTGTCCTTTCTCCGTCCCTCCCTCCGAGTAACCATGTGGAGGTAAGAATTCTAAATGGCTCTTCCCACCGCTTCCTGCTGCAGCCTCACACACACACACCCGTGCAGGCCGAGCTCAGACATCACAGCGGCCCGGGCCACCTGTGGGAGCCACGTCTTAGACAACAAGGAACAGAACCTTTTGTGGGAGGGGGGTCGGCCTCCGCGTGGGAAACATGCAGCAGCTGGGGCTCGGGAAGGGAGCACAGCAGCAGTCTGCCGCCTGCTGGAGCCCTCGGGCTTCACCATGATTCCATGAAGTCCGAGCCCTGGCCTGGCCTACAGGTTCCGCCTGGCACGTGGGGCACGGGACACGGGTGCCCACGGGTGCGCATGGGAAGTGGGTGGTTCGCATGCGGGTCCTCCAGCAGCCGCGTGCGGAAGCTCCCCCCGCACCCCGTGGCTCCCGGGAGCTCCCAGCCTCAGATTGGGTGGCGCCGTGTCCCCCGGCTGCCTCTCCAGCTGCAGCCAGGCTCCTGCGGGACCCCGGGTCCAGGCCGCGAGAGGCAGCCAGCTTTCCCGGCTCCACTGCTCCCGGCCCTCCGCTTCCCGGCCGCCTGGGAGCACACGGGGCTCCCGAGGTTCCTCCCACAAGGCCCCTCCCGGGCTCTCCTCGGCCCCTGGGTTCAGGTTTCAGCAGGAATCCTGCCAGTCCCCTTAGCGACTGACCACAGGGTCTGTTCAAATTCCTCATCTCCCACACCGTCCCACCAGCCACCTTCCACAGAACCCTGTTCAGTCAGCGAAGACTCCCTGCCTCAGTAATCCCGACCCCACCCCGCCTCCCGGCACCCTCTTTCCCGTGTACTCGGAGGTGAGCCTAATCCGCCTCCCAGAGGCCGAACCCCAGGCCGAGTCCTCTGAGTCTGCTGCCCGACACCAGCAAATGCCAGGCGTGAACTACTGTTTGGTTGATCCTCACTGAGATCATGTTCCACACTGATTCTTAGAGCGGGCGGGAGGGAGGAGAGAAACACACGGGGGAGCGGCCTCCCCAGCGCCCCCTTCTGGGGGTCACGCCTGAAACCGGGAGCCGCTCTTGGCCAGAATCAAACTCAGGATCCTCAGTCCCTGGGCCCGCGCTAACCACTGAGCCCACCAGGGCCCGAGTCAACACCATCGTCCGTGGTGAGCACACGGTTTATTTAACAAGAGGCGGCTGTGTGCGTTGTGCGTCCTGCGGTGACAGCTGCCTGTGGCTCCAAAGCCAGGAACGGACCGGAGCTGATGGACGGAAAATCCAGTTTATTCAAGAGGCGGCGGCCGAGCGGGAGGACGGGTCACAGGGACCATCTCGGCCTCTGGGAGCAGCAGGGAGGCGGGCGGGGCGGACCGGGGTGCAGGCCGGTGCCGCCCCCACAGCCAGGGCCCGGCTCGGCGGCCCGGTTCCCGTCGTTTCCATCGGCCCAGGAGGGTCCAGGTGAGCACGTCTCCGGGGCCAAATGCCTGGAGGGTCCCCTCCTCTGAGGTCAGCTCCGAGGGCCCTTCGAGCCACGCTGACGGCGCTGCGCGGGTGGACGGGTCACCATTTACAGAAACGATGCTAGGAGCGTGGCGGGCGGCGGGCGGGCGCCCGGGAGTCCCTCCGGCCGCCGGGCGTCTCGCTCCTCGCCTTTTGCTGGAACATTCCAGCCGGCTTCGGACGGCGGCGCCAACCCCTCTCCTTCCGGGGTCGCCCCGCTGAGGAGCTGACCGGGAGCCCGGCCAGACGGCGGGGAGGTGGGCTTCCGGGGCGGCGCGGCCGCACCTAACGGCTCAGGTACAGCAAACGGCCCCGCCCCGCCGCGGCCCCGCCCCTAGCTCCGCCCCGCCGCGCGCCCCGCCCGGATATCCGCCCTGCTCCGCCCCGCCGCGCGCCCCGCCCGGATATCCGTCCTGCTCCGCCCCCAGCTCCGCCCCCGCCACTAGCTCCGCCCGGATATCCGCCTTGCTCCGCCCCTAGCTCCGCCCCCGCGGCTAGCTCCGCCCCGCCCCGCCCCGCCGCGCGCCCCGCCCGGATATCCGCCTGCGGGCCTCAGCCGCCGGGCATGGCGCTGTGCGAGGGCCTGGGCTGCGGGAGCTCTCTGCTCTGGCCTCGGGTGCTGCTCTTCGGAGACTCCATCACCCAGGTACCGCCGCCCGGCCCGCCCGCCCGCCCGCCTGCAGGCCCCGGCGCGGCCCTCAGAGGGCGGTGTCTCCCCGTCCTCGGCGACGGCCTCCCGGGAGCCGCGGGGTGGCTCCACCGAAGGCCGCGCCGCCCGCCCGCGGACCCGCCTCTCCGAGGTCCCCCAGCCGCCCCGGGGCCGTCCGAGGCCGCCCGAGGCGGGGCCGCTGGGCACCGGCCTCGGGGGCGGTGCGCCCCGGCGTCCGGGGTAACGGCCTGCGCGGCCCCGCGTCCAGGTCCCGGCCCGGGGGACGCGCGGGCTCCGGGCTCCGGGCTCCGGGGCGGGGGCCGAGGCCGCCCCCGGCCCTGCCCGTCGGGCGTTGGGGGGAGTCGAGGCCCGGCCCGGCGCCCCCTGGCGGCGGCCGTTCTTCCGCCGCGCGAGCCGGAGCGGCTCCCGCACGGGCGGCGCCGTCGGCTGCGGGTCCGCGCCCTGCGGCCGGGGAGCGGCTGAGCCGGGAAGACGCCCGAGAATGAAGCAGGTTTTGTCACCGGGGTCATTCCAGCTCCCGTGGGGAAGCACCCCGAAACCCGCGCTCCTCAGGGCGGGTGTCAGACTCACCCCGCCCCAGCTGCTCTCCGGCGTTGGCGGGGCGGGGCGGGCACCGGCGCCCGGGCAGGGGCTTTCCCGGTGCCGTGGGGTGGCTGCGGGAGGCGCACCCCGAGTCTGTAAGGAGTCCCCCTTGGTGCTGGCGACGTGGTTTCGTTCCCCAGCTCAGCATACGGCTGGATGATGGACGGGGAGGAGTGTCTTCTGACCCCGGCCGGTGGGGAAGGAAGCTGCTCGTGGCCAGGGTGGGCTGAGGGTGTCTGCCTGCCCGGGACAGGGCAGGGGAAGGCCAGCTGGGGGGCGGGGGGAGCTGCCGGCCAAAATGGCCTCAGGACGTGGACAGCACTAACGTGCTGCTTTCTCTCCAGTTTTCTTTCCAGCCTGGAGGATGGGGTGCGTCCCTGGCTGACAAGCTGGTCAGGTGAGCAGTGTTGCTGTTTTTCATGTTTATTTTATTGCTTGCTTTTAGAGAGAAACATCCATCTGTGTTCCGCTTATATATGCATCCCGTGGTTGGTTCTGGCATGTGCCCTGACCCGGGATCGAACCCGCAGCCCGGGTGCACCTGGCTACACTCTCACCAGCTGAGCACCTGAGTGCTGACTGACGGGAAACGAGCCGCGTCTCAGGAAAGAGGGCCGAGCGCCCCGTCAGGCTCGGCTGCCTCCTGGTCTGTGCACGGGGCTCGGAGAGGAGGAAGCCTGGGCCTCAGCGTTCAGGAACTTTCCACCATGGAACTCGCACCCTGTAAGCTGTGGGGAATACATGGAGCTGTTCACCACGGAAAGGTGACTGGTCCTTTCCCGGCTTTGCGTGGGTCTGACTTCAACCATTAGTGAGTTCAGTTGCAAGAATGCAGAATAGATTCTTTTTTTTATTTTTTAAAATATATTTTATTGATTTTGTACAGAGAGGAAGGGAGAGAGAGAGAGTGAGTTAGAAACATCGATGAGAGAGAGTCATCGATCAGCTGCCTCTTGCACACCCCCTGCTGGGGATGTGCCCGCAACCAAGGTACATGCCCTTGACCGGAATCGAACCCGGGGCCCTTCAGTCCCCAAGCCGACGCTCTATCCACTGAGCCAAACCGGTTTCGGCCAGAATAGATTCTTAACACAAAATTTCAATAGAGAGTTTTTCCCTCCAAAATCCTCTGTATCAGAAAGAGAAATGATGTTGGTATCTGAAGAGTGTGCTGAGGAATTCGTGAACAGGAGGCGGTGTCCCGATTCAGGAGGTGAAATAACTGGCTGGTGGGCTCCGCAGGCACAGCTCCATTCCCGGTCGGGGCACAGGCGGGGGCTGGAGGTTTCAGGGCTTGATCTCCAGTAGGGGGCTTGCGGGAGGCGGCCTCTGGATGATGTTTCTCTCCCATCCATGTGTCTCTCTATCCCTATCCCTTCCTCTCTCTAAAAAAATTTAAAAATCAAAAAATATTTAAAAGTTGGTTAAGAAAAAGTACAAATTTTTAAAAAGAGGTTAACATATATTTATAAATATTTTCCCGATTAAAAACAGACACAAGCTCTAGCCAGTACGGCTCAATGGAAGGAGCGTCAACCTGCGGACAGAAGGGTCCCGGGTTCGACTCCAGTCAAGGACGGATGTCTGGGTTGCGGGTTCAGTCTAACATGCAGAGACAGCCAATCAATGATTCCCTCTCATCACTGATGTCTTACCTCTCCCTCTCTGAAATCGGTAAAAATATATTTCAAAAAATAAAAACCGACACACCTATCTGGGTTTGGGTCTCAGTAAACTGATCAGCAGGAATTTTGCCTCTTCCTCCGTTGAAGACGTGTGCTTATCGTTACTTCATAATTTTCTTCATCAACGTGAAACACCAAGAACAGAGATCTTATTTCTGAATGTGAGATGTGTCTTCAAGTCTTCACTTTCTCCTCTTTCTGTTCCCTAAACTAGACAATGAAAAGTGTACCCCGGCCGAGGCCGGTTTGGCTCAGTGGTAGAGTGTCGGTCTGCGGACTGAAAGGTCCCAGGTTCGATTCCGGTCAAGGGCATGTACATTGGTTGCGGGCACATCCCTGGTAGGGGGTGTGCAAGAGGCAGCTGGTCGATGGTTCTCTCTCATCAACGTTTCTAGCTCTATCTCTCTCCCTTCCTCCTCTCTGTAAAATATCAATAAAATATATTTTAAAAGAAAAGAAAAATGCACCCCGCTTTTTCTAGTCCCAAATGCTTCCTTTATTTAAGTGACGTGATGTAAACACATGCAGGCACCCTCCATCCGTCCGTTTTCCTCTGAAACCCGGTGCGGGCTGGGTAAACGCTGCCCCCTGCTGCAGCTGCCGGCTCCGAGGCTGTTCAGGTGCCTCCGGATCCCGCTGCAGCTAGAACCCTGAGCCACAGGCCACAGCGGGAGGGTGAGGCGGGCGGGGCGGTGCAGGCTGGTGCTGGGGGCAGCGGGGTAGCTCGCCTGCGCCCGCTGAGGCGGGCCGCCTGGAACAGCCAGCGCTCGGACTTTCCGGGCTCCGTTAACCTTTTCTGAACAAACAGATGCTGAAACACTAAGCATTCAAATGGCCTGAGAAGCTCCAGGAATTTTAAATGTTTCACCGTGTAGGTTTCGTAAATAGTTCATTTTAGCACTAAAATCTCACTTGATAGCTTACAGGTGTGAGTGCTAGAAGGCCACTTAATTAGCAGCTTGTTATTTTTCAGAATTAAGAGTAATTACGAGGAAAGATCAGCTTCTTAGACACTTTCTGCCTATGACAGTGGTCGGCAAACTCATTGGTCCACAGAGCCCAATATCAACAGCACAATCATTGACATTTCTTTGGAGAGCCACATTTTTTAAACTTTTAACGCCACTTCTTCAAAATAGACTTGCCCAGGCCGTGGTATTTTGTGGAAGAGCCACACTCAAGGGGCCAAAGAGCCACATGTGGCTCGCAAGCCGCAGTTTGCCAACCACAGGTCTGTGAGACTTGCCCGGTTAATACCTGTCTGCTGTCACCTCCATTTATTTATTTATTTTTAAATATATTTTATTGATTTTTTTACACAGAGAAAGGGAGAGAGATAGCTAGAATCGTCAATAAGAAAGACCAGCTGCCTCTTGCACACCCCCTACCGGGGATGTGCCCGCAACCAACGTACATGCCCTTGACCGGAATCGAACCTGGGACCTTTCAGTCCGCAGACCGACGCTCTACCACTGAGCCAAACCGGCTTCGGCTGTCACCTCCATTTAAAAGCTCCCTGTGCCAGGCATGAACCAGTGGTCTGCAGACGAGGCCCCCTTGTGGTAGTCACCCGTCACTCACTGAGGGTGGGCAGGACCTGTCAGAGAACAGGGCAGGCAGAGCAGGCCCCAGCCCCGGCGCTGCCCTCACAGCGGCGGGTTATGAGGCTGAAACGGCCTGGTCTGACATTCATCTTAAATGTTTTTTAATTTTTCATTTCAGAAAATGTGATGTTCTGAATCGTGGATTCTCAGGCTATAATACTAGATGGGCCAAAATTATCCTTCCGAGACTGATCAGGAAAGGGAATGCTTTGGACAGCCCCGTAGCGGTTACAATTTTCTTTGGCGCCAATGACAGTGCGTTAAAAGGTAAAGGCGTGTTTGTGTTTCCTGGTTCACTTTCACGTTACAGCAAACGTACACGTATGTTCTGGTTGCTTATCCCTGAGGGCAGTGAGTCTCTTCTGCCTTCAGTGCCCGTGCCGGTCACCGGCTGCTCCAGACGCTGCGCCCGGGGCCGGTTATTCCCTCCTGGTGGCCTCGCTGAGGGAGAGCAGCGCAGGCAGCACAGCCCGGGCGCGGCTGGAGCCTGAGTGCCGGCCGGTGAGAACCTGTGGCCTGCGGCGGATCCAGGCCGGGACTCGGGAAGCCGGGTGTCACCCAGAGGTTTTCCCCGCCCACTTCTCCCACAGCGTGGCCCGGCCTGCTGCCCACCGACACCCTACGGGGGCCCCGCCTCCGGTGAGCTGGGAGGAGAGTATATAAATCACAGGTGGCGGCTGAGACCGCAGGCTCCCCATTTGGGGAAGTGGAGTTCTGTCTTCACTTAACATCTATACCAGAAGGAAAACAAACTCCCAAGCCAGAGTTTTTAAAAAACGGTGAAGTTTACCAAATTCAGGATAGGAAAAAACATTAAGCATAAAAACAATGGAGGGAATTGCAAAGGAAGAAAATAAGTTTGTGAAATAAAATAGTTTATTAAAAAAGCACAGTAAGGAAAATATTTGCAAAACTAGGCAGACAAAAGTTAAAGTTTGGGGGCGCGCGCACCAACACTTCCCTGTCTGGAAGGGGCAAAGCCCAGGATGCCGAGCGGTGAGGGGCAGCATCAGGTGTGGATGCCCTGCAGCCCCGCCCCACGCTGCTGAGGGTTCGTCATGGACGGGGCGCTCCTGAGACCAGGCTCCCTGAAAAGAGGCCAAGTGGTCCCTTCGCTTTAATGTGCCACCTTTCCAAAAGGCACAGCCGCGTGGGAAAGCAGCACAGTAAGTGGCAGCTGAGGTTTCTAGGTGGCAGGGGGCCACTGAGTGGTTTTCTTCTGTAGTCAGTCACGTGAGGAGCTCTGTGATGCTCTTGCGTGAGCCCATCTGTGCGTGTACATGGAAGAGGCTAAGTGTCTGTCTGCCCGGCCAGTAGCTATGACGCACTGACCACCAGGGGACAGACGCCCAATGCAGGAGCTGCCGTGAGCGCACTGGCCATTTAAAAATAAAGGGCCCCTGGGAGCTGGCACCAACAGACCAGCGCTCAGCTTTCCCCAGCGGAACCCAGGCCCGCCACCACCAGAGCGACAGCCCACCAGATCAGCCAGCGCCGCCGAGACCCCGGGTGTGAAAAGCAGCCCGCAGCCCAGCCCGGAAATGGCGGCTGTGGGCGCCAGGTAAAGACGTCACGGAGCAGCGCCGGCCTCCTCTCCCCGGCGAGGAGCCTCCTTGTTTCTTCAGCCCAGAGACCCGACTTGCTTTACAGCAGGTGCAGACACTCCCACTGACCAGATGTCTGGGAAGCGTTTCCGTGCCTCCTCATTCGGTCCTGGAGTGGGCAGATAGGCTCGGTGGAATCCCATTGTCTTCTCATTAGCAAGATTCAAATAGCAACATTAAAATGTTTTCTAATTCATTCCCTTTCAATGCGCAGGAACCCGTGCCGGGCCACGGGCTAGAAAGAATCCTCTGCAGCTGCAGTAGATTGAGGGCTTCCTTCACCAGGTGCCTCGTGCTGTCCACCCCTGCGGTGTGAGTGTCACAGACGCCTGTGAGGTGGACCACTACCCTCTTCTCAGGGGAGCCGGTTCAGAAGGTGGTGCCAGGGCACTGCTGGCCCGCGACAAGGCCAGGCAGGGCGGGCAGTCACCCACACCGGCGCTTCCTCTCTCAGATTCAGCGCCTTAGGCTGCCCTGGAGGTGCTTGGGAAGAACTGTGTGCTCGAACCCCTCCCCCTCTGGCCTTGGTGCCCACGACTGCCCGTGATCTCCCGAGTGTGGGTGCGGGCGCTGGTGACCGGGCCCTAACCTGTCACTTCCCTCTGGTCCGCACAGAGGAGAACCCCAAGCAGCACATCCCCCTGGACGAGTACGTGGCGAACCTGAGGAGCATGGTGCAGTACCTGCGGTCCGTGGACGTCCCCGAGGGCCGGATCGTGCTCATCACGCCGCCCCCGCTCTGCGAGGCCGCCTGGGAGAGGGAGTGCCTGGCGCAAGGTAGGGCCTGGGCGGCCTGGGGTCCTGCAGGGGCGCTCCCACCGCGGGCTCCAGGCAGCACAGCCCGGGCCACACCGGGAACTTCCGCGTGGGAGTCGGAGCCGGCTTTGCCAAGTTGGGCCGCTGGCCTGGCCTTTGCTGCTTGTCAGTGCCCCCTCCCCAGACGCCCGCAGCCTGAGCTCTGTGCCGAGGGCTGGGCGGCGTCTCAGAACAGCTTGGGTCCTGCATGGCGAGGCCTGAGGCTGAGTCTGTGTGCCTTGGCCACGGGGCCACCTGCGGGTGTTTTCCTGACGCCCAGCACTGGGCGGTGCCTTGCCCATTGTTGTCTGTGGTCCTTGGTCCTCTGCCACCTGTGACACCTGCCTTCCCAACGTGGGACGTTTCCCCACAACAAAGGCTCCCTGCAGCCTCCTTGCCCAGGCTCCCTGCCCTGCTCACGTGCAAGGGCGCGTCCCTTCGCGTGGTCGGGCACCAGGCTTCTGCCCCACACGCTGTCCCTCCTTCCACCTGGGCCAGGACCCGGCCTGGTGCTCAGCAAGGCCAGAGCCCGGGCTAGAGCGTGAGGCTAGGCGATAGGTGTAGGAGGTGTGACTGCAGCCTGCTGACCGCGCTGAAGCAGCTGGGGCTGGAGGGAGCACTCACTCCCCGAAGGAGAGCACGGGGGAAGCTGGGGTGGAAGGTCTGGGCTCCTCACGTGGTGTCGCCGCCTCGGGGGCTGCTGGTCAGGAAGGAAGCCCTTCGCCAGGGAAAGGCTCTGCTGAGCGGAGGCCGGGGCCGGGTAGATCTGCCAGGGCCTCTGGAGGCGGGTCGCAGCCCCTCCTGCCCATGAGGCAGCTGCTGAGTTCCAGCAGACACCCTGAGGGAACAGGAGCCCTCAGCATCGAGCAGAGGGTGTTCTGAGGTCCGTTTCAGTTGTGTGCTGAGGCCTGGTGGTGACCCCGGAGGAGAAGCATCGGGCAGTCCTAGCCAGCAGGTCGGCACCCTGGGAACCTGGCCGCCCAGCCCCCTGCCGAGTCAGAGCTGGGGGAGGCGGGCATGCCAGGTGTGAGAGCCGCCACTGTAGTCTGGGCACACCGAGGCGCTGCTGGCAGACAGCCAGGCGCATGGTTGTCGTCTCTGTGGCTCCTTGGAGCGACAGGGCAGGCTGACTAGCTGCCGACAGGCCATCCTGCCCTTCGCAGAGCAAGTTCACTGGCCCCTGCATGAGCCTCAGTGACCTCTGGGGTCCCTCCCAATGCTCACCTTTCCGCTGGGTGATCTCCCCGATACTGCAGGAGCTTCTTGGTACGTGTACGAACTCGGGTCTCAGCACAGCATTCTCTCCAGCGTGCCCCCGACCAGCCTGCAGCCCACCCACCCTGGGCCTTCCCTGCCTCGGGGCCTCTGCTCCACATCAGGAGGCCCTGGGGGCCACAGGGTCCCCGTCCTCTGCTGGGGTAGCCTGCAAGGCCTGTGTTGTGTTGTTCTCGGCCCCCAGGCTGGTCCACGTCTGGTCCCTAAGTCTGTGCCTGTTCACTGACCCGAGAAATCATCCCGGTGAGAACCTGCCCAGGGCCAGTGCTGGAGGTGAGCAGCCGTCTGTCACCTTCTCTTCTCCACAGGTTGCAAGTTGAATCGCCTCAACGTGGTGGTGGGTGAATACGCCAGCGCCTGCTTACAGGTGGCCCTAGACTGTGGGACGGACGTGCTCGACCTGTGGGCCCTGATGCAGAAGGACGGTCAGGTATGGTGGCTTGCTCTGTCTTTGGGCGAGTAAGGTCACAGGCGTGACTCAGCTGTGAGTGGCTCTGAGTAGTGTCTGATGCAGCCAGAGCCCAGCCAAAGCTCTGAGCGGCTCTGAGTCCTTGTTCTTCTAAACTCTTCCCGATGATGCCAGAGTAGGTTCCTTCTCGAACCCTGCTCGCTACACTCACTGTGGGTCCGAGCCCCTCTGCCTGGGGCTGGACCTCTTAGACGGAGAAGCAGAGTTGAGAACATGTAAGAATGAGTCTTTACTGCAGAAGCCAGTGGCCATGCCCATTAGACCGAACAGCTCTTCCCAGCCCAGTGCAGAGGCAGCCGGAGCCCGGCCGGTAAACACATCCTTCCCACGTAGCAGCAGTCATCTGTGTACCCACAGCTGTTGTCTGAGCGGCCGCACGCAGCCCAGACGGACAGCTTTACATGGCAACCGCGTCTGAGCTCTCCTTAGCGACAGCCTCAGCCCGCCTGTCCCCCTGCCCAGCAGCTGGCTGGACTTTGGCCTCACAGAATGGCCCAGCCTCTCAGCTCCCTGCAGCAGCCTCACCTCGTCTCGCCAGCACGCTCCTGGTCAGTAACTCATGTTGCCCTTCCCAGACCAAGAAGGCCTCGTGCCAGCACTAACCGTTTCAGCCACAGAAGGCTCAGTGCACCGTGTGTCCTGGCACCGCTCAGGGCGGCCTTGGCTGTTCCGGCGTACTAACAAGGCCATCCACACTGAGCGGCCTTGGCCATCTGGTGACTGGTACGGTGGCCACAGTAGGTGAGACAGTTGAGGCTCTGGGACAGCATGTAGGCCCAGCACTGCCCGGCTCCTCAGCTGCAGCAGGAGCCCGGTGACGGGCAGGGTTAGCACAGAGTGAACCAACGAGCAGTCAGCGGCTCACATGTGAGAACAGCCAGGCCACGTCCTTTTCTGACAAGGCACGGGGGAAGCTGGAAGCTGTTACCAGGCAAACAATGTATTTAAGTAGAATGTGCTGCCAGCTAGAATTTATGTTGGAGAGATGTAGTGCTAACTGTTCTGAGTCCAGAAAGCCCATTTATCCATGTGAAAGTAACAGTCTGGTCCCTGCAGAACGGGACGGCCCCTGGGAGGAGCTTCCGCACAGTGAGGCGGGCCCTCCCCGTGTTCACGGCGCACACCTGTGCTCCCGGAGCCGCCCCAGCAGCAGCCAGGGCCCGGCTGGGAGGCAGCACTGCGGGGCAGGCGCTCTCCCAGGCCCTCGGTGAAATGCTGAGGCCTAGAGCCGAGGCCGCCCGACCCGGACAGCAGAGAGAACTCGGAGGCTCCAGCAGGCCCAGCCCAGCCCAGGAAACGGCCCCAGTGGCCAGTGCTGCCGGGACCGGGCGTGGGACTGGCCCTGCTCTCCCAGCATCACCGGGCTCGCTCTTTCCTCCGGTGACTCCTGTCAGCGTGACACGAAGAGGCGGGAACGCCCTGCCTTCTCACCTGCTCGTTCTGTCGGCCACACGGACGCACCAGCGCCCGTGGTCAGCTTCTGAGCCGATGGCCGAGGCGGCCCCGTCCACACGCGGCCTGGGAAGCTCCATCTGGAACTGCCTGGCGGCTCTTGCCAAGGGCGGGGGTCCCTGAGGAGCCGGGCACGGAGCCTGGGTGCACTGCGGCCCCAGGAGGACCTGGCGCGCCTGTGACCGCCCCTCTCCCCTCCCAGGACTTCGCTCCCTACCTGTCGGACGGCCTGCACCTGTCCCCCCGGGGAAACGAGTTCCTCTTCTCCCACCTGTGGCCTCTGCTGGAGAAGAAGGTGTCCTCCCTGCCGCTGCTGCTCCCTTACTGGCGCGACGTGGCCGAAGCCAGACCGGAGCTCAGTCTCCTCGGAGACGGGGACCACTAGCCCGGAGCACGAGGCTGCCGGGACCGGCCGCCGCAGTGCACCCGCCCCCTGGGCAGCGGTCTGCTCGAGCTCAGCCTTTGCCCGTGACCCTGGGCCAAGAGACTTTGTACCAGGATGAATAAAGCATTGTACCTCCCCAGGGATGCCTGGCACCAAGTATGTTTTGCTATTTACTATCTAGACGCAGGTGCCGCCCACGCCACCGCTACAGCACACACCCTGCGCAGCTGGGGAGGCTATAAGTGGGGGAAAAGGTAAAAGATAGTTTTATTTTTTAAAAGTCGATTTTATTAAAAAAATGGTTTTGTTACATTCAGCTGGGAACTGCTTCACTCACACATACACCCATTCACCTTCCATCAGACTCCAAAAGTGTAACTAAAATATAAGGATATGGTGACTAGTTAAAAGCCAGCAAAACCACAGGCACAAGTTCAAGTATTAGAGTAACAGCCATCTGTGTAACAAACCTCCGTAGGAGAGGACACCACTTGTCACAGGTTTGGTTATAAGTTCCTCATTAAACATGTTGGCTGATGAGCACGTGTCAGGGGAGAAGCTTTTCACTAGAATTTTAAGGAAGTCAGAATTCCCGATGACTTCTCCTTCACACAGGAGTGCGCTCCGTCCCGAGTCCGGAAGCCACGTGCAGTCAGCACCACGCGTCTGAGCGACACTCACCGGGCTGTCACCCGAGGCCACGCCCACGCGGGTGGAGGGTTCCTCAAGCTGAGGGCAGCCGGCCCCAGCCGGCCCAGAGTGAGTGCCCGGGACACCTGCCTGGTCAGCCGGGACCACAGGAGTAAGGCGATGAGCCTGTCGGGCCTGAACAACTCAGCGGACGGCCTGGACAGCAGTGCCTGACCCCCCCAGTGTGACATGGCAGAGCCACCCAGCCTCCAAGGCCCCAAAATACAGCTCTGCAGAGTGGACAGGGCAGCGGGCCACCCCCAAAAGGCACTGCCACCCAGGAAGACAGTTCCCTGATGTCAGCGGTGCCAAGAGCCTGGCCCGGCTTACCAGTTCCAGGCTGGGCTCGGGGGACGGCGCAGCTCCAGGCCGGGGATTGGGGGGGGACGGCGCAGCAGCGCCCTCACAGCAGGCCCGGGCACCCAAGGGTGCCGACAGCTCAAGCTAGGAGGCATCTGAGAGGAGCCTCCCAGACTGCACCTCCCAGACTGCACTCCACCAGCATCAACACTGGCCTCAGCAGGCCCCCAAGCGCCCCCAGATCAAACACAGCCTCTCCTATGGAGGCAACAGTGACCCTTCCCTGGAGGCACAGCCACTCCCCACACCGGGCCCTGGCCCGGCCTCCTCAGCCAGGGGGCTCCCCCGGAGGGCTGTGCTGCCGATGGACACGGGACCAGAGGGGCTGAGGGAGCCCGAGAAGGCAGTGCTGTGGGCCACCGGCGGACAGCGTGAGGCCCGGGGACACGGGAAACGCGCTGCCCAGCACGGCGGCCTCACACAGGCAGGACTCTGTAAGGCCGCCAGCTGCTCCTTGTAACTCCCTGTAAACGACACTGCTAACCCGAGACTGCTGAACCGGAGGAAGCACGGACCTTAGAATTCTGAAGAAACCAACCCAATCACTCCCGATTGGGATGGGTCTTCTCCCTGCGGTAAGCCTGGGCGGACCGAGAGCCAGAACCCACGCTGTGGAGATGACACACAGCTCAGCTTTGTCTTCCGTATCTTTACTGAGGGCAGGAGGAGAAATTACTCTGTTCCAGTTATTCTTGCGCGTTACCGCTGAACGCCTCGCCCTCATTACACTGAAAAAGACCGCTCTCGCCCGGATCAGTGCCGTCACGGACGTGAGAGGCTACTTTACCAAAACGTAAATACTTCTGGCCTCACCCAGCTGTATTTTCTGCTTCTGCACCACAGGCTGAAGGACATAAACATAAACAGTACAATCTGAAAGCCTCAAATAAGCTAGATTCACCTGTTCACACGGAATAGGCCCAACCACACAAGATGTAGGCCAAGAGTCCAGCGCGTGACCAGCACCTGCTCCCGTCACTGCCCTGGGAGCGGCTGAGGTCGGAGCGGTAGGAACACTGCGCACACGGGCAGAGCCGGGGCACCCCCCTGAGCTAGCACTCGGTCTCTTTGCTGTCGACACGGCTCTGCCGCTGCAGCTTGAAGGACGAGGCCTTCTCGCTCCTCGTGACCGGGTGGCCGGTGAGGTCCTCGAACGACTTGGCGGCCGTGCTGCCGCTGGGGAAGGGGTCCTTCTCAGAGCCGTCCTCGTCCACGTGCGAGTCCGTGCTGGGGTCCTCCTGGATGGTGTCCATCCGCTGGTGGTCCAGCTTCGGGGCCGCCGGCACCAGCGGCATCACGGGGGCGGGCTGCAGGGGCTGCAGGCGGCCGGGGGTCTGCGGCCCCGGGAAGGGCTTGATGATGCGGACCGAGGCCGAGTCCATGCTGCTGAGCATCTCAACATTCTGGAAAGACGGGGAGGGAAAGGTGAGGGCACGTCCTCCAGCTCCAGCCCCCACCCAGCCTCACACGGCAGGTGCCACGACCCCGCACGCTCAGGAAAAGGCCAGGCGAGGTGCGCTCAGCTCAGAAATGACTCGGACAGGTAGCTACAAATGGCCAGCCCACCGACCATGTAAGCACCCGGAGGGAAGCTTACAACAGTCTCAAGTTCAGGCCTCAAGACAAAGCCATCTCCAAACAGTAACCGAGTCGGTCTGAGCAGCTGGGGCACTCGGGGGGGCGGGGAGGGGCGGGCCGAGCAGCACCGCCCCCTTTTCATGTCCGTCCATCGCCCTAGCTGAGGGCCCAGGCCTCACGGACCCCTCGGACTTTCCTGCGGCAGCAGGACCCCCGGCAGCCACAGGGGCACGGTCTCCCTGGCCACCGAGAGCCTCCTCCCGTGCGGCAGGCATACTTACACTGGGGTGGAACAGGGACAGAGACTCGTACTGCTTGTCCAGCTTCTTGTCCTGGAAAGGAGGCAGGGAAAGATCATTCTCACAGCAGAACCCACTCCCACATTCCTCAGCGGCCCTCCGAACGCCGAGGGGAGAACTCAGCACTGAGCTGCATTTCGGTCAAAGGCACGTAGCTGGGTTGCAGGTTCGACCCCCGGCCCTGGACAGGGCCCATGCGAGAGGCAACCAATCGATATGTGTTTCTCTCAGATCAATGTTTCTCTCTGTCTCTCCTCCTCCCTTTCATTCTCTCTTTAAAAAAAAAAAAGAAAAATCAATGGAAAAATATCCTCTGGTGAGGATAACAAAAATAAACAGTCTCCTGTGCTCAGAAATATAAAATTCCTCAGACACTCTACACCGGAATGACACGTCCACACACAGAAAGTGAGGTTCCTGTGAGGGCCTGTTAGCTAAGCTCTTCACAGGTATGCTTTGCTCGGGCTGACACCAATGTGTTATCGGAAACATTGGTCAGACTTTGTTAAGGACAGATTTTATCTTTTCCAAAAACCATACAGCTGTTCAAACGTTAAGGCAATATTTCATTACTTATGAATGGTGACTTACCACACAATGGACAAGGATGCTGAGAGGAATCCAGACGAGCAGGGAGAAGACCAGGACGGAGCCCACGATGTTGTCTGCGAGGAACTTCCCTGTGAACAGTGCAGGGAGGGCTGTCTGATCCAGCCGCCCAGGAAACGCTCCGAGAGCATCATCGCCAGGATGAGTGCCACGGGCTGCCGCCACACGCTCCTGGCTCTGCAGAGCAGCGAGTGTCTGTGCACCTGAGAGACCCCCACCCCAAACACAGGTCCCTTCCAGCAACACGCAGGCCAGAGCCATGGGAACGGAGCCGCTGTGCAGAGTTGAAGACAGTGTTGTTGCTCTCTGGGTATTTTTGTGACTAAACTCTAATTATAGGCCCCAGAGGACATAATACATTCCCTGCTTCTGCAAAATCAGGCCCATTTTTTAAATAAATCCTTCATCAGATAATTTCAGATTTACAGTCTGAAGGACTGACGGTGCTTGTGCATTGATTGTATTTAGCAGAGAAGGAAGCCAGTGCTTTGACTGAGTGCTGAGTCCCGCACTGAAATCCGTGCAGCCATCTGCACAGGCAGACTGAGTCCACCTGAGGTCCCAGACAGAGCTAACGGTGACCACTGCACCTGCTGCTGCAGGATCGGGTCTACACTTTCCAAACGACTGCAGACATCAGCTCGGTTCCAAGCAGACAAGCCCCGGGGGATCGCCTACCGAACGTATTGATGCTCAGCTGGTCGATGAAGTCCCAAAACCGCTCAATGACATCCTGTACTCGCTTCTCACATTTGCCCTACGAACAGGAAACAGCATTTTTCCTAAAGAAATGCACTGAGAAGCACTGTGGCTTCTACACGCAGCTAACCATGAAGGGCTGCATTAAGTCAAACGCCACGGGCAACAATCTAAGCGTAGCGAGCTCTAAGAAAGCAAGGTGCTGTCCCCGAGGCCGCACCACCAGGCCGCTTCTGTAAGGGAGCTTAGGGCTCCCAGGAGACGGACCCAGAAACCAGGGTGTAAAAGACGACCATTTCAGGAAGGGTGACCCCGAGCACCCAGGGAATGGGAACACTAACCCTCCACCATGTTTCTATAGCGACCGAACGGTCTGACTTGGGTGGATCAAGCTGCTTCTAGATCTTTCCTATAATACTTACAAATGGCGACTTACTTGTATTTTTGCAATCTCAGTTTTATAATTAATAGAAAACCAAATAATCAGGACCCGCTGCCCCACAACCACCCACTGTCCCGGTCCTGGCCAGTCTCTGGTCTCGGAGCCCCTGCTCAGAGCGCTCACGTCTGAGCTCTGCCCACAGGCTGCGCCCACACCGACCTCCCGGACAGATCACACAAGAATGAGCACTGGGAGGGAGAGGGCAGCCCTGGTTTGGTTTCCTTCCATTTGCAAACCGAGTACACCGTGAACGCACTCCCACTGGCTGAACGCACTCACGTTCATGTCACAGAAGCCCACGGTGCAGGGCTTCCCCTTCCGCAGGAACAGGTGGTTGCCCTCGGCGTCGACGTGGGGCGCGCACCGGCCCTCGCGGTCCCGGCAGCACACCTTGCACGAGTTGTCCGTCTCTGAAACCACGGGCAGAGCGAGTGAGCTCGCCGCACGCGCCTCTCCTCCCCACTGGTTTTTATTCAAAGCCTCTTCTCCAGCTCCACCCTCAAGGAGGAACTTCTGAGTTCACGCCTCTGCCCCTCCGCTGGAGTAGAGGCCACAAGGTAAATATTTACACAGAAGTTTCTTTTTTTTTTAAGAGTAAAAACCAAATTATTCCTTGTACTTCGTAATGCAAAATGTTTCCCTTCATCCCAGTGTTATTATACTGCTGCTTCCAGCCCTTCTCTCACGGCAAGGACACCGGAGGGCCAGGCCTCCAGCTGACAGGAGGGGACAGAACTGCCACCTGTGGGTGTGGCCGAGCGACCTGTGACGGGCACGGCCGTCTGCGCACAGCCACCCTCCCCGAGGCCAGCCTCTGCGTCGTGAGGGGCCTGTGGTGATGGGCCTCAGGTAAGCCACTGGCACCCTCTCAACAGCGGAAACGCCCAGCAAGCCACCTGGCAGTGAGCCGGGACAGACATCAGCGGGTGGGTCAGCACTGACAGTCACCGGGATCAGCTAGGACACCGGAGCCAGAAAAACCACCTCCAGGGAGGGCGGCCTTGTCATCGCTCATTCACCACCGTTTCCGGGGCCTTGACCGTGTGGCCTTGGGGGCAGCCTAAGCCTCCTGCCACGCCCTCAACAGAGCGCGGCACCTGCGTATTACCGCCTTATTTACCCGCTCCTTCGCCCAGAGACCACTGATCCGCTTTGGGGCTGCTGAGGCCCCAACTCAGGGGTGTGGTTTCTGGGCTCTCGGCTTTGAAATCAACAGAACTGTCTGGGTGGGCAGGAAGCTCAGAGCCTCCATCTGAGGTGCCCCCCAGACCCAGGGCTCCAAAGCTGACGCGAAGCCTGAGGACACGTGTCTGAGAGGCCAGCGCCACTGCCAACCAGCCTGAGAGGCCCCTGGCCTGGCCGATGGCCGGTGGTGAGCATCTCCCTCAGCGGGCCAGGCCTGGAACCGGCTCTCCGTGAAGTGCTGAAGGGGCACCAGCTCAACGCCAACGGGACAGGTCCTGCTGCCTTCCTGTGTCTGACACGGGAAGGAGCAGTGCCCACAGACACCCCCCTACTCGCCCACACTGGCCACATGGTCTGAAACCGTGGCAAGAAGAGAGCCTGATGGGCTGGTTTTTACAGATAAGATGGTGGAGCCAGGATCTGAACCCAGACATCTGTCTCCCCACACACCTGCACTCCCCTTGTTGGCGCTGGGCTGGCCCATCCTCACAGCAGTGAGGGCAGACAGTCAGGGCCCCCGGTGGAGGGGCTGGGCCGGGCAGACAAGGTCATGGGGGACACGTGCTCACCGTTACACGCGCAGGACTCCAGCTGCTGCTCCCTCTCGCAGAAGGGCACGCACTTGCCGTCCTTGCACTTGCCCAGGTCCAAGCACACAGTGTCGTCCTCGGCGTCCCCAGGAGGCGGGCACTCGCTGCTGTTGCCTAGAGCACCGCCGGCAGAAGCCCCGTGAGTCCCACCTCCAGCTCCACGGCCACGCTGCACGCGTGGCCCGACCTGGCCCGGGCTGGCGGGGGGAAAGGTGACCCGGGCAAGGACAACACGCGGGGCCCAATCACAGCTGAGATCTGGGAGGGGGCCAGGCCCAAAGGCCCAATCGCCCACTGCCTCCCGGCCTCACCTCAGCCATGAGCAGCTGCCGAGCACTGGCTTTTATCGCTTTACTGGGAAACCTCACTGAAAAGTAACACATGCGTGCGGACCATCCCCACTCACAACACCTACAGCAGTGCCGTCAGGTGGACTAAAAGCGCACTCCCCGGGACAGATGTTCCAGAAATTGTACATAAAGATGAGAAATCACTTTGCAAGCATCAAACTGGCAAAAAATGAGAGTTTTGGCAAGGATGTGGGGACAGAGCGCCCACAGGCACTCGGCACTGACACGCTGTGCCCCAGCCAAGGAAGGATGTCCGCACAGCCCCGCCGAGATGCCGGCTCTCCCAGGGCTACCACCGTGAGTGAGATCATCGCATGGCGAGCACTCGGCAGGTGCCCAACATGAACTCAGTACAGACATGGATAGCAGGCAGGGCAACAGGATGACTTGTAAGCGTGGTAGTGAGTTGGAAAGATCTAAGGCAGGGTACCATTTGGCATGTTAAACACACAGACACAGAAGAGCACACTGTGTTTCAAGAGACACACACATGCAGATACACGTTAACCGCAGCAGAAGGGATGCCTACAGAGGATAGAGGATGGAGGGCGGGAGAGGAAGGGGCGGGAGGAAAACCGGGATGAGCAAACAGGTCTGCAGGACCCTGACTGTGTGCCACAAACTAAGGCGCACACTCTACTCCGCACAGAGGGGAAAGAGCCCGGTTCCCAGACACACATCTCCCCACACGAGCACTCCAGCAGCAGCAGAGCCGTACCTGTGCAGTAAGACTCGCCTTTGCACGTGGCATTAATAGCCTCCTGGCACTTCTTCTGGGCAGTCTCAAACTGGCAGTTTTTACAGCAAGGGCTGTTCCGGTCACTGCGGAGGAGCAGACGGGACCGTTCAGGTCAGAGGACAGCGCAGAGCCAGCACCGCAGTCCTGTTCCAGCGCCTGAGGCAAGGTCCCCGCTGGGTCACCCACTCCTGCAAACCCGGCTTCCAGGTGCTGGCGACACCTGCATGCAGCCTGCCTGCCCGTCCTAATGTGGAATCACGCAGGCCACCAGCCAACAGGACAGCCTGGCCCGAGTGACTCGTCTTTGAACATCTCAGTGTTAAAACACCTTTGCATTAGCTTAACATACATGATACAGTAATTTGAGAGCTTGTGTGGAGGTTCTCGCAGGGGAGCGCAGCTACTCGGATACCCTTGACCGAAGCCCGGTCCTCTCCTCTGGGGGAAAGTCGTCCTCTTCGACCGAACTCGCAGCTTCGGGAGGGACGCACATGGATCGGTGAGGGAGGAGGGGAACACCCGCCTAGCCAGCCAGATCAGCCCAATCAACCCTGACGGTCAATGGGGTGACAGATGTCGCAGCCAGATCGCCCTAACATCCATGACACAGTGATTTAAAAGAACACTGGCCTGCAAGGCAATCAATGTCAAGAAACTAAGCAGCCCAGCCTCCTCCCAGAATATTACACACTGACATGCATGTAGGCAGCAAGTCTGTGTTCCCCATACACAAGCTTTCCCCGCTGCTCCACGCAGGCCTGGCTCGCAGGGGACATAACAGCGGCAGCAGAGGCGCCTTCTAGCTTGTAACTTGCTTCCTCCGCATGAGTTTGCCATTAACGGGGCAACACACAGCTCATCATGCCCAGGACTGCCAGGTGGGATGGCGCCCACGACTGGCTATTACAGGGAATGCAGCCCTAAGAATCATCCACATCCCCACGCCCCCACGTTTCCTCAGGAACGATTCCTGCTCTGGGGAGTCTCCACTCGACAGCAGATGGTCAGACTGCTTGGAGGAAGCATTTTACTTGTGTCAAGGGCACAGGGTCAACACCTGTGCGTGCGCACAAACACACATACACATACATGCAACCGGCACACACGTCCTCACACCAATTCCAAAGGCCCTGTGTCCTCAACCTGCCGGGACCTGGATACCCGCCCCCGGCCCCGGCCCCCGGCCCAGCCCACCTGCACTGCACGCCCGCCTTCAGCGTGCAGTTGCTGTGGCAGCAGGTGTCGCTGTTCAGGTACATGATGCCTGGGTCACACTCCTCGCCCTCGTCCACGCGGGAGTTGCCACACACCTTGTTGCTGCGCTCCTGGAAGCACTCCAGGGCCTTGACCTCGATGGTCTTGTAGACGGACTTCTTGCTGCAGTTGGAGAACATCTGAGGGAGAGAAGGACCCAAAGCAGCGTGAAAACCACTCCTGTGTCTGCACGCCTCTCTGAGCTGAATGCACAGTCCTCGGAGCCTCTTGGAGACGTGTCCAGTTCATGGCTGTCCCTCTAAGTGCCTCCGCCTGGGACCGAGTCCTCCCCTCCGTGGAACGCTGAGAAGCGGATGCGGATTTGGGAAAGAACCTAAAATTCTTCCCAGGAAGGCAAGCCGCACGCAAGCCAAGCCCAAACCTCCCAGCCAGTCCGAGAGGACAAGCAGGCCCGAGTGGAGGATGTAAGCTCCATCACACCACGAGCTGGGCCTCCTCGGTCTAGCACCGCCGGAGACCGTACAAACTATCCCACGTGCAGGCACAACAATGGGCTGACCCGGCTCCCCCCGCTTCCCTGGCTATTTGTATGAATCATCCATGTTTAAAGACTTTAAACAGGTGAGCTTACGGAGAAGCAGTCTTACGTCTGGAAAGGTTAATTCTAAACTGACAGCTAAACCAGCTTTCGGACCTCACGGACCACCAGCCGGCGACGGCTGCTCTAAACATTCCCGTGGGTCCCCACGAGTCTCAAAGGCTCCTCCGCCCTCGCTCCCAGAGCCAAGACGTGGCTCCTCCTGCACGGGGCGGGTCACTAGCCAGGCGCTCTGAGAGTCCGGTTGCCGAGCCCTCTGGCATGGTGAAGCAGCCTGAGGCACAGGGAAACTCAGTGTCGTTACTTGGGGCGGGGTCTCCAGTTCTCGGCAGATCGCTAACGTGGCTTCTTTCAGCCCAGCCAGAGCCACAAGCCCGAGGAGCGGAGCACAGGACTCTGGAAGCCACAAAGGGGACGGCAGAACGCTCTCCGAGGGCTCCGCCTGCAGACGCTCCCTGGACTTCCACGGAGGCCCTTCCGGCGTCACAGAAGGACACCGCAGGCCTCGCTCCGACAGGCATCTCTCCCCACTAGAGACGGCCTCCCGGCTGCTCCTGCCCTCGCTCCTGCTGCTGGTCACCGTTGGGGACGCTCTCTGCTAACGTCTGCTGTTGTTCACAACGTCCCAGGCCACCAGCATCGACCAGAAGCCCTCCCTGGTGACCTGGAGACAGAGCTGCGAACAGAGACAGCCCTCCCACAGGGGCTTCGAGCTGACCAAGTCTGTCCTGTGGCAACAGCTTATGAGAACACGCGAGAGGTGAGGTACTGCAGTTAGATGAATGACAACTTGTGAGTGAAAAGACAGAGGTGTTCACTCACACTGAGCCCACCAGAGCCTGCGATCTAGAACTGCGACCCAAACCTAAACTACTGCGAGTTCCCAAGTGGCTCAGACACACACGCTCCATCTCGATAGCAAACAGCCCGCCAACAGCTGTAACCGATGCGACGGCCGCATTCCCTCCCCGCACACGAGTTTCCAGGAACTGGGAACTGGCAGTCCATCCCTGAACGGACCCGTTGTGCGCTCTGGTTATAATTAAGCAGCCACTTTCTGTCCTAACCACGTCAAGACGCTCCAAGACACATACCTTATTGTTCTCGTAATCCCCGCTCACAGCAATGGGATACATCACGAATTTTCCTCCCTGGTCCTCACTTGGGGCACATTCCGCGATGCCGTCCGGGTCATGTTCCGCTCCAAAATTGTGGCCCAGCTCATGAGTCGTGACCAGGTCAGCTTCCTTAAAGATCGCGCAGCGGAACATTACTTGCCAATACCCAGCCACACTGCTGTCTTAAAGGGGGCCCGGGCGGAACCCTAGCTCTGCCCAGAGGACCACGTGCCCAGCTACAACAGCCCCTCCCACGTCCCTGGAGCATCTGGGCAGCCAGGGCCGGCTCTGGCGCTGAGCTATAAACACCTGTGGGTGGGACCGCCAGACCAGCTTTAAAAAGGGGCAGACTCTGCTCTCTTCGTCCTCCTCTCCACAGCACAGAAGGGAGCCATCCTGTGACCATGAGGACACAGGCTCGAGGTCAGAGGGGAAGAGCTGCTCGCCTGAGCCACACCTTCTCTAAGTCACTGCTCACTGAGTTTCTGTTCTGTGGACGTTCTGGACTTTGCCTAAACATTCCCACTGGGTATGTCTGGGCAAAAACAAGACCCTAAAATACTCTACACGGGGAAAACAGGTCACATAAAAAGCATAAGAAGTTGGAGTGACTTCACACTCTTTACTAGTAACACAAAACACTCAAGGACAATGGAGCAATGCCTTCAAATTCGGAGGGAATTGGGAATATACCAGCTAAATCACAGGCTGAAGGGCAGGTGAAGACATGCACAATCTCAGGAGTCTCCCTCCAGGCCCCCTCTCAGGAAGCTCCTGAGGATTTTTACGGAAATGCTGCTATTGATCAAGAGGAAGAGCAGGCCCAGGAAAGGAGAGTCCGGTGGCATCAGACCACAGCCACACGAGCGCCAGCACACCACCCCGAGCGGGCAGCGGCGGCCTGGGGCACAGCGTCCGGAAAACAACGGCCCCATGGGGCTTGGAAGAAGTCTGACCAGTAACTTTTATTTTCTTCTTTATACCTTTTATTTTCAGATTTCTCACCAAAGAACATGTGTTTAGGCATAAAAAAACAATAACAACCTAGTATGTATTGCTCTTTTAGAAGACATCTACATAAATATATAACTACAACAAACTAAACATCGATCCTTTTAAAAAATAAAAGAACATACCTTTGTAAGAATGGTTTTACCATAATTTTTTGTGCTGGTCAGACCACTATTCAAATAGATATTTTTCTTTCCAATCGGATTATAATAAGCTGAAGGAGAGAAAACAAGCTGCTGTTCAGCACAGAACTTCCATAGAAGCCAACCAGCCTGTGTTCCCACAGTCACTCGGCAGACGGGAAACTCACCCTTGGGACAGACGCCGCCGTGAGTGTTCGGTCGGGAAGAACCAACATAAGCCAATCCAAGAGTTCCCATGTCAAAGTCCTGGTACGTGAAAAGGTGTGCTAGGCAGACTTTAGATGCTTCTTCAGCTATATCAGAGCTAAATTGCTTAAAAAAGGAAAGTGTTCTTAATTAGGTAAACAATGACATGGCATCAGAAGCCGTTTCAACCACGTGTTCCTGATCAGCTAGCTCCATGTGACGGCCGGTCTGCGCCCAGAGTGCGGGCAGGGTGGGCAATGCTCCTGCCACAGCTCACGCCCACCACTTGCACAGGTGAGAGCAGCCGCCATTTGTGGGGGTGGGGACACAAAGGGAGGGCTGGGAGCGGTTCCCACAGCTCTGAGGAACGACGAGGGTTGGGGTGAGAGCACAGCCCAGCAGGGGACATCCACATCTGTCAGCCCAGTCCTGGACACCTGGCTCTCAGGGCCTCAGAACTTCACACCAGGACAAGGGCTTTTCAAGTATTTCAAGAATGCTAATGGTTTTAGTAGAAACCTCTCCTACAACAACCCACAGTTTCCAATTAAAAATACCTTGATTTTTGCTGAAACCGGTTTGGTTCAGTGGATAGTGTGTCAGCCTGTGAACTGAAAGGTCCCGGGTTCGATTCCGGTCAAGGGCATGTAACTTAGTTGTGGGCACATCCCCAGTAGGGGTGTGCAACAGGCAGCTTATCGATGATTCTCTCTCATCGATGTTTCTCTCTCTTTTTTTTTTTTTTAAAGTCTTTTTTTTTTTTTTTTTTTAATATATTTTATTGATTTTTCACAGAGAGGAAGAGAGAGGGTTAGAGAGTTAGAAACATCGATGAGAGAGAGTCATCGACCAGCTGCCTCTTGCACACCCCATACTGGAGATGTGTCCGCAACCAAGGTACATGCCCTTGACCGGAATCGAACCCGGGACCTTTCAGTCCGCAGGCCGACGCTCTATCCACTGAGCCAAACCGGTGCCGGCCGATGTTTCTAATTCTCTATCCCTCTCTCTTCCTCTCTGAAATCAATAAAGAATAAAAGTAAAAATAATCGTATTATTAAAAAAAAAAAAAAAAAAAAGGTAGTGTCTACCATTAAAAAAAAAAAACCTTGATTTTTATTTATTTTATTTATTTTTTTAATATATTTTATTGATTTTCTTACAGAGAGGAAGGGAGAGAGATAGAGAGCTAGAAACATCGATGTTTCGACCAGCTGCCTCTTGCACACCCCCTATCGGGGATGTGCCCGTAACCAATGTACATGCCCCTGGCTGGAATCGAACCTGGGACCTTTCAGTCCGCAGACCGACGCTCTACCAACTGATCCAAATTGGTTTCGGCAATTTTTAAAATGCTTAAACTGAACAGCAGGGTCCTGGCCAGGTAGCTCAGTTGGTTAGAGCGTCATCCCAATGCACTAAGGTTGGGGTGTGATCCCGGGCCGGGGCACATTCAACCTGGCTGAAGAGCTGATAACATTCTGAAATTCCATTCAAGCTTTGAAAACTGGGTTGGGGCCTGTGAGACTCCCCGGAGAATATGGATGAACCACACACTGTACCTGGACTGACCCAGGGAAACTATTAAATAAGTACAGTGTTGCTTTAAGCTCTAATCTGTGGTAATTTGTTAGAGCACGAAGAGGCAGCTAACACATTACCCACCTACGGAGAGAGAAGCACTATCATTTGCTCGGTCATTCTGCAGAGCAATGTAATCACAAACTCAGACCCTGACTCGTGTGCAGACAGGACACTCACACCTGCTGAGGGAGCTAGGTTCACTACCTCTAGCTCACCACCAGAATAAAAACACGAAGACGTAGAATTCTTGAACAGAACTTCTAGATCTCGAAGTTATAAATCTGCCACCTGATTTCCTTCCCATACACTGATCACTGACCAGAGACGCACTAACAGTTCCCAAGAGGCTTGAACAAACAAAATGATACAAAACTGTGTGTCCTGGGCATCCCCCCAGTTTCTGCCCACGGCTTCACTAGACCTCACACACGTCAGGTCAGCACCCTGCTCTGAGCTCTCGTGGGCACCGCCTTTTGCCCCTCTGGCTGCTGGCCCTGCTGCAGCGGACAGGTGACTGCTGACCCTTTTCTAACATGCCCCTTTGTCAGAAGACATGGCCCCCTCCCCTCCCCCACCCCCAGGAAATCGCAAGTGGTCGCAACAGCGTCACGCCCAGGGCCCCCCCCCTACCTCCAGCAGCATCTTCACGTCCCAGGCATCCTTCTCCTCATTTGGGTAGCTCTTGGCCATGTTATAGTGTCTCTCACCAGGTTTTACAGCATGTGGAGACTTGAAAATGAGAATCTATACTTGAAGAGATAATACACTTAGAACGCTTCAGAAAAAGTCACAAACCGAATACTGCAGTTTTCAGATATTCAATAAAGGCCGATTCTAGAAAAAGTTATGGAATCAGAATTTCATAAAATTCTTCAGCCCTAAATAATTAATGTTTAAAAACAAAGTGAGAAGCAGATGATAATGGAAAACTTATCAATGAATGATTTATGAATTTATAAATGTGCTCCCAAATTTTCATTTTCTCTCTATTTAGCTGAAACGAGAACTTCAGTTCCATTAGCCTAAAACACCTCGTTCAACTCTGGTGGACGATGCAGAGATGCCGCCAGCACGTGCGTCACTCTGCGCCCCGGGAGCGGAGGGTGTGGAGAACAGGCCGCTCCTTGTTCGTGCGGTACAAACGCTCCTGGTCCGCTCGCTCCGGGCTCTCTGGCCCTGCCTGCCTGCAGAGGGCACACTCCGCTCCGCTCCGCTCCGCTCTGCTCGCTGGGTGAGCTTTGCGGCTGTGGTGGTGGGTGGTCAAGACGCATTCTGGGGCGAAGCAGGAACCCTACTGTGACTGCCTCTAACCCACATCTTCCTGCCCATCAGCTGCCAGGAAAGAAGCTGATGTTTTATCTCCTATGTCACACCCTTCTTTTCAACTGCTTCCAACTTCCAAAGCAAAAAAAAAAGCTTTCTTTACTGACCCCCTAAACTCAAACCAGTCACAGCTGTCGTGACAACGTGAGGCAGCTTTATTTGAGCCACAGGGGGGTAGTCACCAGCATATCCATGAAATGGAAAAGCACGATCCAAAGAGTACTGCATAGCACCACTGTGTCAAACACAAACACACACACATGCTATACATGCGGAAAGGTCTCTGGAAAAACACACATGGAACTAGCGGCATGGTGTCCTGGGGAAAGAAGCTGGTGTGACAATGAGCAGGATTGGGAGACTTACTTTTCCCTGGCTTTGTGCCACTTGTATATGTTACCTATTCAAACAACAACTTAAAGAAAGAAAAAGCAAGTAAAAGAACAGGAAAAGGGAAAAATAATTCTCTTAGTTTTATGAAAGCATATAAAAGTTTAACATTTATAAGAATGATATATAATTTCAAGGATTTTTTTAACTCTCTAAATTCTAGCTACAGAGTCTTTAAGAATAAAGCCTAGGAAAAAATATAAACAATAATTTCCATATCAAAGTGTTTGTCCAGATCAATACCCAATTTCAGAACAGTCTTTATATATACATATATTATATTATTGACTTTTTACAGAGAGGAAGAGAGAGGGATAGAGTTAGAAACATCAATGAGAGAGAATCATCGACCAGCTGCCTCCTGCACACCCCCCACTGGGGATGTGCCCACAACTAAAGTACATGCCCTTGACCGGAATCAAACCTAGGATCTTTCAGTCCACAGGCCGATGCTCTATCCACTGAACCAAACTGGTTTCGACTGGAACAGTCTTTTTAATTAGTCTTATAAATTTGGAACAATTTTTACTATGAGATACTAAGATGTATCTTTTACTGTGTATATGTCAGCACTGTGGCTGAACATATTTTTATTTATTTTTTTGTTTTTTTAGAGAAATAAAAATACTGCATACCCTAGCTACTTTGGCTCAGTGGATAGAACATTGGCCTGTGGACTGAAGGGTCCCAGATTCGATTCCAGTCAAGGGCACATGCCTGGGTTGCAGGCTTGATGCCCAGTGTGGGGCGTGCAGGAGGCAGCCAATCAATGATTCTCTCTCATCATTGATGTTTCTATCTCTTCCTCTCTGAAATCAATAAAGATATTAAGCAAAACAAAATACACTGTGCACCCCTATGGGGACTGAGCCTACAACTCAGACATGTGTCCCAATTGGGGGTTGAACCCATAATTTCTGGGTGCATGGGATGATGCTCAACCACTGAGCCACACCAGCTGGGCTGGACTTACTCTATTAACGAGATAAGAGAAATCAGGGAGAAAGAGAGCTGCTGGTTCTGTAAGCATCAGTGCCATGCACTGCACACAATAGTTCTGAGCAACTCTTCTGACTACAGATTCTAACTAAAGACATAAGCATGGTCACAGGCAAGGAAAACAGGGCGGGAGTAAAGGCCCTGAATTCAAGAAGGGAGAGCTCAGAGCAGCAAGAAAGCCTTTTTGCCTAAAACAAGCTTAAGAAGAGAAAACTGCACAACCTACAAATAATTAATATCGATATGAAAACACTGTAAGTTAACAGAAAAGAATGAAGGCATTGAGAACATTTCTGATTACGTCTGAAGTGGCGAATATCTGCATCACAGAACCCGGGAGAGGATGTCAGCCACAGGCCGGGAAGTACCTGTTCGATCTGGATCCCGTACCCTTTGAAGCCGGCGTTGTCCCAGGAAGTGTTCCGGTAGATGTCATCCACTCGGTCAATGAGCTCTATCTGCGGGAGGGAGAGGGAGGCGTTATGTACACCTGCACTGCTCTCGGCAACGGGATGAAGCCGAGGGAGAGAGCAGTCAGTGCAGAGAAAATGCCGTTACAGAAGTTTCTTCCAATTACAAAAGCTAGCATAATGCTGTTCTCTATCATTGACAGCGCTGACAAAGAAGTTATTCCAGCCCAAATAAAGTCTTGTTACCAGAGTAAAACAGTGCTGCACACTAGTATAAATCAAGTAATCAATTGCATATGGAACCAAAATACCAAGTAACAGGGTTTTTTTTAAAAAAAAAAAACTTGCCATTCCAGTCAGTTACAAAAATGAAAATGAAGTCAATCCATTTACCTAAAACAGTCTCTTCTAAGAAATATTCGGTCTTCACTCAGTCTCTTGGCAAGTTCCTCAAAGCCTTCCTCAGAGTGTGAGGAGCAGCCCGGGCCCTGCTATGTGGCCCCCGCTCCCTGGGCAGAGTGCAGCTTTCCCTGGGGGCCAGGCGCACAGCCAGGAAGATGAGCTCCCTCCCTCCTTTCCCACTGCGACCCTGCTGGCGGTTCTCAGCCTGTGAGTGGCGATCATCGCAACCCACAGGCTGAGAGCCGCTGCTGTAGAGCCTAAGACCATCGGAAAACAGATATTTACATGACGATTCATTACAGCAGCAAAATTACAGTTAGGAAGTAGCAACGAAAATAATTTTATGGTTGGGGGTCACCACAGCATGAGGAGCTAGATTAATGGGTCACAGCATTAGAAAGGTTGAGAACCACTGGCTTAGAGTAACTGAAAGACCAAGAATTGCAAATTTTAAGACTAAACCTTTCATTATATTAATATCTTGGTATAATGAACAAAGCAGCAGCAAATGAAGAGAACTCCTTAACACAAAGCCCTATTAAGAAACTTTTTCAGGAAATAGCTCTTCCATAGGAGCAAGAATTACAGTGACTTCACACACTCCACCAGCTTCACAATGACCCCTTTCACGGGGCGGGAGGAGAGGGAGAGGCTGAGGGCGGGCATGGCCCAGAAGGGCAGCCACGAGGCAGCGAGAGAGACGTCTTTCCAGAGCCAGACTCTGCCAGGAAGAGCTGCTTCTCTCATTTCCTCAACAGCATTTGGTCAGTGCCAAGTTATCATGACAAATGAGGTCATACTAATAAAAAATGTCAATGAACTCTGATTCCCTTAACTTTTCCAAATTACATTCATAAATGCTTAAAAACCCAGTGTCAACACTTCCGTCATCTCCTCTTCACCACAGGGTGGTTCTGAGCATGAAAGTCCCATCTATTTCACTCAGAGCCCAATAATTAACTACTTGATGGCACAAACCAAACTGATCCATCTTCTCTGAAATATGCATAGAAGGAGTCATTTGGAGAAAACGCCATTATAAAAGTTTCTACCAATTATAAAGACCAGCAGTGTTTATTCTTCATACAAATACTGTTCCCACTCTAGAGCAACAGTCACCCGTCCCCATGACACCGCTGCCATTACAGCAGTAACATTTTCAAAGAATTCACTTGGACAAAGAGAGGCCTGTGTAATGAATTTGCCCTAAACCTAATATGCATGAAAGCTCTAATGTGCAGAAAATAATAGTTCAAAGGTAAGACAGGTTTTAAAATTTGAAACTAAAATCTCTATGCAGTAACGCAAGAACCTCAGTAGCCCTCAAATATTTTACGAAATAATACGGCATCAGAAATGGATCCATTTCTTTATGTTTCAAATGATAGCAGTCCTCTCCCTACTGAAGTGAGACTGCCTGCAGGAGCGTTCCGCCCATTACCGCCTCCAGGATCAAATACTTACCAGGTAGTTGGTAGTGGTACTCTCCTCCCCTCTGCCCATGTACTTGTAAAAGCGATGATCTGCCACCACCAATAATTTACACGTGTTCTTCATGGGATTAGGGTCAGCTCTCTTCACCCGGTGAACAAGCTCTAATATGAATTTGTATGCACTATTAAATCAAAATTCATCAAAACAAGGAGTTTTTTTTATAACACTTTAAACCTAGCAAAGTTTTGAAACAAACACTACATGAGTTTAGTTTCCTTACAGGTATCTTGAACAAACAAACAATTTGAAGAAAAAGTGAAAAGTAACATGAAGTTTTAAAATTGTAGAATTCAAGTCCTAGCTGGTTTGGCTTAGTCAATAGATATTTCTACCTCTCTCCGTTCCTCTCTGAAAGGAATAAAATAATACTTATTTTACAAATTGTAGAATTGCCCTGAGTGGTTTGGCTCAGTGGACAGAGCATTGGACTGTGAACTGAAGGGTCTTGGGTTCAATTCCAGTCAAGGGCATATACCTTGGTTACTGATCAATGTTTCTCTCTCATCGATGTTTCTGACTCTTTATCCCTCTCCCTTCCTCTCTGTAAAAAAATCAATAAAAATTGTAGAATTCAAAATCAGGGGAAAGTGTCTCTAATTTTTAAAATGAGGCAACTTTAAAAGTACTTGAAAGTAAAGCAATCAGCTATTTGTTGCTCAGCTATGAAGCTCTCATTCTATTCTAGAATTCCACAAATTAACCAAGGCAATGGTAAAAAATATCAAGGTAATCAGACATTAGGATTAGTTTGTATTAATAGGTTTTCTTATCAAATAATCAAATTGTTTAAGAATTTATATATTAAAATGCTAGTAATATTTTCTAAGGTTTTTAAAAATAAGGACAGTAGACTATTTCTCCAAGATGGTTGTTTTCAAAAAATGCTAAATGGATCTGCCCCAAACTGATAAGCTTCATCTTTTCAAACATTAAAGAGCTTTTTTGCTACTAAAGAATGTCTTATCAACTTATTTAAAGATTGTATTGTCATTTTTAAATACCTGCAAATAAAAAAATATTTGCCCTCAGATTATTCAATTCCTTTCCCCAATCTTTTTTAAAAGTCTAATCATTACTGTTACCAGTTGTTTTCTAGTGTTTTCATTTATTATATTATAGGCAAAAGAATTAACATAAAAATTTCTGAACAAAACTATTTTCAAGCCAAATACTATAGTTTCTTGAGAAACGTGCTTTTTAAAAAAATCAATTTAACACCCTACTGAAGACAGCGCAGTGCCTGTTTCATATTATATATGTTTTTAAGTCTTACCATCAGGTGCCTTTCCAGCTACCAGCCATTCCGGGAGCAAACCTTCGTTTTCCGCCTTTACGTAGCCACACACCTTGGAGGAGTGCAGCCGGGAGACGTTCTTGATGTCTTCAGATTTATAAACTAACATCCTTTTGTCTTTAGTATCATTAATGAGTCTCCAAAGTGGCTAAAATAGAAAAACATAATTGAGATGAAAAAATATAAAAATTTCTAAACATCAAATTCTTACATTCTTTCCTTGTGTTTAGATAACATTCGTTTCCACGCTAAGTAAACTGGATAGTCATTTTTATAAAAAATAAACCATTTCAATTTTTATCATCATTTCTAAGCTGGTAAATAAATACATGGATTATTCACTTGTTTATCTGTATATGAAGAAGGGCATTAAGTTATGAAACCTTTTAGAAGAATCAGAAGAGAAAATGCATATCCTTTTCCATTCACTGATTCAAATATATATATATATATATATATATATATATATATATATATATATATATATATATATATATATATTAACACCAACCATGCTGGGTGACGAACAGACAGCAGGAAAGTTAGACAAGGTTCTGTTCTGATGCCTTTTCATTCTAGTTCCCTTAACATCTTGTATGCACAGGAAAGAACAAATACCTTCCCTTACAATATTGCAAGGCCACCGTAAATCAGAACTAACATACTCAAAAGCTATGTTAAGTCAAAAGAATGTTTGTTATTTCAAACCCAAGTTCCACTCTGTAAGGACATTGGTCTCATCAGAACCAAATAGCTTGTGAGAAAGGTTCAAAAGATAAAATTTAAGTACACACACACACATCCATATCCATCATGAAAATGAAAAATAATACGACAAGAAAACTTCATACCCACCAAGAAGGCTGTAATAAAAACACACTCAATAACAGGTATTGGCGAGGAGGTGGACAAATCAGACTCGCATGCACTGCTGGTGCCAATGTACCTCGGACTGTGCGATGCAGGGGGTGTAAAGTGTGAGCATGCCAAACACAACCACTATGGAAAACAGCGTTACCACAGGACCCAGCGTCCCACTCCGTGTGTACAGCCAAGAGAAATGGAAGCATAAGCTCACACAAGAACGTGTTCACAGCAGTGTTATTCACAACAGCCAAAAAGTGGGAACAACTCAACGTCCAATGAATGGAGGAATAAGCAAAGGTGGTATATTCATACAATGGAATATTACTTGGTTATAAAAAGAAATAAAATTTGGACACATGCTACAACACAAATAAAGCATGAAAACACTAAGTAAAAGCAGCAGTCACAAAAGACCACATATTGTGTAGTGCCACTCATGTGAAATGACCAGGCCAATCTGAAGAGAGCGAGCAGATTAGTGGTTGCTTGGGGCTGGGGGAGTTGGGGAGAAAGGGTGATGGAGGTGATAAAAATGTACTAAAACTGATCATGGTGATACCTACAGTATTCTATGAAAATACTAAAAACCACCAAGTTATATAATTTAAATGGGTAAACTGTACAGTGAATTGTATCTCAATAAAGAGGTTAAATACATATATACTCTTTTATAATCCATGTATGAGGCAGATTTAAAAAACAAAGATTACAGAACCTCAGGGCTAACAGAGAACTCAAAAATTTAACACTAAACAACTCCTCACTATAGAAACCTTCATAACCTGAATGTGGCCGACAAACAGGCAGAGGACATTTTTTCCTTTGGGCACAAACATTTCTAAATTCATATTAATAGTTTCATAATGCAGCCCAAATCGCAGAAAAAAAAGACAGCAGGCTTCGGGATCAGATATACCCAGGTTCAAACCTCAACTGTCCCCCACCACATGTCTTTGAGATGTTAACATATCTGAGCATAACTGTTCTCACTAGGTAAACCAGTGGTAACATCTATTCTGAAGATAATGTAAAATAATGAATCCAGTTACATATTAAGACATCAAAATGAAGGTAGTTATTATTACTAATACTAAAAGCAAATCCTATTATCACCATTTCTAAGAGTGCTGAATCTTATAATAACCATTACTAAATGGACCCTAAATTGGAAAGAAGAAAAAGCTCATGAAGAGTTTTTTTGACTATGCATGGATTACCAGCACTGAAATACACTTGAACCTTTCATTGTAACAATTTAATGACAGTTTCCCACAGGTGTTCTATTTTGGTGATATCACCACTACCCAGAGTACTCTCATTTCTTAAGAACACAGGATAACTTGGACCCGCCATCTGGGGCAAAGGTCATTTCCCAGACTAACACCTGACACAGGCTCCGTGTCCCCCACAAATGGGACCAGGACAGCCTGGTTGTACCGCTCGGACTTTAATGAAAGAGGAGCCCGAGTGTCCTAATTCCTCTTTAACCCCTCAGATACCAACGATCACCCTTTACTGATCTTGCATTTCCAGAGCATCTAGGAGAAAAAAGGGGAAAAGGAGAAAGGGCCAAGAGGACTTCACCTTCATCCTTGAGAAGGTTGACTCTGTAACAGGGTTATGAGAGTAAGAACAAGGAAACAGTGAGTCGGGAGGGAAGGAAGTTTTCTCTTCCTATATCCGCCCACATGTGACTTTTACTCAATCATGGTATTAGAAACACAGTGCATCTTAGTCATTTGTAAAAAATGTCACCTTTAAGACATCATCTACTTTCCTTATTAAAAAACTTTAAACTCAAGGAAAGAAGTATAATTATAGACCTTTGTCTTCTTACAACAACTGAGAAACCACTTTTTAAAAATCAGAGATAAGCCCAAACCGGTTTGGCTCAGTGGACAGAGCGTCGGCCTGTGGACTGAAAGGTCCCGAGTTCGATTCTGGTCAAGGGCATGTACATTGGTTGCGGGCACATCCCCGGTAGGGGATGTGCAGGAGGCGGCTGGTCCATGTTTCTCTCTCATCAATGTTTCTAGCTCTCTGTCCCCTACCTTCCTCTCTGTAAAAAAAATCAACAAAATATATTTTTAAAAAATAAAAATAAAAATAAAAATCAGAGATAATTAAGTGAAGCCAGAGAGAAAAATGACAAGAACCATATGATTTCACTCATATATGGGATATGAAACAAAAAGCAACAAAGACAAACTCAGACAACAGCCAGGTGGTTACCAGGTGGGAAGGGGTGAGGGGAGGACGAAGAGAGCAAAGGGGGTCAAATACATGGTGTGGGAAGGAGATCTGACTTCAGGGATGAGTGTGTAAATGCCGTATTATAATGTACTCCTGAAATTTATGCTATTAACCAGTGTTATTCCAGTAAATATAATAAAAATAGACATTTGAAGAAGAAAAAAAGATACATGCTAAGAAAAAACTCATGTCAGATTTACCTCTATATTATATTCTGCCTCATCTGTGTTGATCCTTATTGTAATATCGTCATCTCCTATGTGGGCTAGAACCCTAGAGTCAGGCTCACCTTAAGAGAAAAAAATTTTCATTATTATAAAATACTTACATGAAAAAATAAACTATGCCCCAATGCCATTAGAACTCAACAAAGCCCTTCAGCAGGGTGAATCTGCCCAGACACTGACCACCGTGAAAGCCCCGGAGAGGAGCGAGCCCCGCCTCAGGAGGGCTGTCCAGCCATCTGAAACCTCTCTCTCGCCTCCAACTGCTGGGTGAGAATGATACACAGCAAAACCAACCTGCAATTCCTCCTGGAATTACCTGCCCACTTTGGGAAGGAAGGAAGGAAGGAAGGAAGGAAGGAAGGAAGGAAGGAAGGAAGGAAGGAAGGAAGGAAGGAAGGAAGGAAGGAAGGAAGGAAGGGAAGGAAGGAAGGAAGGAAGAAAACTAAGAGGAGGCAGAAAACAAATCTGACACACAGAGGTCTTGACTCTACTATATTTCAGTGCCACTTGTTTCTGGCTGGAGAATAAGCTCCAGAAGTAAATGACAATTGCTAGTGGGATATACTTTCTTAAATATAAAACAGGATCACAAAGTCAATTATTTTATCTCCGAGATCCTCTGTTTAAAATCTCCAGGGAAGCCTACAATCCTTCTCTAAAGAAAAGGTGAAAGCACTTGAGAAAAAACTCATTTCAATCATCCTAGTGGCCAGCGGGAGTGACAGCTGGTAATACCCATATCCTCCTGCTGGAATGTTTCCGCTCCAAAGTAGACAGTTCAGGTAAAACAAAGAACAGCAGTTCTTCGGTCCTCCACCGCCCTCCCCCAAGAAAAGAATAGAAATACTCAGTCAATTAGACCCGGACACCGCCCGCCAGGCACAAAGGCAAACAAGCTCCCTACTCACCGACCACGTGGCCGCTGAAGAAGTCTTGCCACTTGACGTTGTACTCGCTCTCATTCTTACCGTCGACCACCACCACTTTGAAATTTTGGGAAAAGCGTTCCGTACTTGACGTCAGGTATAATTTAAAATGCCTGTAGAAAACAATGCATCCATATTTTACTCTTAAGAACACAAAATGGAAGCCCAATTTTCATTTCATTAAACTTCCTTAAAAAAGAAGTTTAAAGAAGCTGACATTAATAAAAAGCCATGCGAGTCTTCACTACTGTTTTACCAGGTGCTTAGGGCACCGTACCTCCTGTAAACACAGACTCATCTCTTTAGTGTTAGGGTCTGGCAGCCAGGAGCATCCAGACCTGGGAAAGAAGACGCCAACAGCTTAGGCATTCATCTTCTCTGGAGGCTGAAGAATAAGGAAACATACATCTGGATAGTATCGTGTAAGTCCAAGTCCTGCTTGTCCTAAAAACTTATTAAAAACTGATATTATTGGATATTATTTATTGACACCCACTTCGTCCTAGATGCTCTGTACATGATATACCCACTTCGCACAGTGAAAATTGAGGCTTGGAAGTTAATCAATGTACTGGAGGTTATGCAGCTGGTAAATGGCAAAACTGAAAGTTGAATTTGGCTCATTTCAGAAGCCTGTGCTATGCTGCCTCTAGCAATCAACCTAAGGTTATTGCTGTGTAAAATCAATAGATGCTGCTTTTCTGTATTATTCTCCTTCTAAAAAGATCTTGAAAAAAATTAATCCACAATACCACGAGGAAAATAAATGCAAGGCAAAAACAACACAGACATTAAAATACACACTGCAGCCGAAACCGGCTCAGTGGTAGAGCGTCGGTCTGCGGACTGAAGGGTCCCGGGTTCGATTCCGGTCAAGGGCATGTACATTGGTTGCGGACACATCCCCGGTGGGGGGGGTGCAAGAGGCAGCTGGTCGATGTTTCTCTCATTGACCTTTCTAGCTCTCTGTCTCTCTCCCTTCCTCTCTGTAAAAATCAATAAAATATATTTAAAAAAAATAAAATAAAAAATAAAATAAAATACACACTGCAGTTCTTTAGTTGGCTTAATATTCTTTTGTTTTCTACGAGTTTCAGTTTTGATTTTAGAATTAGGCATAGAATTTTCCACTTGTTATTTACAGAGTCCTTTCAGTATGCCCATGAACATAAAAAAATAAAGGTGTTTTTCATCTTAGCCACAGGAACCAACTTTGTCAGCTGTGGTGTGAAAATATGAACTGTTACTTCCTATGGGTCTGCATAAGTCTAAACTGCAAGAATCTAGGCTGAGATTGCCTCCATGGCAACAAATATTTTTAACATTTTTAAACATAACAAGGCAATTTTAGTTTGCTTGTGGTCACAAGAGAGACAATAGCACATCATTGCAGAAAACCTTGGGACATCTTCTGCTATCCTAAAGCATATCTTCGCACACATTCACAGGTATGTGTGTTTCCACCGTCAGTTATGCTGAGAACTTATTATAAATGCCTTATCATGTCATTTTAGAGCTCTCCAGCAGTCTCCACATTGCTTTTACTTAATATTCTTTCTAGAAAAATCACTGGAATTGTGCTCATTTTCTACATTACTAATCTGCTCTATTATAAAGATAAGGGCCAGCTAATATAAAATCCCTATTTTTTGAGTTTCCAATCTTCAACTTTTAGCTATAAAGCCTCCCACACAATGTATTAGTCAGAATCTATGCGTTACTCTATCCTCCCAAAATTATGTGAAGTCATGTACTTACAGAATTCTTTTATAATTTTCATTTATCTTTCTGACTTTTAAGGATTTACAGTAACCACAAACTGATGTTAATATCTGAATTAACATTTTCTAATTTTTTGTATATATCACAAAAATATCATCACAATATGTCTAGTTAAATCCATCACCACTCCTAGCCAGTGTGGCTTAGTGGGTTCTATTCACAATTAAAATTCTTTGTTAGAATTCAATAACCATATTATTACCATCACTGACACTTTGGGGATACCTATTTACTTTTTTAAAATAATCATCAGTGTAAGTTTTAGAATAGGCAATATGCAGTGTAATAATCTGACAGACTTATTATACTAATTACAAACCTTTAAAAATGTAACTTCCCAAGCTACCCTTATACACCTGAAACTAACAGCATATTGTGTATCAACTATAGTTGAAAAAATAAATAACCTTTGGCAGAAAAAACAACTTAGTTTTCGGCTTTTGCCAAACCAAGTCTCCCTTACCCCAACATTTTTCTATGAATAATTCAAATTACCTTTTTAATGCTGAAAACGTCAGCAGTGTTTCTAAATGTGTTGATGCCTGTAGGTCTCTCTTTCTTACTGAGTGCTGTTGGATACTGGATAAAGAGAGGATATCGTAGTCTGAGAGCAAAGAATCAAGCTTTTCTGAAATAAAGACAAAAAAGTTATTAACACCTAAACCTACTAATCAACTGTAATATTACTGAAACGAGAGTCTTCCTAACATACCACGTTATGAAGCGCCCAGTGCACAAGCTATGAAGTATTCTTACAAAAAACACACAAACGGAACCTGAATCTCACCAAGATCTAACTTCTAGTTTTGAAGACATAAATGTTGATGTTGCCAAATTAAATAACCTCAGCAAGCAATCAGCCACACCCAGAATGCTAGAATTCCGGCAGAACAAATGAGCCAATGTCTTCAGGAAATAAATAGCATGAGAAAGACCAGACTATGGCAAGCGGGCCAACGTGGGAACCTCTTTAGGTCCCAGGTCAAACCAACCGCGGAGAGGTGTTTGTGACAATGAGAAATCTGAGCGCGAGTCCTGTTCCTATCAGTAGTGGTAACTTTGGTATCTTAGAGTATCATATTCTGCAATGACCTAGCTTCTAAATTAAAGGTGTTTCTGGCTTGTATGTTTAGAATCCTAAGATCAAGGCAGCCAACTCAACCCGCCCATTGCCAATCGGAGCTGTATCAGCTTCTTATCAGCTGATGGGGAGCAAGAGCCACCAAGGTATTAATGAGCAAAGTGAAACTGGAAAGTAACTGTTTTACAGAAAGTCACACATTACACATGAGAGAACAAGAGTGTACTATCCCTGTGACTGCTGCCTCCACAAATACAGATCATCAGTCCAGGGGACACCAGAGCAGAAGTGATAAGACCAAACTAATCTCTGGGAAAGAGCAACATCCATTATTTTACCAGTCTGACTTGGAGCCCAAGGAAAGCAAAGAGCACTGCTACCAAAATAAAACAGCACAACAATGTCTGTCTGATCAGAGCAAGCGTAACAACGTGAAGTATGTCTGCGCTGTCAGTCACTTGTCATCACAGCCACTCTGCTGCCTCTTCCAAAGTCAAGAGAATTTCTGGAGTACAATTTTGGTGACTTAAGTCTCTGTAGAAACTGTCTAAAAATATTTGAGCTGATGCTCTCCTTATTTCTCAACAAATATCACTGCAGAAACAAAATCATTCCACTGGACTTAGGATGTCCTCAAAATAGGCAGGAGCTAAAAATACAAGTGAAGTGCCACTTGAGGTTAAATATGCTCACAAAACCAAGGGAGAAAAGAATCTACCCACTCTCTCCTTCCTCCCCTCAGCTTCCTCAGGCCCCGCATCCACTGCGCGGGGTGAGTACCGCAGCCTGAAGCAGGGCCGAGTCCTCACCTACCGCAGCCCTCAGCTCGGGTGGGGAGAAACACACACCAGCAAATACCAGTCAGCGCCGTGGACTGACAGCAGACAGAGCGGAGAGGGAGCTTATTAAGTGTGATCAGAGAGGACAATGCCTCCTCCCAGCCCCAGCCTCCCTGGGGACAGCAGGGTCCTAGGAAATTCACTCCAGGCCACTCCAGAGTCTAACGCAAGGAACAGCACACAAAGCAGCAGCAATGTCACACTTGCTGGGCCCCCCTTTTCTGTTAACATTTAAGCCAGAGAAGAGCTGTGTGAAGGGGCACCATCACCTCTGCCTGTGGGTGGCTGTCAGTTATAAAGCTGAGCAGCACCTTCAGGAAGCCCGCCATTTGCTCCAAGAGGGCTGAGTGTGTCCTACAAGACACCCGAGGCCTTATCCCCTCACAGAGGGCCACGGCGACTCAGGGAGAAGAGTGACCGCCGCTAACGGAGCAGAACGGGCCTGGCTGAAACCCCTCGCTTTCCTAGTGCCATCCTGTTTAAGCTTCTTAAAGAGAGCCCCGCTCTTCTGGGACCTGCTATTTCCAGGTCTCCTGCATTTTAACAAGCCAACCACCAAGCGTGTCCCTCTGAACTCTGAAGCCCTGTGTTTGTTACTTTCCCCAGCGCTTTTGAGTTGTATCTGTTTTATCTCACAGACAGATTGTGAAACAGCCAAAGAGGACCCCTACCTCACCACACCCAGCGCAGAACTTGCACAAACCAGCACTCCCGTTCCACAAATGGCACAAATTCTCACTGCTGAGGAGCTGATACAATTCCTCTCTCTTCAACTTCCTGATACAGACAGGCTGGTACATGAACGCAGTTTCATTCAAGATCATAATCACTCCTCCCGGGTTCACTGTCAATGCCAGAGGCCAGCGCCCACAGGGCTCTCTCACCAGCGGCAGCGGCAGCAGCACTCGGGACCTTGTTAAACGGCCAGTTTTCACCCAGACGTTCTGAGGGTGAGGCTCAGCAATCTGTGTTTAACCTGCCTCCCAGGCCATACTGACCGATACCCAAGTTTGAGAACCGCTACTGAACTGAACTAAGGAAATAATTCAAAGAAAAAAAATTTTAAACACAAAGATGTTCATTATTCAGCCTTTCTTTATTTTTATAAGCAAAATCAAAAACAAGGTAATAACTGGGCAACAGATAATTATCTCCTTTATTTATTTAACTGATCTTGGGAGGGGCGGGGCGGGAGGAAGAGAACACCGATGTGAGAGAAACGTCCTCTGGTTCTCTCCCACCTGTGCCCGACCGGATGGCACCTGAACCAGGGCATGTGACCGAGGGGACTGAACCAGACACCCTTGGTGGGTGGGAGGGCACGCCAACCTGAGCCCCACCAGCAGGACAAGTTATGGGACTTCTAAACAACAACAACAACAAAATGCAGTCCCTTAAAACGCCGCAGCCCCAGCCCGTGTGGCTCAGTTGGTTGAGCATCATCCCATGCACCTGGAGGGCACTGGCTCAATTCCCAGGCAGGGCACACCGCTGGGGTGTGGGCTCCATCCCCAGGAAGAAGCAGCTGACCCATGTTTCTCTCTCTCCTTCTCCCTTCCTCTCTCTCAAATCAGTAAAAACACTTTTAAAAACATATAAATACTCTTTAAAATATACTCTTTAAAAAAATAGAAAATACTCTTAAAAACAGGTTTTTAGAACATGGAGAAATGTTCATGCTATAATATTAAAGGTGCATTTTAAAAAGTCCTCTCCATACTGCATGATCTTAACTATGTATAAAAATAGGCCCACAAAAAAACAGCAAGATGGTAACATCACTGGTTATCTTTGGGTATATTTTCTCTATAAAAAGCACTTTTAAATGTAGCTTGCTAAAGCACTGTAAAAACGTTACTGTTTCCGTTGTAGTTCACTCTCTTACAATAACTAGCTGCTCCAACCGGAAGCCCGGAGCCACTCCCAACGGCATGGCAGAGGCCCCGCCTGGTCCCGCCAACGGACCCTGTCCCCGCACAGCACTGACCTCCCGAGCCCGCGTTCCACCACGCTTCCCCTCCCACAGCTCACCCAGGGCTGTCTCGGGCTCCTGTAGCTCCTCAGCTGAATTATATTCCCCACGTGACAAAGCTGTTAGCCTTTACCCATCCCAATCCAATCCCCAATACACTCACTGTAGCCACTCAGCGTTCTGAGCCCAGTGATGGTCATACTCGCCCTGCTCGCACTGTTATTGTCTTTTCTGTTATTCCTCTTTCCGCACTTCCTCCCATCCCACCAGACTCCACCTAGTCACTCCTTCCTTCCGGTACTAGGGCTGTAACGGAGAGAGAAAATCCATTTCCAATATTACGACACTGGTGGAAAGACCACGACACAAAAACTGTTATAAGTGTGTCAAGCGCCAAGGAGAAGTGTCAGGAAGTCAGGGGAGGACACAGCAGGAGCAGGAGCCCGCCTGGGAGCCCAGGACCCTCTCCCGGGGAACAACATGGAAGCTAAGCACACAGGATGAGGAGGAAGCCACGAGGAGCAGGGAGGAGAAGGTTCTAGTAGAGGGCGTAACGCCTGCCGAGGTCCACGGGAAACACAGACGGACACTCAGAGCAATGAAAGAGCTCCAGCTGCGTGCTGACCACACAGGACGTGAGGAGGCGAGGCTGCAGGGGCAAGCAGATACTGTCCATGACCGGCCACGGAGCTAAATGAGGGATTTGGTCTTTGGATAGGGCACAGCTGTGCGTCAGAACGTTCACTGTAGCGGGAGTGTGGAGTGGCTAGAGGGGAACAGACTGAGGCCGGGAAATCAGCTATCAACTGCTGAGCAACCCAGGTGCAGAGCGTGACCCTCTCCCAGCCCCAGACCAGGTATATGAGAGGCCAGCTGGATGCTGAACGATTTTAGTTCCGTATTGTACCTCGTACCTTATATCTAGTTTGCAATTACACTGCTTTACACAGGACTTTTTTCATCAACAGATCATCACATGTTTGCAATTGTGTCGCTGATGAGTCACAGTGATTTTAGGTGGGGGGAGAGCACAGTTGCTCTACAGACTTTCCACACGACAGCAGTGGTGAGAAGCAGCAGATACTCTGTTCCTTCGCCATGTGCCTGAGCACGGGCTTTCTGAGTAGAGATGTGGAGTGGCTACAGAAGCCTTGATAAATAAATAAATAAGCCTTCCACTCCACCATCTCTGATGCTTAAGCTGTTTCACTTCCGGAACAAGCTTTTATGGCAATTTACTCTGGTACAATGACAAAGATACCCATCTTTCTTTCATCCTGTCCAGTCAACACTTTAAAGACCAAACTGACTTTTTTTTAAAAGAAATGTTGAATTAGAAGAGTCAGGGACCACTTGTAAACTTTTTACTTCATTCCTCTTTTCTTTTTGCAATATACTGCATCTCCCGGAAGGGAGTACAACTTGCGGCACCTCTGACTCCCCGCTGCTCTGCAGAGTGTCCCCAACAACACTGCCAGTGCCGCCAGCGGAGGGTCATGGTGGAAAGGAGACAAGAGAAAGCCAGGACTGCTGCCAAGCACTGGTTCTGCTGGTGCAGAAGACACGAATCTCTCAGCACCCCACGCCCGCAGGAGGAGTGGGTGAGTCCAAGTTTACCAAAGTAATTCTGGGCTGTTATAACTGAAGCACCTGTGGTTACCGAGGTGGAGCATCACGTGACAGACGGATACATGAGTGAAACTCAGAGAACACGTCTACGTTGGAAATAGCATTATTCAAATGTGTATAGCCAAACAGTAAGCAAAACCAAAGCAGCAGAAGAGATCTGTCAGAGCCTACACAAGTTAAGGGGGGGGGGGGGGAGAGAGAGAGAGAAAGAGAGAGAGGGGTGTGGGGAGGAAGACAGCCATGGCCTTGCTTGGTTTTAGGCTAAGAACTAAGGGGATACACGAAGAAGCACTTCCTTTCACTCCCCTACCTCCCTGAAGCCTGCCGGCCCCTTCCTCATATTTTCCCCAAATTATACTTCCCACTAAAACACTCACCGTCTCGCCGAAACCGGTTTGGCTCAGTGGATAGAGCGTCGGCTTGGGGACTGAAGGGACCCGGGTTCGATTCCGGTCAAGGGCATGTACCTTGGTTGCGGGCATATCCCCAGTGGGGGTTGTGCAAGAGGCAGCTGATCGATGACTCGCTCTCATCGATGTTTCTAACTCTCTATCTCTCTCCCTTCCTCTCTGTACAAAAATCAATAAAATATATTTTAAAAATAAAAAAATAAAAAAATAAAAAAAAATAAAACACTCACCGTCTCTATAAATAGGAAATGGTGAGGAACCCCGAATCAACCACTCCTGGCCTGCAAGGACACCTACACTCAGGGTTCTGGAAAACCTGGGGAGGGCAGGATTCTCGCTTCCCCACCATGGCTCTCCTCCTCGTTCTGTTCTAGAAACACAGCTCTTCCCTGACGGCTACAAAGCAGAGCTGCTTTAAGTCTCCCTTGGAACAGTTAGGGTGCTTATGTGTTTGGGTTAAAAGAATGCAGACTGAAAGCAGAATTAACATCGAGAGAGAACAGGTGCCCAAGCACTGAGCGAAGCGGTGCTGTCCGTCAGGAGACGGGCAGCGCGAGGCAGAGGGACGTCTGTAAATCACGCTGCAGGCACAGCTTCCACCTCTCACCCGTGACCTACATTCTTTTCTTTCCACCCACGACATCCTCTTTTTATTAAAAGTAACACAAAGAGAAACCACTTTTGAAATCAAAGTGAGACTTATACGCCCAGCTGCAACTTCTCCCAGATCCGATCATGACGAAGCTCACATGACTCAGAACTTCCCGAAGTTATGCAATTCCTAACAGTTCCACTGAAATCAATTCGGGGGAACTGAGTCCTCCAGAAGCCGGGATTCAGACCCCAGCTTCAGAACGGCAGCTGCGGTACCATGTAGAGGGCAAGTCAGCTAATAAACCATAAACCATGCTCTTTAATTATGAAACTATTTATGGGCCTTGACCAATCCAACCTACATAATGGTGGGGTTAAAGTAAGCACCAAGTTATATCCTGAGCCGTTAAAAACACACAGGAATCAATGCTCTTCAAAAGGAAAAATACCCACAAGACATATTTATCACCGTGTGACCCTGGCCGCTCACTAACGGACTCATTTCTCCTGCTGCCTCTTGTAAAACCCGAGGCAGGGCCCTAAGGTCAATGCCAACCACCTCAGTGCCCCACAGGAGCGCCCTGACTTTCCCTCTTGACCTCCTAAACCTTCAAGTCGGGCCCGAATGTCCCCTCCTCCAAGGAGCCCGCCTCGCCGCCAGGCTGGGTTCGGTTCCCCCGGGTACACCGTCCTCAGGTGTGTCCCCTGCTGCCTCCCAGGCTGTTCCCCAATGTCTGCTACAGCCCCCCCACGCCAGTGCACGGGACGATGCTGTCTGACCTGGGGGTTCGGAAGCCACACATCCGCCAACATCCAGTAGGTGTTCCTCAAACGCCGGGGGAGTAAATGGGGGGCGGGGGCCGTGCCTTTCCCTGGCACCGGGGTTCTGCCCTTTGCACATAAAAAACACGCGGCTTTCCTCTGCTGGGGGCAGCCCTAGGAGCCTGCCACCCACTGCCCGCCTGTGAGGTCCACAGCCTTAAACCCAGCCTGTGGGACATTAGTCCCCAGGGCCAAACATCCACAGGACGACGACTGAAATTTCCTTTGGGAGCCAAACTTTCTAAACGTAAACTAGATGGGTAGGTGCATTGTTATTGCCTTAACGAGGGTCCCGCTCAGCTGGCCTTTGCTAAACACATCCTCAACTGACTGAGGTACCCGCAGGGGGCCACAGAGCCGCAGTGTGCCGACCCCTGCCGTAGGCCAACTGAACGAGAACCCCCGCTTTCTGGGCTCAAAGCTGAGCCAGCGGGCCGCCTGCTCGCTCCCTGACGCGGCGGCAGCAGCACCAGAGGACTCGGCAGGTTCGGTCCCCAGCCCCCCGCCTCCGGGAAGTTCCATCTGAACCACCAAGCGCAGGCTCCCGCGGGCCCAAACGCAATCCAACGGGAGTGTCCGCCCCGGCTTCCCGCCAGGCTCCCGCGGGGCCCGCGGCACCGGCCGGCCCCTCTCCCAACTCCCCCGGCCCTCGGTCCCCGGAGGCCGCCGCCGGCCCCCGCCCCGTCCGCGGGCCCCCGCCTCCGCTCCGTCCCGAGCGCCAGCCACACCCCCTCCGCGCCGAAAGCGCCGGCGCCCAGCCGCCCGCACCGCCCCCCGCCGGCGCCGGCCTGGCCGACCCCGCTCTTACCGAGCCGCGGCGGGGAGCCCGGGCCCGGCTGGCCCGGGGGCGGCGGCGCCAGCGCCCACGGCAGCACGCTGGTCAGGAGGAGCAGCCACTGCCTCATGGTCCCGGGCACCGGCCCGCCGCGGGCAGCCTGGCCGGACGGAGTTCGGGACGCCAGGCGCTCACATCGGGGGCCGGAGGGATCCGCCCGGCCCGGCCCCTCACGCCAATTGTTCCTCCCGCGCCGCCTACAGGAACTCCGGGGCCGGACTGCAGGCCCCGGAAGTGCAGGCAGCGCTCCCAGAGGCCGGCCGAGCCCACTTCCGGCCGCCGCCGCCGCCCGCACCGCCCACTGGCGGAAGCCGCGTGCCGCGCGGCATGCCGGGAGGAGCCGCCTCGCCCCGCCCCGCGCCAGTGCCCCGCCCCCTGGCCGTCCCTCCGCCCGCCCCTTCCGGCCCGCCGGCGCCTGTCCGGACGGGGCCTGCGACGTCCCAGCTTGACCCGCCGGCCCTCGCCTCTGTCCCCGGGTGACCGCCGTCCCCGGGTGACCGCCGCGAGGGAGGCGGCCGCCTGGGAGCAGCCCGCGAAGGCACGTCCGGCCTCCTCCCTCGCTGAGGCCCCGCGCAGGTTGGGATCCGTTTTCCAAAAGGAGCTGCGGGGACCGCCCGGACCCCGCCCTGGACGGGGAGGGCGCCTGGCCCCGGGTGCTGCAGGGAATGACCCAAAAACCACATCGAAGGGCGAGGACCCGGCTCCCCGGAGGAGGCGGCGCCCACCCCTGGGGAGCGTGCGTCCAGGCCGATGGGCTCCCCTCCCTGTGCCAGGCCCGCGGCGCCTTAGGCCTCGTGCAGGGAAATCAGCGGGACTGCACTCCTCCCTGTGGCCCCGCTGAGCTCGCGGCTCGGCCAGCTTTCCCAGAAACTAGGACCTTCGGCCTCCTCGCCCCGTGTGTGAACTCACGCTAGACTCCATCAGCTCTTACTGAAATGCAGTCCGATGGCCGCTTCAGCTGGGACTGCACTTTCCAAGGCAGTGTGTGCTGCTTCGCATTGCAGCCCTGTGCATCTTAGCTCCGGAGCCGAGTGTGGATGGTGCTGAGTAAAACATGCTAATAATGGGTGCGTAGTGCTATTTTGGTTCAACCAAAGCTGGTGCAAGTAGGACACAGCACATTTCCCATTCAGAGACAGCGGTTGTTAGGAATAAAGTATCAGTCCCGCCTGGTCAAGTCTCAAAACTAGTGCCTAAGTACTGCCACTGAGCCTGGCTCCCTGTGGGAGCGCACTGACCACCAGGGGGCAGCTCCTGCATTGACCATCTGCCCCCTTATGGTCAGTGCACGTCATAGCAAGCCGTTGAATGGCCTTAGCATATCATTAGCGTATTACGCTTTGATTGATTGAATGGCCAACCTGACGACCAAACACTTAGCATATTAGGCTTTTATTATATAGGATAGAGCATTTGTTACTCTCTTTCTAAAATGCTAGTTATTTCTAGATCCATATGCTTTTTTCCAGTTGATAAACCTGTGAAACTAACACTTTAATAAGGGTCAATCCACAAATCTCCATCAGACAACAGACCCACTTGTTGGATATACAAAGTCACATACCAAGAACTCAAGATTTTAGTCCAGAAATTGTCATCTATTTCAGATGTTTTTAGAAAGAAAATGGGAAAGTATATTATGCCTAGAGTATATTATGCAAAGCAGAATACTTGAGGATTCTCGCTGATAAAGGGAATTGTTATGATGAGCAAGAAAATAAATAACCAGGCCTCCTTGAAGCTGGAATAATGTTTCCTCAGGTTCAACAAGAAAAGGAAATCAGCCATTTCTTTGAAGGTATTATTTCAAGAAGGTTCACTGCTAAAATTTTAGTAACCATTTCTCCATTTTTCATCACTCTTCTTACCAGGCATCCGTGCCTTCATTACAGAATTATTTGCAATGGCTAACCCGGACCTGTACTAGTAAACAGGGTGTCATATCTCCTAGATATCGTATGCCATACAAAATATGTGGATGCGTTGGTTCTTTCCTTATAAACCCTTCCCCGTCCCCTGAGACCTGAGTAATTGAACCACATGAAAAACTGATCACAGAGAGCAGATTGGACGAAGAGGAAAATGGAAACGTTTGAAATTACCTCGGGTCCGAAGTGGCCAAGAGTCCCTCCTCCTGGGCTGGCAGGCCCCACAGGGAGCCTGGCACCAATTACCCTCCAGCTCTGCAGCGGCCAAGGCCTTAATTGAAGGCCTGGCCTACTTAGCGCTCTTCAGAGAACCTGCACTCAGTTGTTGGATGCTTAAATCTGATAATTCTGCTAGCGTTGACGGGAATGGAAGAAAATGGGGAGTGTCTGCACTCCTGAGCTCATGACATAACATTCATACCAGCTAAGATACAGAAACAAACCAAGGGTTGGTGGTGAACAGGTCGGCGGGAAAGTGGTGGTATCTACCTGCAGTGGAGTATTTTTTGGCCCTAAGAGAGAGGAAGTCCTGCCATTTGCAACATCCTGGATGAGCCTGGAGGACATAATGCTAAGTAAAATAAGTCATAGGAAGACAAACAGTATATGATCTCACTACAGGCCCGGTGCATGAAATTCATGCACAGGGCGTGGGGGTTGGGGAGGGGCCCTCAGTCCGGCCTGCGCCCTCTCTAATCCAGTACCCCTGGGGAATGTCTGACTACTGGTTTTGTGCCCGCACTTTTAACAGATGACAGCTCCATTGTTTTTCCTTTCTCTTCATGCTTACCCCATTGGAATCAGTAGGTATTCAAAGTGTGTATACATTTGGGGGGACACCCTGTATATCTCTAGTCAGCGGTGAAAGGAACCAACGGCGGATTTGGACCCCCGAGACGGGGAACCTCACTCACTCCCCACGTGTCTCCCCACTCCGCTTTCCACCTTCGCGGGCAGCAGGAGAATCAATGTTTTCGCTCATTAACTAGGAAAAGCACACCCTGTCACCCGCTGCCCAGCAGGAGTGCGCTAGGCCCCAAGCAGGCGAGGGTCAGTCAGGGTGGCCTTTGCCCGTGGGTGCCAGCCCCCCAGCGCACATTCCTCCCCTGCAGTCGCCCCGACTCTCCCACTGGTTCACTGAGAGGACGGAACCCCTCGCCTCCTCTGGGTTCCTGATCCCAAACGCTGACCGAGGTGTGTCTGTCTGCACCTGCTCCCGCCTCAGCACCTGCATTAGCCCCACGGAGGCGACCTCGTCGCTGCACTGGCCTCTGCGGAAACGGCATCACTACTCCGACCCCTCACTGCCATCTCACAGGCGCCCACCCTCAGCACCAGACACCGGACACTCCCCAAAGGGCGTGAGTGTGCCAGAGGGGAGTGCACACCCGTGGGGGGCGCAGGTACACTGGGGCTGATAAAAGTGTGGCGGGGGGTGGGGAGGGGGGAACCTGCACACGCCATGGTCTGGCACTGTCGTAGGCACGCGTGGGTGACGGCGCTGGGAGGCATTGACGTGCCGGGGGCGAGGAGAGGATGCACAATCCGGAAGCCTGCCGCTGCACAGATCTGCAACCCCGTGCTGTGGCCAGGACGTCAATCTGGCCCACCATGGTGGCTGTCCCTGCGATCACACACACCTCTGAACCGGGGCTGGACTTGCACAGCCACTCCTCGGGCACTGATGGCCTGCAGGCGCTACTTCAGCTAGGCCCTCAAGCTCCGTTGGCACCACCATGTGGGGAGTACAGGCCTTCCTTCGCCAGCCCACCTCCCCCGCCCAGAGGCTCCCCACATGCTGCCCACCAGCCTGGAGCGGCTGCGGGGGGTGCGGTGGGACGCCTGCCTCCACGCTGCCCACAGGCCCTCGGCAGGTGGGCGGGGCAGAACACTTGCATCGTCGCCATGGCAGCAATGCAAGCATCCCAGCCCAGCCATTGCCATCTTTGTTGCGGAGTGACCCTCAATTTGCATATTTCCCTATTGGCCGCGGGCATTACCATCTTTGGCATGGAGTGATGGGTCAATTTGCATATCCCTGCTTTATTAGAGAGGATTTGTAAGTGGACTTTTTTTAAAAAACTCTAACACAATTTATTGCTTTTTCTTGATTGCCTCTGGCCTGGCTTTGGAAGGGCTCTGCAAGAGCGCACTGACTACCAGGGGGCAGCTCCTGCATTGAGCATCTGCCCCCTGGTGGTCAGTGTGCATCATAGCGACCTGTCGTTCCACTGTCTGGTCAATTTGCATATTAGCCTTTTATTATATAGGATTGATTTCAGAGAGGAAGGGACAAGGATAGAAACATCAATGATGAGAATCACTGATCAGCTGCCTCCTGCACGCCTCACACTGGAGATTGAACCCACAACCCAGGCACATGCCCTGACTGGGAATTGAACCATGACCTTCTGGTTTGTAGGTCGATGCTCAATCCCTGAGCCAAGCCGGCAGATAGCGCTGTGGGCTTTGTCCTTCCCATGGTTCTGGCTATGGATCCCTCCGGGGCGGGTTCCTGGGTTTTGCCAGGAATTGTTCGGCAACCCCTCTCGCCTGACTTTTAGCTTCTCCTGGAGTAAGTGTTCCATTACCTCAATGCAAACTGTTCACATGGGCCACGGGGGGGAGGGGGCGGGGGGAGGGGGAGATGACCAGCGGCTCCTGTGAGTCTTCTGCATACCTGACCCAGCCCCTTCCCGTCGTCCACCCTCTCATTCATTCCCTTCAGGTGGGCACAACCCCAGAATCCTGTCACTCACTATTTTCTCTGCCCTCCTGGGCAGCTCGCCTGATCAATCTGCACTTCGGCCCTCACTCTTCCAAGTCCCAGGTCCTGGCCAGCGGCCACAGCCATTGGCACCCTGCGTCCCAGCACCTTTGAGCGAGCCCGCAGGGCCTCGGGGGCCGCTGGAGCGATGACCAGGTGGCTCTTGAGAAACAGGCTCTGGGTGTCTCTCCGCCGCCTCCGGTCCGGTCCACCAGAGAAGGCTAATTAGGAGCGAGACCGCTGCCTAATAGTTCCGTCCCTTTTAACTCTGCGTTCCCAAGTTACACTGTCACTTTCTTTTTGTGTTTGTCCTTGAAAATCTAGGGCAATAGGTCTGCTGGAAGTGTGGCTGGCTTTCTTATCCACAGGGCTGGGTTCACTTTACCTGAACTTCCCGATCCTGAAATGAGGCCGACCCGCTCCTCACTTCTCTCCCACCCCGTATTCCGCCCCAGCTCACCCCACACACGTAGGGACAGTCCTGCACTTGGGCTCCCGGGCAGGTGGGTGCTTATCTTTTAAGAAACTGAAGCTGAGATACTAGGCATTGAAGTTACAACTGCTAGTACCCAGCACCGTCCACGGTTCCTAAGAGGCTCTCAATCTACTTAACAAGGGAAGGGAGGGAGGGAGGGATGTAGGATGAGGATCGCTCTGAAAACACTCCCTTTTTCCGACAGCGCATTGCGTGTCCCATGGGCCAGCTCCCCGCAGTGGGAGACCCTCGTGCCCCCGTTAGAAACTGGCATTCCTGCCGGGACCGATTTGGCTCAATGGATAGAGCGTCGGCTTGGGGACTGAGGGGTCCCGGGTTCGATTCCGGTCAAGGGCATGTACCTTGGTTGCGGGCACATCCCCAGTAGGGGGTATGCAAGAGGCAGCTGATCGATGACTCTCTCTCATCGATGTTTCTAACTCTCTATCCCTCTCTTCCTCTCTGTATAAAATCAATTAAAAAATTTTTTTAAAAAAAGAAAGAAACTGGCATTCCTCCCTCCTGTCAAACAGGAACATCGCACAGGCAAGCTCGGGACAGACTGGGAGGAAATGGCTTTCACTCACCTGAAACCTATTCCACCTCACAATCTGCTCCTCACATATAGAAAACCTGATTTCTCAGAAGTCACCCTATTAACACGCATGTATTTCCCACTCTATTTCACTTAAAAAAAAAAAAAAAAAAAAAGGCTTTGACTCACTATCCACTAACTAACTGGTCAGGACCTAAGTTTTTAAAAGCACTGATCTGGCCGGGCCAGGGTGGCTCAGCCGAGCATCATCCTATGAACCAGGACAGTTTAATTCCCAATCCTGGCACGTTCCTGAATTACAGGTTCAATCCCTGGTCCGGGCACATGCAGGAGGCCATCAATCGATGTTTCTCTCTCTCAAAATCAATTTTAAAAATCTTTAAAGTCCCCACCAAATATTTTATTAAAAACTAATAATTTTAATTAAAATTATTGGGGCTGCCGAAACCGGTTTGGCTCAATGGATAGAGCGTCGGCTTGGGGACTGAAAGGTCCCGGGTTCGATTCCGGTCAAGGGCATGTACCTTGGTTGCAGGCATGTCCCCAGTAGGGGGTGTGCAAGAGGCAGCTGATCGATGACTCTCTCTCATCGATGTTTCTAGCTCTCTATCTCTCTCCCTTCCACTCTGTACAAAATCAATAAAAATATATTTTTAAACAAAAAATAAAATTATTGGGGCGACATAGGCCAACACGAACAGATAGACCTGTATCGGCCCGTGTGCTCACGTCGTCAGATCTGCTGTGCCTCACATTAGGGCCCCTTCTCCCCCTCCTCCTCTGGCGACCACACTGCCGCTCTGTTCGGGAGCTTCAGTTTTAGACCCCACATGTGGCCCTTGGCTTTTTCTGACTTATTTCACTGAGTGTAACACCCTCAGGTCACTCATGTTGTTGTAGACGGTGTGATTCCATCCCTTCTTACGGCGATGGTGTTCCGTGTGGACACGGACCACATCTTTATCCCGTCTCCACCGCAGGCCGCTCCGGTGGTTTCCATGTCTTGGCCGCCGAGAATGATGCTGGCATGAACATAGGGGTGCATAGGGCTTTGTGAATACGTAATTCCTACGTGATATTTTAAAGAAAAAACGGTAAAAAAAAAAACACCTGGTGGAGGGGGGAAGAAATGAGGAACCTTTGTAATAATATGAACAATAAAGATTGATTTAAAAAAAAAAAAAAAAAAAACGGTCAAATGTTCTAACTACAAGACAGATGTAAAGTTTCCGTAAACACTATCTCCAAAGGCTTTAAACCTTCCCTCCATCCCCAAATGTAGACCGCCCCCGCCCCCCACCTGGGAGGGTGTCCCCTCTCCCACCGAGTTCTCCGCAGAGTCCCACAAACCCCTCCGTCTGTGTGAGGAGGCCGAGCTGGGGATTCGAGGAGACACGGGCTGGGCCCTTTATAAAGTTGCCAACTCTTAAAGCAGGGAGCCAAAATAGCCTGCTCTTCAGGCAGATACTTGGGCAATTCACAATTAACCACCGCCTCCCGCACGCCCCCTAAAGGGGATCGAGCTTGCAACCTGGGCACGTGTCCTGACTGGGAATCGGATACTCAGCACCTGCTGGGCAAGCAGTAACTTTTTAATATCCCACGATGGCGCTCCCACGCCTACTGAAACTTTTAAAAATATATTTTTACTTTTTACAGAGAAAGGGAGAGTTAGAAACATCCATCAGCCACCTCCTGCACATCCCCCACTGGGGGTGTGGCCGAAGCCAAGGTCCATGCCCTTGCCGGGAACCGAACCTGAAACCCTGGAGTCCGCAGGCCCACGTTCTATCCAGAGCCACACCAGTTAGGGCTGAAATTTTTCTTTACAGTCTTTGCATGTATGTTACAGAGGACCCATCCTGTTTAGTTAGTTGAGGTATTAATATGTTGTTTTTTTATGATACTGAGCTTGTGTCATTGGTATTACAAAACGATTTCAAATGTTGGAACCAGGCAATTAGGTTCAGGTGCTACTAATTTTATTAAATTCTGCTATTTGTGTAGAAATTTACCTCATATATTTTAGTTAAAATTGTGTTTTTCTCTTTAATTTCCATATAATGAAAAACAAGAACACTGAGAAAACTTGATTATAAATGTTCCACTGAATATGTAGTTTGGTTAATTTAGTAACAATTCAATAAGTGACTGCTTTATAATGGAAGACTCATTAGATTTTCCTTTTGCTGTTTTCATCTTCGTGAGTTTTTCCCTTTTTCTGTCATCTTAGTGATTCTTAAAGTGGCCTCAGAAAAAGGCAGTACGGCAATGTTTTCTTTGCCCTCAAACATAAAACATACACCTGGAAGAGAAATTCACGGACTTCCTCTCTGGCGGAAAGGATCCAAAGTCAGTGTCCAGACCGCAGCGTGAACTCAGGCTTGCAGCATCTTGTGTGGAATTTGAAGTATTCTGTTTGCAAGCTGTTAGGGAACAATGGATTCAGATGCCTGTGTCAAGTTCTAATTTTAGATATACTTCTCCCTCATTAACAAAAAATGATTCGTACTTCACAAAGTAAAAGGGTCTTACTGACGTAGGTTTTTGGGGACCAAAGCCCTAATAACCTTATTTAAATGAGTAGTTCCCCACGTCGCATTCAACCCGTCTTTTCATTTCCCCTCAGGAAACAGATCCAGTGCAAATGAAACCTTTTTGCAGTCCCATTTTGGAGATAAAGAATTAATCTTACACTGCTGGTTTCTCAGATTATCTATTGACTTTGATGCTATAAAAACAAAATTACGTGGACTCACCACCAATGGTACAACTAAACAAGGTATGTTGTCCTCTGCCATTCTGCCGACTATCCACTGAAACACAATCCACACCAGCTAAAGCATTCAGAACCACAGTTGGCTTTGCTAGTTTGAAAATGTCCACTTTATTCCATGGAGCATTAGCTGGAGACCATTTACATCTGAGGAAGAGGTGGTCCACACACCGCCTGTGGCTAAACGCCCCCTCTAATTAGTTAGCCAATTTCACGGCCCCCTGGACGGTGTATCACAATGCAAAGGCATGGGGACCCACTACATTTACAGAAGATAAAGGGAGGTATCAATAAACTTCAGAAAGTAGTAAATTCACCTGTCCTTTAAAATCGGAGTATGCCAATGTTGCAAAGCCATAGGAAATGGTTTATAAAATGCAATTTTATTTTACGGTTCTCTGCTGTTACATAGGGCATGACATTTTCACAAGGCTTGTTTGGGACTACAATGATCAGCCACACACAATAGTGGTCCAACTCTCTAAATAACAATCGCTAGACACACTGGACACCCTCTCACATGTGTACAAATCTGCATGGAAAAGTACTAAAATTTTAAACTTGGTCTTGTGTACTTTATTTCCCCATTCTACGGTATTAAGAAATGACATGCACTTTAATTTGCCAAAAGCAATGCTTGTATTCTGGCAGCATCATGCTACTTTATTACCTAGTAAAGTGAACACCAGAACTACAAAGGCAGAAGGTGTGAGTTTTTATTAGGAAGGGAAGTTGTCAACTGAAACAGCAGCAAATGAGTGGATAAGGAACTCCCGGTGTCACAGCTACCGAGACCTCCACCCTGTGACACAGGAGGCTTTCAGTTTGTGACCCGCAGCCCAGAATTACCAAACGCTTTCCCATTCAATCTGATGCTTCCGGATTCCCGCCCTAAGGAATACATTAAGAACATGGAAACTTGCTCACGGACAGGAAACCCCCGAAGAGTAAGGGAGGGAATGTAGGAATTAAGAAGTTATGTAAAACACTCTTTAAATGTAATTAACTACATTTTCATATCCTCACAGTAATACAAAACACAGTCACTTGCAGAACTGGTTCAGATTACTTAAATACCGAATACATTTTTAGTCCTCTACATACGCGTTTGGGAGTACTTGTTTATGTGAAATGGAGCTATTAATACTTTTCTACAGCAGTAACTGCACACCAGGAAGGCCAAGACAAACAAATCGGGGAGTGGAGTTTCCCACAGCTGCGTGTGAAAGACTACGAACGGCTGATTCCATACACATGGTGGTTTCTTTGCTCCGGGAAACCCACATGAAGGAAGGAATGGAGATGTGCACGGAGGTTTCTGGAGGGAAGGAGGACACTACCCTGTCGGCAGTCAGTTTTCGGCGCCTTCGGCCGCGTCACATTCTTCTCCTGCGCTGTCCGACGTCCATAACTAGGAAAGAGAGCGGACTAGGTTACTACTTCCGGAGCAGACAGCTACATCAAGTCCTACCCTGACATCGGAATGTAATTCTGAAAGCACTCAAGTATTTGAACAGAGATGATGACTAAGACTGAAAGCTAGTTCTCAAAACCCAAATGCCACCAGCTCCTCCCCAAAGGGATCCCTGCAGACTGTTCACAATGCAGTCACAAAGTGACACACACACACACACACACACACACACACACACACACACACACTCTACCTGAGCAGCTTTGACAACTTCTTTATAAGTACTACAAATTCAGAAAAAAGCAAGGGAACAGCCTTAGAATTTATTGTTCTCTCATTCCCAGCAGCACAAAGCTCTTCATGAAAGCACTACTGAAATATAATTTGAGATTAATAAGGCAAAAACATTTTAAGGGGGTGAAGAACTGTGATCATAATAACTATTCCAAGTATATGCAGAGCTACCATATGCTAACTCAGCGTCGCTGCAGAGAAGTGCATGAAGACACAAAGGATTCATGAACTAGGCAGGACATCAAAACAAACCCAACTAATCTGAAGGATCTAATTTTAGGATGGAATGACAAAATGAAAAAGGGATAGTCAATATTAATCAACTATAATCAATAGCTCACAAAATGGATTTCTATTATTATAGACCAATATGAAGACAGTGCTTGAATTTCAGAAAAGCTGGAATCTTACATAACCTTTAAGCTATTGTTAAGATACTAACATAAATAAAACAAATATCCCCAAAGAACTGTCTCAAGAGAAAACAAAACCAGTAAAGACCCCGCCAGCACCACGATGTGTCGGGAAGAGGGCCATGGCTCTGCGTGCCTTTCTTCCTCAGGAGCGGTCTATGCTGATGGTTCTTCTGTACCCAGAACTACAGGGTGTCTGACGGCTGGGAAGACAGTGTGCTCACAAGTTCCCTGTTCATCCAAGCTGAACGGCTATGTGCTGGGGCGAGGAGAATCCTATCTAGCAAAAGCGAACTCCATTTCTATGACAGGAGGGTGGGTTCTTTCTTCCAAAGTAGGTCTAAGGTTCTGACATATCACATTTATTTGAACCTATAAAAGGAGCTACGTAAAGCTCAACCTGTATTTTTTCTTCATTATTTTTTCTATCATCATCTGCTTGTCCAAGTAGTAGGAAAAGAAATAGAGAAAACAAGTTAAGAACATTATGTTCAGCTGGCAAAGGAACAGGTAATTAGCACTTCCTGTGATTCTGGAGACGCTTAGATGCCTACCATAGTGCCTTCCTGGCCATGGCTACTGTGCCCAAAGGAAGAAAACTCTGAAACCACCAAGCTCCAGAGTGACTTGAACATCTCCACCCCGTGAAACAGTCAGTGATATGAACTGATTATGAGTCCCTGCAACTTCAGTCCCTTCTCAGGAGGATCTGATAAAATGACCATTTGACATAAAACCCTGACAAGCATGTAATACTTTTATTTATGTATCCATAAATTTATTTTCTAAGAGAAAGGATAGCTGTTAGAAACTACCCCCAAGAGATAGGGAGTCCAAAATCTATACAGAAAAGGCTAATATGCAAAGTGTCCCCTAGGGAGTTCCGCTGGGAGTTCAATTGCTTGTCATGACATGTGCTGCCCACCAGGGGATGGCCTGGAACATGGTGGGCGACCAGCTGCAGCTGCAGGGCACCGAGGGAGCGAGGGGAGGAGGAAGTGGGAAACTGGATCAGCGGCCAGGTCTAGGGACCCTACCCGTGCATGAATTTTGTGCACCAGGCCTCTAGTAAAACAGCACTTTGGTTCCTGAAAAGGAAATAGAAATATGAACAACTCACTGTGAGGTTGTCCCTAAGCAACTGCATGATGAGGGTGCTGTCTTTGTACGAGTCTTCATTCAGTGTATCGAGTTCTGCAATGGCCTCGTCAAAAGCCTGTTAGATATTAACATCCATGGTAAGTCATATTCCTCTCAACGCAACCTGGCTAGTCCACAATTACAAACCATTTTTAAAAAATAGGTGAACTTTGTTTTTATGCTCTGCTCTAATGAAAAATAAAACGATGGAATCGGATTCTCAGTGTAAGAACTTATGAGTATGACTCTAAACTTAAAAGCTATGTGTACTTATCAGTAAACAGGAACTTCTTTTTTCCCCCCTCCCCTGAGGATATACTTATTGATTTTAGAGAGAGGGGAAGAGAAACATCGCTGGGAGAAACATCAATTGTTGCCTCCTCCCCTGCGTGCCCCAAAAGGAGAGAGAATCCAAACCCTAGCTATGTGCCCAGACCAGGAATGGAGCCTGCAGCCTTTCTGGGGTGCGGGTAAGCTCCAGCCCAGCGAGCTGCCCGCCGGGCACAGCACTTCCTGGTGCTCTCACAGGACACAGCACAGTGGCTGTGCCCAACAGACCTTCTCACCAATAAGAACTAGAATGTGTTTGCAAAGCCTCTCCGGATTCTCCCTTTCGAAAGCCTCAGGAATGCAGCTGTGCCAGCAGCCAAACCTGGCGCTTTGCCCCCCGCTTCCTCCTCCTCCTCTGATCATCTGCTGTTCAGCCACAGTTGGGAGAGAGCAAGATACTGAGAGGGGCGGTGGGTGGCAGGCGGTCGTGATGGTAAGAAAAAGGAGGAGAGAGCCAATGAAGAGTAAAAACCATCCCTGGATAGCCAAGTAAATAAAACGCCTGCGAAGTAACTGTCATCTCCAATCGCCTTGGCTGGAGAGGTGGTTCTGGACACACATCTCACCGTCTTGGCCAGCGTGCAGGCAAGCTCGGGGTTGTTGAGGATCTCATAGTAAAACACGGAGAAGTTGAGAGCCAACCCCAGGCGGATGGGGTGTGTGGGCTGCATCTCCTTCTTGCTGATGTCGAAAGCCTCTTGGTAAGCCCCTTGGGAATTGTCTATCGTTTCTGTGAAGGCAAAAGAATGAAATAAAAAAGCAGGACACCGAAAATACCCCCCAGTTCCCAGCATGTTAAAACCTTTCATTATGCTACCAGCTCCTGGGAGAACCAGACTGTTCTCTGCAGCCTTCCTTTAAAACCACAGCAAAACAGCTGAAACCGGTTTGGCTCAGTGGTAGAGCGTCGGTCTGCGGACGGAAAGGTCCCGGGTTCAATTCCGGTCAAGGGCACGTACATTGGTTGCGGACACATCCCCGGTGGGGGGTGTGCAGGAGGCAGCTGGTTGATGTTTCTCTCTTATCGACGTTTCTAGCTCTCTCCCTTCCTCTCTGTAAAAAATCAATAAAATATATTTTTAAAAAATAAAAAATAAAACCATAGCAAAGCAAAACATTGCCTTGTACTGAGCACTCAGAACCAGTTTATAATATTGTTGGCTTATCATCAGCTTAACAAAACAAACAAACAAACAAAAAGTAATATAGTACATCAGATTTTTACATCACTGGGGCTAACATAGCAATTAAAAATCATTTGTTACATGCCAATAATATCTTAATAAAGCTGGGGGGCGAGGGATGAAATTGGCTATAATATCCCTTCTCAAAATAGTGAAAACACTTTACAACATCAGCACCACCAAAATCTCTGTTTTTGTGACTTATTTGGAGAAACAATACTGATCCTTGCAATTAAGATGTATTATGTGAAAAGCAATATAAAAGTGTCAACACGTAACAACCAAGGCTGCTCTGACTAGAGTTGGTTACTGGCCTAATAAAAATGCTACCTTCCTGGGAAAAAATGTTGCCTTGGAAATAGGGACCTAAAGAAATGATCCCCTTGCGGCCTGAACGCATACATTTCCCTTCCTCTGAAGCGGCACTGACTGATCTGAACACACTGGTTTAGCACAACTCGCCAAGGAGCTCGGTGTCTGGCACTCAAGGAAGCACTACAGCGAGTAAAGCATCTCGGCTCCTAGGCTGTAAACACAGACCTTCTACAAACTCTACAACGAATTTATGCATGGGATTAGAAAATGCCAGTAAGCCAGAAAGAGAGATCAGATTCATGCTGGGGCCAACGTGCTCATGCTTGAGTGTTCAGCTCTGTCATGTTCAGTTTTGTTATTTTTATGGCAACAGAAATGATACATCAACAACACAGTAAGTTTAGTACACAAATTTTGTTACAACAGAGTTAACTAATTTCTCTGTATATCTTATGTAATAAAACTTGTAGCAAAAACATACACAAAATTTAAAAGGATCTGTTTTATGCTCAGCTACCAATGCTCCAGGAGACGGAGTTCACTGCTAATAAATTTACTTCGATTTTTTTAAACAATCAAGCTGGGCAATTGGGTTATTCTTTTCCCATATCTGTTTTTCTGATAAATTATGTAACGGCACTAGCACTCACTTTACCTCTCCTCAGAAACCTGGTTATATGCAGTTATAGATGATGTTACCCTTCAAAGTAGGTAGTGGCTAACGTGTCAAACAGAAAGGCACAGCCTGTTTCTATTTATATAATAAAGAGGAGATATGCAAATCAACTGTCACACCATAACAATATGGCTGCACCCACAGTGGAGGCCGAATTCCTGTAATGAGCCTTAATGAGCAATTAGCAGGGACCTGAGGCTGCGTGGCCGCTGAGTCAGGACAAGGGACTTCAGGCGGCACTCCCTGCCTGGCGGGGCTTGACGGGGGACCCCAGTGCAGGCCCTCCGCCGCAGTGCTGGGCCAGACAATGTGAGGCCGCGCCCGCCACGGGCGGTACTTGATGGGGGTGGGGCTGGCTGGGTCTTAACTCTGGGTCCCGTGACACGCCCAGACTCTGACAGGAGGAAGAGTTTCATATATATTTTAATAACTTTCTTTCATCTCTGACACTTTTGTTATAGAGAAAGGGCAAATAGCAATATTAAAATATTTCCTCTAATTAATTCCCTTTTAATTTTGTGCACTGGGCCACTATTATTCTATGTGTCATCTCTCCCAGGTAAGTTTCCCGGTGTTATGACACTGAAGGTCCTAACAAGATCGCTCTAAACACATGCAGAGAACCGGGGCTGAACACGCGGTACAGCAAACCCTCAAGCAAGAGCCATAAAGCCTGTTTTCAATAAAATCTCATCAGATTAAAATCAGAAAGCTCGCATTTAATTTTTTAAAAGAGCACATAATGGCCGAAACCAGTTTGGCTCAATGGATAGAGCGTCCGCTTGGAGACTGAAGGGTTCCGGGTTCGATTCTGGTCAAGGGCAAGTACCTTGGATGCGGGCATATCCCCAGTAGGGGGTGTGCAAGAGGCAGCTGATCGATGACTCTCATCGATGTTTCTGGCTCTCTATCTCTCTCCCTTCCTTTCTGTACAAAATCAATAAAATTATATTTAAAAAAAACAGCACATAATGTAAACTCATGACTATATATCCATTTTTGAAAACATAAGGCAACATTTTCTTTTTTATATAAATTCCAAAATGTTTCTTAAAAGTTACAAAAGGCCACAGTGTACCATTTACCCTCCTCCTAGTTTACATTTCAGCTTTACCCATAAACCAATGCACTTACGTTTCCGATCATCACCACTTGCAACCTCAGCAAGGTACCGGAAGTAGTCTCCCTTCATCTTCAGATAGAAGACCTTACTCTCTGGATTAGTTGCGTTGGCTATTAAATACTTATCCAACAACTCCTGAAATGAAGCATTAGGCACTCGTGAGAGGCTATGGTTACAGCCAAGAACTAACAATGACAGCAGTCATCATCGGTGGTCACGTGACCACAACCCCACCACAACCCCCCCCCCCCCCCCCCCCCCCGCACAGCATGCGCTGGAGCAGGGCCAGCGGCTGCCACTGGGGAACACTGGCTCACACAAGCCATCAGTTCCCATGGGGAAGCTGGTCACACGATCACACCAAACAGGAGAAGCAGCTGCCTGCCCACCCGCCGTTCATCCCGAGTGAGTGACGACGAGCCCATGGAGGCTGGGGAGCGGTGCCGCTCCGGGAAGACATTTACGGTCACACAGAGGCGACCGTGCCTTCCTGCCCGGCGCTTCCTGATACATACGGGAGGCGTGACAGCAGAGAGTCTGACTGGATTGAGGTCTGAGGTGAGAAATGTGATTGATTCTAGCGCCAATCCCTCCTGAAGCCACTCAACCAGATGTGGGCGCATTCACAAACTGGCTTCCCTTAAAAAACTAAGATTCTTTTTTCTTTATTGATTTCACAGAGGAGGGGAGAGGGGGAGAGAGAGAAACATCAATGATGAAAATCATTGATCGGCTGCCTCCTGCACACCCCCTCCTGGGGATCAAACCCTTGACCCTCCATGCATAGGAAGACACTCTAACCAAATGAGCCACACCAGCCAGGTGATGGACAACTTTCAATAATAATAATAAATAATAATAAGCGGCCTCAGTACAGAGCAGAGGGAAAACAAAATGACGAGGGGATCACGGCATAAGAAAATCTTCCCATATAAGGTAGAGAGTCCGGGTAGGTAGAGGAAAGGAATCAGCTGTAACATTCATATGACTGAGTTCCCCACAATTCTCTGGTACGTTATCCCTGTCTATTAAGGAGGCATTCCCCATTTGTAACTTTTTAACCAGCCAATCCTATGATTCTGGGAGGTTCTAGAGCTAAGACTGGGCTCCCCCAGCGCTGAGTGGAACACAGGGAGGGACTTTTGAGAACCTGAAAGATTTGTGCAGCCAGTTTAAGATGAACTAACAGTAACTGAGAATATGCTCTATACCAAGAAACCTCAAACATGAGCAAAGCAGAGGAAAGAATAGTGAGAACCAGCGGTGATGCCACACCAAGAGCTTTGAACTTTTGTTTAAACAAGAACTGACGTATGAAAAAATGTCTTCTGTGTCAGACCGTGCAACTGCACATCATTCAGACAACCAATTGTACATAATAACCCCTTTCATAACTAATGTTTTGTGACTCCTTAACTATTCTAAAATGAAATGAATAGCTAATAATATATTTACATACAATTTAAAATAGACACCAATGTCAAACGGGGCACCATTAAATTTTTAAATAATAATTAAAAATATTGCCCTAGTCGGTTTGGCTCAGTGGATAGAGCGTCAGCCTGTGGACTGAAGCATCCCAGGTTCAATTCCAGTCAAGGGCACATGCCCGGGTTGCGGGCTCAATCCCCAGTTGGGGGCGTGCAGGAGACAATCGATCCATGATTCTCTCTCATCATTGATTTTTCTATCTCCCTCTTCCTTACTCTCTGAAATTATAAAAATATATTAAAAATATATATATATTTATATTTATACGTTCATGTCTTAAATAAGATAAAAGGTAGAAATGAGAGTGATGTATAATGAAACAGTAAGCATCTCAGTATGTAAATATCTATGCCTGGCCGATAGGGCGCAGCTGGTAAGTGCCATTCCATGCACCCAGACGGGTTCTGTTCCCAGACATGGCACACGGTTCTGGTCTCAATCCCTAACAGGGGGCTTGCAGGAGGCAGCCCATGGATGGGTTCTCATTTATGTCCTCTCTCCCTCTCCATTCCCTCTAAAATTAAAAAAAAAAATCTGTCAGATGTTACTCTAAGAATCACCTTCAGTGCCAAGAACCTGTGAATACAGACTTGCACGGTCTGTTCAACCACCACGAACAGCCTGACCAGCCAGGTTACAAACAAAACAAAGATGTTAGATTTTTACATGGTAGTTGCATTCCTGGTTAGTTTTTAGGCCTTAAAACCATAAAAACAAACAAACAAACGCTCTGTTTAAGTATAAACAGAATTAGGTCGGGGCCTCGGGTAAAACTGTAAGCGTCTGCCTAAGTGGGTGAGCAGCGGGACAGTCCCAGCACAGAGGGCTGCTGGTGTCACGGCTCTCCGCCCGCCCACGTCACCCTGAGAGGACACCGGCCGGTGGAAGGCGTACAGAAAGGTCCTTGGAGCACAGCCGAGGAGATAGCTGCGCTGTCAGGCAATCGGGAGACTTGTTCTTCAGAAGCACCAGAGAGCCGCGTCTCACAGGCAAACAGGACTCACAGACAGCAGAGCACAGGGGAGGGGCCCGCCAGCGCCGGGGCAGCGGGAAGGCCCCGCACAGGAGGGAGGAGGCACCTTTGAACGGCGCCATGTCCCGTTTACTGTGACACTGGGCACTTCAGAGTGAGTGCTGAGATGATGATCTGACTCCAGGGTCTGTTTAGAGCAAGTTCCTGAATTTCCTCTCCAGTTTTTAATGCGTCATTCCAAGGTGTAAGTCCAAAGGGCAACCGGTAAGCAGATCCACGTCCAGATAAAGCGTGTCCTTAGTGGTTTTCATTCATGAAATTCCGTTCAGCATTTGGCACGGTGCCCACCCGACGGACCTTGGCCACGATGGCAGCCTGCTGGGGTGCGGGCAGCAGCACACAGGGTGCAACCTTAACATGATACAGCCATTTCCCTGAATTACTTTTTAAAAATGTCTTACTTTTTATCAAAACAATAACATGCAATAGTCAACTCTCACACTAACAATTCTAATGAAAAGCCTCCCCATTCTGTTCACTCCTTCAGCGAAGTTCGGGGAGTTTTTTTTGAAAAGTCATTGCTTCATAGTGGTCTCTCTAATGCAAACTCGACGCCACATGCTTATTCCTCCCTTGTCTGCCTCTTCTCTTCACACACAGCAAGAAGCTTAAATGACAGGTAACAAATGTACATCACACAAATTCAAAAGCGAAAGAGCAAATTTCTCTCCCCTTCCTGGTTCTCATCCACATCAGTTCTTCCCCTCCCCGCCAAGGCAACCCCACGTGTCCTCCTTCCCTCATGTTAGCACTCCATGTCCATGGATTGTAACTGCTTCACACATGTGTGATAGTGTACAGTGTTCCACTGTAATAAGGTAATTATTTAAATAGTCTCCTGACTAACATTTTCCTTGCTTCAAATCTCTTGATATTCCCACCATGTCCTGAACGCACGTCTGATCCGTGAGATAAACTAACTGTCCTCCTGGAGGCAAAGCCACTTACCTCCCGCTAGAACGTATGACTGTCCCTTCTTCTTCTTTTTTAATCGGGACTTTTTTTTTTTAATATATATATTTCATTGATTTTGTACAGAGAGGAAGAGAGGGACAGAGAGTTAGAAACATCGATGAGAATCATCGATCAGCTGCCTCTTGCACACCCCCTACTGGGGATGTGCCCGCAACCAAGGTACTTGCCCTTGACCGGAATCGAACCTGGGACCTTTCAGTCCGCAGACCGACGCTCTACCGCTGAGCCAAACCGGTTTCGGCTGTCCCTACTTCTTAATATCCTTCCGAACACAGCGAATCAAACTTTTCCAACGTTTCCAATCTCCTAAGAAATATCTTACTTTGGTTTTATTTGTCGTTTTCTAATTTTACAAATTGCATGTTAGAAATGAAATTAAACATCTGTTCTGTCCTTTTCTATTAACTGTTTTAATCTGCCTTTCCTAATGAATTATGTCCTTACAGATTTGTAGGAGTCTTTACATGTTAATGAAATTAGTTCATTTTCCAGATGTATCTCATATGAACTTCCTGTATTTAAAGATTTTGTCTGGCAATAAAACTGCACTTACTAGTATTTATTATATTAAATCAGATAGGATTACCAACATTTCTGACAAATATGAGAAGTTGATATGACTATTCAATTTTAGAACAAATAAAATATATGAGCAGAAGACTTATAATTGAATAAAAGTCTGAATGTGTATTTAGCAGATTGTCTACCTGACAAATGAAATGGTTAGCACACGTTAAATGTTATCGAAGAGCAGTGTGTCACATTAACACACACACACACACCCCATCACTCACTCGCAATGTGGAGACTTACCATCACCCGAAGGCAGACACGTAGAATAGGACTGTCAGGTTCTGGCACAGTGAGAGGGGGCAGACTCGCCCTCCTAACTAATGAAAACGTTACACAGAACTGGGTAGGACGGAAGGGGTAATGCAGCAGAGCACCGAGGTCAGGACGCTGTCAGGGCTGGAAAAGTGAGACAAAGGCCTGCCGGCAACACTCCCCCACACGGAGTGCGAGGACAGGGCCTGGGACCCCCCGGCGTCAGCCCTGGGTGTGTGTGTGTGTGTGTGTGTGTGTGAGTGCGCGTGCAGCCTCCAGGAAGAAGGGTGAGGTGCTATGCAGATGTGTATTCATGCACCACATGTAAAGCTACAGGCTAAAAATGCATGTAAGAAGGATGTAGCTCAGTGTGCCCACAGAAGCAAACCATCAGAACCCCATGCAAAGACACTTCCCCCGCCCAAGGCACACCAAGTCTCCCCGACAAAAGCGCCATCCCATCACTAAAGGAACAGACTCCTAGGGGCAGACCCATCAAGATGAGGGTCAGCAAACCAACAGGTGCTAGTCCCCAAGAACCTAAAACATGAAAGCTGTGTAATAAAATATGAAATAAGCTGAAAATGACTAAAGAACCTTTTAAGGATATGCATTTTAATATTTATGATTCAATACATGATGCCCAAGACTGGCTTCAAAATAATGGCAGGACCATGTGTGGAAATATAAACAAAACAGAATTCATAATGACTGAATTATAAATTCAGGTTATTTATTTATTAAAATAAGCAAAGAGATTAAAGAAAGGGAAGCAGAAGCCAGGGGAAAGGACACGATACAATGAATCAAG